TGGCCCTTGAAACATTGAAAGAAATGGAGGACTGCTGGAAGAAGTTGGACAGTGGAGTAGCTCGCAAGCGACGCAATTGGGCCACCCAGCAAAAGGCCGAGGTTAATAGAATAGAAATGGCAAATCATCTGAAGAGGTCCTGGCAGAGTTTGTTGAAGGATCATTTTGAAGAAGCAATGAGGACACCCTCATCAGCACCACCATTAATGGCGAATCCCTTCGTTAGAACTGCAGGACAATTAATGTTCACCTGGAGTCTGGTGGGGATAGAGTTGGAAACACTGACCTCGTATGACAGGCTGAAGTTGGGAAGCAAGAAGCTAGATGTGTATCAGGCACTGATGCAACACGTAGCCAGGGACAACTCAGGCTTGAGCCAGGCCAGAAGAAAGGATGCCACGTGTTTCTTGAGATGGATAATGTCGATGATGTCTGATAGCACCATCCTGGCATGCCAACAGAGAGCAAGCGTAAGCAAAACCATGGAAAAAAGAGTCTCAACGGTCATCTTGAACGTGTATCAGAGCACAAGAATAGAAAAGGAAGAGGGTTCCAGACTATCCCTAGAGAACCATAGGAAGCTAGACGAGGTACGGAGGTTTTATAATAAGAAGTTCGAAGAAGAACATGATGTTCACCGTAACCTGGCCTCGTCAGAGCAGTACTCGAGAATCAGCGAGAAGGGGGAATACCAATATGTGTCTGGAGTGATGGGAATGGCCTACAACCCCTTCTTAGACTCGGAAGCTGGAGGCGCCCACAGGAACCATGAGGTAGCGGAGCTACTGAAGTTTTGGACAGAAAGAATAATGGAAATAGACGCGGTGGAAAAAGAGGGGCCGAGCCTGGGCCTGATTCTTGAGAAAACACCAGAGGTGGTGAGCATACCGCGTTCAAACAAGAGAGTTGAAGTGAACATGGGCGATAGAAATGGCTTGTTAACCACGAACTTGGGAGTGGTATGGAAGCTATTAAGACCCTCCTGGTGTCCACATCTCCACGCGAGTCTGATCGAGGAAACCACCGAGCGAGTGAGGTTAGCACCAACGGAAGATGAAGATCTGGCAAAGTTGAGTGTGCTGCATAAGCTAATTTCACCTCAGATGCAAGAGCCAAGCGAAAAGACTAGTAATCCCGGGTCAGCAAAGAAATTGGAGCCGGGTAGCTGTCTGGATTCGACGTGTGGAAACGGAGAGCACACCTGCGATGGACGGTCATGCGTTAGAATACTGTCATTTCAAAAAGAAGACCTGGTCACTTGGTTCGAAGACATAACAGAAAGTGAGAAAAGTGAAGTGCAAATAGTAGCGGAGTGTTACGCGAGAACCACGGTGAATATAGCGACAGCTCTCGGATTCTTCTCGAGAATGTGTAGTCTGCAGTCACTGGAAAGACTAGAATCTGAACATCATTTAGTGACGGCGTTGAGCGTAGAATCATGGCCCGGGGTGTTGCAGGTGACTCAAAAACACATCCGGAGCTGGAAGGTTGGTCTCGAGGCGGAAATGGGATTTCCCATGAGCGAAGCTTATGGCTTGCCATTGAACGCGAAATCGCTGATAGGGTCAATGATGGCCAACTTGTGCGGAGGTCACTACCCACTGCACATGGTGATGGTGGAAGCATCCAGCCAGAGAGTACTGGTGGACAAGGCCTTCTCAGTGCCCAAGTGCGTGAGGTTGGCTCGGATATCGCATCACTCGCACAAGTTGTTGAGAAAAATCAGAGGGACAGTACCAAAAGAATTGAGAGATGACTTGAGTGAAATCTGGGGAGAAGAACTTTTGAAGTTGGAGAGAGAGAACACAAGCAATCACGAGAGACAAAACGTGATCGGAAAACCTGTGGGAAGTGCTCCAAACCTGGAAGATAACGACACGATGCATGAGAAAATGATGGAGCTTGAGCCTCTCTTGGAAGCCTCGGGGGAGCGTAACCTCAGGAGCATTGAAATCACCCATGGAGAATGCCCATGCCACTGTTTAGCGCAAACGGTGTGGTATCCAGATCACAAGAACCTTTGCCTGGTGTGGGATATGGAAGAAATCCGGTCGATCGGACTACCGGATCACCGACAGAAGGTGACGATCTTGGTAGTGAGTACGATCTTGGCTCTGAGATGGATAGAAGAGAATATAACGAAGTATCGGGAAGCGGGGACGCCAACGGCAGAGTCAATATACGCGATAGACTACAGTAGGAGACTCGAGTTGTTTGAGACTGCGTGCAAGGTATTCGCCATACCAACGGAAGTCAGACATGTCTGGAGCCGTTTGAAGTACTTTCCATGGTTTCGGGCGACGCTGACGTCCTGGTTGTACATGACAACGAAAGATCACATGAGAAAACATCGAAAGGAGTATCGACAGTTCCAGGCCGAGATTGGGTCGGAAGCTTTCAAGAGACCCCTGTCAACCCATCGTAATGCAATCACGACAGGATGGAAGAGAGTGGGTAAAATGTCTAGAGACAATACCAAGGCGAGGGAATCGATACTAGAGGAGGACCTGGCGAAGAACGTGAGCTTGAGCCTGCACAACTCCTTTTGTTTGAACCGGGAATCTAGGGTGAAGGCACTACCCAACCAAGCAAAGAGGTTGCAAGAGCAAAGAGAATGGATGCGATCCTACGAGCAGCTGAAGGCTTGGGAGGAGATTGTGATTAGCTCCGATGATGAAGAGGAACTGTTGAGACAGTTTGCCGTATCTAGTACTTCAGGGTGCAGTACCTCCAAGGCGAAGAGTGCGAGATGAGCAGGTGGCTCGAATGGATCTTGAGTCTTGAGAGGGAAAGGGGGGCTTGAGCGTGGATCCGGGTGAAACTTGGATTCACGAAAAAGAAGTTTTAACAAAGCAAATATTGTTATTAATATACTATATTTATTATATAAATCAAAATGCTGCATGACAATTTCCTGATTGAATGGGACAAAAGAAATTTTAAATGATTGGCTTGGAAAGCAAGAATTCAAGGGTGCAGGTGTGTGCAGATTTTGATTGCTGTTTAGCGATAGTGTGAAAATTTTACATGGCTGTGAATTTTGGGGTGTAGATAAGTTTAAGTCTGCTGCAAACTTCTGTAAATGACCACTGGCACTGTATCTTGAGTAACACTCGGTTTTCTGGGACTCACTGGCAGAAGACAGCACGCGATGAGGACATCGATCTCGAGTCCGGGGAGTATGTGCCAGTCGGTCATATTCGGAAGTTTGACCTTGAGAGAAGCAAAAAACACTTGATTTTGGAGTGAAATTTAGTTTTTCAAAATTTCGAATGGAACCTGTCATGCACGATTTTCTCGCGATAACTGAAAATCAGAAAAGAGAAGTCAGAACGTTCGAGTGAAAAACGCGGGAAAGTTGCAAGAGAAATCGGTAGGAAATTGCTATTCGCAATTTCCATCATAGTGAACAAGAGTAGAGCTGTCCCATCTGAAATAGAGGACAGAGTATTCCCGAGAGAACAATTATTTGAGCTGGACCAGAGTGAACCTTCGACGGAAAGGTGGACAACTTGAGTGTCCCAATGGTTCACGAGAAACTATATCCTAGAGTTAAGACTTGTCCTTGTTATTGAAACTGATAAACATTAAAACTCATTTAGTTACATTATTTAATTCTTGAGTTAATTACCGACTGAAGTACTTCCCCTTCTTGAGTGTGCTACAATGTGAGTACCAATTTAAATTTCTAGAGTGTGTTTTATGATCATTATGTTGAGGTAAGGCGAGTTTTAGGTTGATCCATCTGAAATGGATCAAAGTTCCACTGTCTAATAAAAAGTAACTTAACGGATTGTTCCAACCCGGTTTTTAACGGCGTTCATGTATTTTGGGTATCTAGAGACCTAAGTATGGGGACGTTTCTAATTCTAGAGTGGGGGGATATTTTAGTAGTAGCCTTTAAGCTGTAACGGGTCGTAGTCTCATGTCACAAGCGAACCGAATTGGCTCCGACTGATTTGAGGTACAAAAACACAAGAGATAGTGTCCCTGACTCTTGAGCCAATGGTTATAGGGCCTATTTTTCTTAAGCCTCATGTGTGACTGCAGTAGACGAACGTTACATAGTGTTTTTATGGCGCTCCTGGGTGTTTACGACATCAAGACTACGGAGTCGAACCCACTTGAGACAGCTTCGGGCTGAATGCCCATTCTAGAGTACCGGCGGTAGACGAATGTTACAGCTCATGGCTGGCTCTCAGTATTCCCAGACCACGAGGTCACTCCTAAAAACATGGCTACTACTTATTTTTTATATTACGATTGTTTTTGTTCAGTAGATAAAAATCATCGTTCCCATTGGAGAAGGATCAACCCTTTCCCTCAAATCTGAAAATTTGGTATTAATTAAATTCAACTCAAGACATTCCGGGAAGCTAAAAGTTGTTAAAATAACGAGTTACAGTTCTCTCCCGAGTCCCTTCCGGACGAAGAGCTGTCTTGTCTCTTTTCGGAAAGCTGGTCACGACGTTCCAACACCCTTCCTGGTTCTCGGGATTCGCTTTGTAACGATTTTAGCGGAACAATCGTTACAACTCGGAATGGTTTTCTGTCAATACTTGCAATCACAATCTATATTTGTTGCTATACTCTCGTTCGACTTATCTGTCTTCACGACTGTGTTGTTGTGTGTTCTCGCAGTTTTCCGTTGTCGCGAAAAGTAAAATTGCTACCTGACTTTCACGCCCAAATCGAAAATTTAAAAAAATAACATGTCACAACAAATTGACCCTTCCCAATTCGTCAAACTGAACGATTAATACCGTTAATGCGCTAAAACTGCCAATTTTCTCGTTCAGCTGCTATAATAAAAATTCGAATTCGAACTGAATTTTGATACATTCTGGTCGAATGTCACATTGCAATTTCTTTTAAATTGAATATTTTACGTGGAAATTGTTGGTTTCAGTAGTTTAATTTAGCGCGGTATCTGTGAAATAAGGGTTTGTATTGGTCGCTATTTCGACAATCGTAAGTTTTATTTGGTAGATGTTTTTTTGTAGATTTTGATGTTCTGAAAACAATTATACTGTCACTGGAAGCCATTTTAAAGTAAAGTGTGCATGCCCAAAAAATTTCCGCAACAGAACTCAAAGGCGGTTGAGGCCAATGCCCGCAAAAGCGCTGCAAAAGATGCGAAGCTAGCAGCCGAAGAGACGGCCAAGAAAGATGCACAGTGGGCCGACGATGACAAGCACGTAAAAAAGAAGGAAGAAAGGAAAGTATGTATTTATAAATAAATTTGAGTTGATTTTTTTTTCAGCGGCTGAAGTTTTGAGTGGAAATGATTTGATATCCGTTTTTGTTTCGACTTCTGAAAATGGGGAGAAACTGTGTCTTATTGTGTTAAAGTTGTTTTCCACGCAAAATCAGATTCACCAATAATTGTGAGAATGGGCTGACTGAATATCAAATTAAGGTCCTGTCATCACTTAATCGGTTGAAATCAAGAAATGGTTCAAAAGCTTTCCAAAATTCGGTTTGAGTTTTTTGCTTTGTCTAATTTCGAGCTATTTGTGGCTATTAATAAAAGCTTTTGAGACATAAAAATGGTTTTGTAAATTCAATGTGTCAGTGCATCCTGCGAGATTTACTCGATGATCTTTTGCACAAACTAAAGAAACTGACAAAACGCAAAGAAATATATAGAAGCTGCTCTGAATGTTTCTTTTATTTAAATTGGGTGCTCACATCCAAATGCCTAAAGTATCTTCCAAGGATCTTGAAGGCTGGTATTGAATAATTTCTGAAAGCTTTCATTTCCTCGATAGACTTTAAAATTTTTTGGTAAAGCTGACTGGTCGGAAAATGATGTGCTAATTTGGTTCTACAAATTATTTGGAAATGAAATTTCTTGAAAATTAATCATTTTCGTTTTGAGAAATAGTTCCCAACAAAGTTTTTGTTGTTGTAATATGTTGTAGTCATCAGTGATGTTTTGCATTTTTTTGCACATTCATCAGTCGACTATTCTCAAGCGAAATGTGATTATTTCTGGTTTAAGCTGGCAAAAGAGCAGAAGAAGAACGAGAAACAAGAAAAGAAGCAAGAGATATCAAAGCTACTTGAATATGAAGAAGCAAGTGTCGGGGGGAAGTCATCTGCTTCGGCGGCTTCCGCGCCAAGAATGACGAGACATGAAATAATGGTAGCACAGCAGCAAGAAAGTGCAAAAGATGGTAATAGTACACAAGGATACAAGGGCGAGGATGAAGATGATGATCGAGATTTGATGCGAAACATGAACAGAGAGATCGGAATCAACGATAGTGGGGCACGAAATGTGGATGAGGCTCTGGCACAGCTTGCGTAAGTATGGTTCGAATTCTTGTTGTTCCGAGCCTTTAGTTGGAAGTAGCCTAATATCCACATGTTTTCTTATGTAATCAGTAACCACGAAGAAACATCGGGCGAATCATATTCTTTTCTGCATTGAGTTGCCTCCGGCGGCAATTCGAACCTTGCACAGATGCCAATCAAGGTGCTTCAAAAGAAGCTTATGGTGTTATATGTAGAGAGAGTACTTTATTCATAATTTTGTTTTCGCTTTTTAAACGATATTATATTGCATTGTGGATCAAATTTGCTATTTTAAAGACTTCGATATTTTTGTTAGCACCCCACCAAAGCTAAAAAAAAATGTTAATTAATTGTGGTAAAAACTGTAAAAAAAAATTGTTTGAATGTTTTTTTATTGCCATAGTTTTGAGCACTTTAATTTTAACGTCCGATTTTTGCTTTCTCAATATGCACTTAACTTGCCTTTATGGTGTTCTTCAAAAGATATGATTAACGTTGTAACTTATAGGCAAAGGAGTTTTTGTATGCATTCAATGGCTGCAGTGGTTTCTTAGTCGGTGTTGGAGCAAACAAAGCATGTTTTAAATGATAAGATAATTTGTTCACATGTAAAAACCCATGTTAATTTTCCCATAATTTATTCATTTCATTTACCCGCAATTTGTAGTAACTAGATCATCATTAATTCAATTTCATACGAAACAGACGCTTTCCAGCAATCGCGAAGTTTTCCTTTTGGTCCGCCTCAACATCTACGGAAACTAAGCACACTGGTTGAGCCTAATTTAGAAAGTCAAACTCCATCAGCTATTTAGACGCTTAAACGAGCTCAAGGAAGTTGTCCGAGAGTTCTGAAACGACAAATTTCTTAAGTCAGCGACCTGCTAATATTGCTTTGTTTGAAAATAATAACTTTCATCTTCTCCGAGGTTTTAATTTTTTTCATGACAACAGTTTTTTTCAGCTGGGGTCAACCGAAGTATTGTCGGCGTAGTTGTTGCTCGATACATATCTCTAAAGGCTCAATCTTTTCTCAAAATTTTTTCCTCAAAATAAACAGCCTTTAGAACAGACAATAATTTTTTAAAACTTTTTTCGTGTAGTTTTTTAAACTATTTTTTAAATTGGTTTTATCGTGTGAATGGCGTCATCCCTTTTCTGTCCACTAGCTCACAGTGCTATGTTTGTTTTAATGTATAGCAAGTGCTCCGCTTCGCCTATGGTAATATACGTTCAATTAGTCACTTGTTTCTGCGAGTTGTCTTTCCATAAAGTTAGCGAGCTGCCTAATTTGGCGAGATGTCTATTGCTGCAAGTCGTTTGTATTTTTTGTTACAACCTGTTAATTTCTGAAAAAAAATGTATTTTAACTTGATGTGTATCTAAAGAAAAAAAGAAAGAATTGATTGCTCCTGTAAATAATTACCAAAAGCAATATTGCAAAATGTTTATCAAATTAATTGAATGGATTAGTAAATTTGAGAAACGAAAAATCATGGAAAGGAAGACGGAAGGCATATTAAATGGTCACTGAAAGGCGATGTTTTCAGCGGCGACAGCTTATGTTTCTGTTGAATTGATATAGAATTTTTTCAAATTTTTCATTCAATTTTAAAAACAATTACAATACCTAGAAATATCAAAAAGCACCAACTTTAAGCTAAAAAGCAGCAACTCAGATCATCATTAATTCAATTTCATACGAAACAGACGCTTTCCAGCAATCACGAAGTTTTCCTTTTGGTCCGCCTCAACATCTACGGAAACTAAGCACACTGGTTGAGCCTAATTTAGAAAGTCAAACTCCATCAGCTATTTAGAAGCTTAAACGAGCTCAAGGAAGTTGTCCGAGAGTTCTGAAACGACAAATTTCTTAAGTCAGCGACCTGCTAATATTGCTTTGTTTGAAAATAATAACTTTCATCTTCTCCGAGGTTTTAATTTTTTTCATGACAACAGTTTTTTTCAGCTGGGGTCAACCGAAGTATTGTCGGCGTAGTTGTTGCTCGATAAATATCTCTAAAGGCTCAATCTTTTCTCAAAATTTTTTCCTCAAAATAAACAGCCTTTAGAACAGACAATAATTTTTTAAAACTTTTTTCGTGTAGTTTTTTAAACTATTTTTTAAATTGGTTTTATCGTGTGAATGGCGTCATCCCTTTTCTGTCCACTAGCTCACAGTGCTATGTTTGTTTTAATGTATAGCAAGTGCTCCGCTTCGCCTATGGTAATATACGTTCAATTAGTCACTTGTTTCTGCGAGTTGTCTTTCCATAAAGTTAGCGAGCTGCCTAATTTGGCGAGATTTCTATTATTATTATTATTATTATTATTATGGATTCAGCTATTAGAGCTTGGGTGTTTCCACCCTTAAGTTTCAGCGTCATGCAAGTTTCCATGTCGAAATATCGTTGTATCTATAGTTTGTCATGAAGTAATTCCAGAAGTGCTTCAGTAGTCGTGGTTTGAGTCCCTGATGGTTGGAGTAGTCGATTGAATTTGGTAAGATGTTCACAAGTTTGCAGGTTCTGAGCCAAAACTCCTGTTGGTAGATAGATTTCTTTATTTTCGGCAGTTCGAAAAAAGGTTTCTCTGATAACCGGGTGGCTCTGTCGAATTCCTTTAAACAAAAATACTCTGTGGCATCAATTTTATAGTAACCATTCAACATCTTGGACATAAATAGTAGATCCAATAATTGCATATACAAGGTCAGCGGTAAAATGTTGCATTGCATCAGATTTGTTACGTAGTCGTTCCGGCCATTTACCCATGTCAGTGCTTTCTCTTGCACTTTTTCGATCAATCTAAGCATTTTAATGCTTGCTGCCCAGCAACTTGACCCATATAACAGCACTTGTAAAATCATCGATTTAAATATATTAAGTTTCACTCGCATTGGTAGTCCCTTTGGAGTGTTTCGTTTCAGCATATAAAAGGTCTTAAGGGCTTTGGATATATTATTGCTTATAGTTTCATTCCATTTCATAATCCGCGAGACTAATAACCCAAGATCTTTCTGTACTTCAACTTCCGGTATTGCAATATTATTGAAAGTCATTTGGTTGCATTCACCTGTAAAGCTCATGTAAGAGCATTTACCAACATGCAGCGTTTGTTTGTGAGATGAACTCCATTTGAACACTCTGTCTAGATCAGTTTGAAAAATGTTGCTCTGTTGATTGATGTTAATGAATTTGACATCATCGGCGCATATGAGAGGTGTAGAGAATTTACATTGCGATGGTATGTCATTTATGTAGATAAGAAATAAGATGCATGCTAATATTGACCCTTGTGGGACACCACTGTTTAATAATCTTTCTGTGGATAATTGATTTTCTACCCTTATTTTGTGGGTACGTTTGGTAAGATACGAGCGGAGTAGTTTGAGCAATTTCCCACTTATACCGATATCTTGAATTTTGCGCAGCAATAATTGATGGTCTACTCTGTCAAATGCCTTTTCGTAATCTGTGTACACAACTTCTACAGATTTTCCATCATTGATTGCTTTATAGACCTTGTTCAGATAAACAATCATTTGAACTAAACATGATCGTCCTTTGCGGAAACCGTATTGCTGATTGGAGATGAGCGGCTCGAAAAATTCGTAGATGTCGAGGAACATACATCGCTCAAGAATTTTAGATACGATTGCAAGTAACGAAACCGGTCTGTAGTTTTCCACCATATATTTACACGATTTATGAGTCGGGTTAACGATCGCGCATTTCCAATAGCTGGGGAAAATGCAGGTTTGTTTGATCTTATAGAAAAGAACATTTAGTGATTTAGCGATGTTTTTTGAGCAGTTCTTATAAAGAATTGCGGGTACTTTATCTGGGCCACTTGCTTTTGTACAGTCCAGAGTTCTGCAGATGTTTTGTATGCGTTGCTCCGAGATATCAAAATCATCTAATTTCGTGGTTGATAAGTTTTGAGGCTCACCAAGACTTGGAGGATCGGAGGGTTTTGAGAAATTATCGTCAAAGAAATCGGCAAAAAGTTCCACTTTTTCGGCATTTGATTGAGCTTCTTTGCTACCATAAATAAGTTTTGATGGTGTTCTGGACGACTTTTGATGGTATTGCTGCAAGTCGTTTGTATTTTTTGATACAACCTGTTAATTTCTGAAAAAAATGTATTTTAACTTGATGTGTATCTAAAGAAAAAAAGAAAGAATTGATTGCTCCTGTAAATAATTACCAAAAGCAATATTGCAAAATGTTTATCAAATTAATTGAATGGATTAGTAAATTTGAGAAACGAAAAATCATGGAAAGGAAGACGGAAGGCATATTAAATGGTCACTGAAAGGCGATGTTTTCAGCGGCGACAGCTTATGTTTCTGTTGAATTGATATAGAATTTTTCAAATTTTTCATTCAATTTTAAAAACAATTACAGTACCTAGAAATAGCAAAAAGCACCAACTTTAAGCTAAAAAAGCAGCAACTCAGCTTCGACACTTCTGAAAGTGATATGTATTTTTTAGTTTGGGTGATAGCAGCGGTGGCGCAGTTGACCAACATCCGGAGAAGCGGATGAAAGCGGCGCTGAAGAGTTACGAGAAAGGACGGCTTCCTGGGTTAAAGGTCGAACAACCGGGTCTGAGACTGTCGCAGTACAAAGAGGTAATATGGAAGGAATTTCAGAAGTCGCCTCAAAATCCGCTAAATCAGTGAAGACAGGATGTGTGTTGATTGTCGTGGCGTCATCGGCGACGATTTTAGTTATCATACACAGTTGATACCAGTCTGGTTCTTAATGAATTGATTATTGTTAAATGCGATATAAGTATGTATTTAAAGATTGAACTTTCGCTCACCGTTTTTAAATAGGTCAAATGAGAGTATAAGGTCCTATTTTAGGTACTTCTGATGAATTTTAAGATTGATTACTGATTTCGAAGTATAGCTGCGTTGATAGTAATTAAGAGTGAGTTTTGTGTTGTTTCCATGTTTAAAAGTTCAGAGTATTGCTGAAAACGACATTAACCTGATAAGCTAGTCACTTTACTTTACCCTTCAGCTCAACTTAAATAGATTTGTCTCTCTACTTTCATTTCAGGTCTTCATGTTCAATTTGGTCTACTGAGCTGATTTACACGAGAATGGAGCAATGCTAACAAGCTTATAGTGGGCTTAAGTATAGGGCGTACTTAATTGAATGCGACTACAATTGAACTCATGGCTGTCTGTTCTATTTGAAAAACTTGAGATTATTTGTTTATTTACGGCTGCAATCAATTTCAACTTTTCTAGAGAAATTGTTCCTATTATTGTATAAAGAGACTGGGAGGCAGCTGGTGATTCGAATTTAGAGTCGAAAGTGGCGCCCACTCCTAAATCCGGCGCGGGACATCTGTCCGACGCCAGCGCCAAACTTCAGCCGAAGGCCGCAAACCCCGCATCGCCCAAAACCGAGCCAGCCAACGTGAACAATCGAGACCGAGATGACACGAGTCAGCGGAAAAGATGGCCGACGTTCTTGTTGTGCGGGTTGTGTGGAGGAAGTTACGAAGGCCCAAATTCTGCGCCCACTTGTACCCTTAATGCTGATCAAAGACGAGCGAACCAAGTTAATCGGAATATTGAGAAGTCGTTACGCGAGGAGCGGGAACGCACAGCACGGGATGTGAAGCTGCTTCTGTTAGGGGCTGGCGAGAGTGGAAAAAGCACGATAGTGAAACAGATGCAAATCATTCACAGGACTGGCTACAATGAAGAGGACTGTCTGAAATACAAGCCAGTGGTTTACAGCAACACCGTGCAAAGCATGGTGACCATCATTCGTGCTATGGGAAAACTGGACATTCCGTTCAGTGGCGCAGACAAGGAGGAGGCTGCCAGACAGTTTTTCAGACTGGCACAGGAGCACGCGGAGAGAGAGTCGAGAGACTTGTCTGAACAGTTCTGGCACACGATCCGGGATCTCTGGCAGGACTCAGGTGTGCAGGAGTGCTACAATCGGTCGAACGAGTACCAACTGAACGACTCGGCAGCTTACTACTTCGACTCGATCGAGAGAATATCACACTTGGGCTACATTCCAACAGAGCAGGACATCCTCAGGACTCGCGTTCGCACATCCGGAATCGTCGAGATCCAGTTCTCTTTCCGACGCCTCAACTTCCGCATGTTCGACGTCGGCGGCCAGAGGAGTGAGCGCAAGAAGTGGATCCACTGTTTCGAGGCTGTCACTGCTATCATCTTCTGTGTCGCTTTATCAGCCTACGATCAGGTACTGTTTTGTGTCAATCCATCCATATATGGGGAGAACTGTGATTCCGCTTTTCCAATTTTTGCACACAACAAATTGGTAAAAGCTGAAAAAATATCCAAACATTGATTAAGTTTCGGGAACTGGACAATCTTTAAAATCTGTAAGAATTTGACCTTGCAATTATTGTTTGATTATCAAATAATAATTAATTTTGTGCGGCTGTCCACTTGGTGTAGTGGCAAAGCGCTTGTTTGAGCTTGCAAAGGGGATCGGTCGATCCTTGCTTTTCTTTGCGGTGTATTTATTTGGGGCGAATTTTTCTGTTTGTTAGTCTTCGTCTCAGTTCTTGTCGTCTTTGTTTCCACTCTGTTTTTTTAAACGATCAATTTCATCCTAACTGTTATTTCAAATTTTCTAACCATTGTGTGTTTTTTCTGCCGTTGATTTTTTTTTCTGCCGTTGATTTTTTGGCTTGGATTCAGACTGAAGTTCCGTTATTTAATTTCTAAAAGGTAAACTTCATTTATGTGAATGATGGTGTCTAAACAAAGACGTATAAAGGAACATTGAAAATTGTTCCTTATACTCGCGATAAGCAAGCGTTCTCAAATCGGAGCGTATACTATTTTTCAGTTGAACAATTTGTATAATAGAATCATTTCACTAAATCATTTCTCGCCTATAAGACCTTTCTTTTGGCTAACTGTCGTTTTTGAGGATATCTTCGTTTTAAACCACCCTTTTCATCCAAAGTTTGTCTTCGTGCTAGTTGTAAATCAACTCTCGTATTGAATAATTTCTTTTGCTTCAGAGTTTTTTGCCTTATAGGTTTCCCCGGATCTTATATCGGCTGAGGCGCTTAATATAACATTGATTGAAGCGCTAAATTATTTGTTGTATGTTTGCCTAAGCTGGGGGATGCTAAACTTTGAGTTGGCGTTTAAACTTTGAAGGTAGCGTTTACCTAATTTTCCTCAAAATGATGTTCATTGGAGACAAAAGTTTGAACGTTTTTTTTACAACGCTGTGTTATTTTATATCGCAAGTGTTGTGAAACCGCACTTCATTTCTGTTTATAAAAGTTCAACGTTAAAAAAAGTACATTTTTGAAAACATTAGTTTTTTTCTCAAGCGATCAGCTTAATGTAGTAATATGAACCTTTTTTTTTAACCTAACTCGCTAATAATTGGTCATTAGAAGTGTTCACTTCTTTGGAAATTTCAATATAGCATTGGAAAATGCATAGCATCTGTTCTCTGCTTTATATGTGGCTAATTTTTTGTACCTATTAAGTTTCTGTAGCTGATTGGTAAGTGTTGGAGACTCTTAATCTCTAGGTCGAGAACAGACGTAGCCTAATTTTAGCTAATTCGAGGCTTATCTCTACTTTTTTATTGCAATTTATAGAGATGTTTTTTGTTTTGTTCTCGCTAGTGTTTGCGAAGCGAAGCTTCGCCTCTGTGTTTAATAGTCGATGAACTTAGCGAAGACTCTTGAATACGTCGTGATAATTTTTCAAGTGTGTCTCTTGATATCTTCTCAAGCTCTTTTCATTTCCTTTGTTAAAAGGAAGGCAAACTCCTTTATCGAAGAGAAAAAGTGTAAAGGTCACAAAAAATATAATTGACTTCTAGTGAACGTGGATTCAAGTTTTCAGATTTCCCAGCAGAATATAAACTTTACCAATTAATCCATTTTTCTCAAATTGCGTTAATTTTGCCGAAAAATTGTCAATCATAACTTGTTCTTGAAATGCAAAGAGCTTTATGTCCATGTACTTAAATTTGAAATTCGAAAGTCAATGTTTTTTCTGTTTCTCTGCGTTCATTGACTTTTTTCCATTTGTCTGTTGGCTATGTTTTTGTTTTTTATCAGTTGATCGTCGCTTTTTTCTTTTGCTCTCTTTCTGTGATGGGAAGAGTGTGTTTTACTAGCACAGCAACAGGCTTCTTCTCTTATTGGCTATTCATGGAGGATTGATTGTTCGTATATTTTGTTTTGTTTTGCAGGTACTAGCGGAGGATGAGGAAACGAATCGGATGCAGGAGAGCATGCAGCTGTTCGAGTCCATCTGCAACAACAAGTGGTTCGTCACCACCTCCATCATCCTCTTTCTTAACAAGATGGACTTGTTCGAAGCCAAGATCGAACTTTCGCCTTTAACCAAATGCTACCCGGAGTACAGGGGCGAGAACACATTCAACGAGGCCGGCAGATACATCCAGATCAAGTTCGAGAACCTGAACAAGCGCAAACAGACCAAGGAGATCTACCCGCACTTCACGTGTGCCACCGACACCACCAACATACAGTTCGTGTTCGATGCAGTCACAGACGTCATCGTCAAGAAGAATCTACAGGAGTGCGGACTCTATTAGCCTACACTACACTACCGCTACCCAGACCCCACAACCACTCATATGCAGACACCACAACCACTCATATGACTCCTCATCATGGTATCTGGAATCCCTTTTGGTTGGACACCCCACCACCGAAACCACGGCCGCCGTCGCCTCACCTCTCAACCATGACGACAACATGGGTCGTCGCTGCATCTGTAGTCACCATGATGTGTGGTGTGTGCCCATCTGATAGATAGGGACACGCATGAACTTTCAATCGATCTATCAGTACACTTTACCTGTCCTGTAGCAACTTGCTTCCATCCCAACGTAAGCACCACCGACAAATACTGAAGCGAATCAAGTTTTATAGTGTGCATTATCTCATTTTCAGATGAAAACAGAAACTCTGAAAGGCAGGAACACTTAAAAAGCCAATATGCTCTTCGTATAATTTATATAAGTACCTTTTTTCTGCTCTCATAAAAATGCGAAATTTGTTCAAGTAATCGTGGAACAATTTCGGCACTCCTTGTGCTTGAAGGCGAAGCGATTCTATCAATGTCCTAAAACTGAACTGGAGATATTATTGTAAATTTCCCAAAAAAAACATTCAAATTGAAGCACTAATGCCATCATTGAATCCTTGTTATACATTTTTAGAAGATTCCGAGCTTTAGGTAAAAAAAATTCTCTGAAATCTTTCATCTTTATAATCTATTTGTTAATGAAGAACTTTTAAAATGTGCAATATTTTGCTGCAATAATAAATGATATGCAATTTAAAATACTACATTTAACAAATCACTCAAATCTATTTTTGCAGGCTGAATCTGTGCTATTTTTCTATTTCTGAAGTTGTGGTGTGTGTGTAAATATTAGATGAAATCCTGCCAAAGTTTTTAGTGCTATATTTTACTTTTCCATTCATTTATACATGCTATTTCTATTGTCCATTAAATTTTAATAGACTTTGTGTTGTAACTTTCATCCAATTTGCAACATTGTAAACATATTGTGTTACCTAATACTTCACCTAGCAGAACCTTGTTTATTATTGATAATTAATAAATTACTTTTTGAGCAAGGTTTTGTCTTGGCATGTTAGATGTTAGCTACGTCATTTATCATATTTCGCAAAGTTCAGGCCGCAGCTGGTCGTGTTCGCTTACATGTAAATCAATTCATGTTTTCCAATAAACGAGACTAGCTTCGGCCCAAACTTATTGTTAATTCGGAGTTAAATCATCAAAGCAATGGTTTATTCAGTAGCTGCCATTTTCGAATTTAGCAATGAAAATGTTTTCAATTAAACTGAATTTGACTCGTAAATTATGAAATAGTTTAAAGTGACTCTACTTAATATTGAACTCTTCTGTCATCATTTTGTCCCTGTGGTTATTTTTTGAAATTGATATTTTCATTTCTCATTGTTTTGAAGAAAAGTCCTTAAATTAGCTTTCCTTGAAGGTTTTTGAAAAACTTGACCTTTTATGAAGGTTGGCCAAAGTGATTTTCCGAGCTCGTCCCTCAAAAGTACTTAATAATGGCGTCAAATGTCATCTAGATAATATTTGATGTGGTCGCCTAAAATAGATCTAAAATAGTAACTAAGGCGAACCTCTGAGTGGAGAGGGTGCCGAATCCCTAAGAAAAGCGTGAAATTGTTTTTTTGCCATGTCGCCAACTTGCTTTTTAGCTCAGGAAGACTCTTCTATAGGTTTTTCAGGGAAAGTCCTAAAATTTGTTCAAGCTCAAATTTAACTTTTCGCGGCTTGACTTTTTTATTTTTAGGTTCAGTTCATTTCCTTTGTGAATAGGAAGGCAAACTCCAATATTTGACAGGAAAAGTGTTAAAGTCGCAAAAAAGGTGACAGGAAAAGTGTTAAAGTCGCAAAAAAGGTGATCGACTTCTAATTTTGAAAGTGGAGTTAGATTTCCAGATTTTCCAGCTTTGAGCTAATTTCATCTAAAAAATTGTCAATCATAAACTTTTCTTGAAATTCATTGAAAAAATGTACCTGTTGGTTCTTTTTTTCTCAAATTTGTTTAGTTTTATGAAAAGAAGTAATTTTTATTCCGTAAAGTGATTTGTTCACAGGATGACCGTAGTGGCGTTGGTGGGCATCTCCAAATCTCGACTTTCGTCAGCCAAAAAAAAAGTTTTGTGCTTGTATGTGTTGTGCCTTTATGCGATCCCGTAAATAACTTTGTTCACAGAATGGCCAATTTTGCAGGATTGATAAATTTCAAATATTGCTAAAATTTTTGAAAATTTAAATAAAACGACCTTTATTTAGGTAATAAATTGGTGTAGTCCGTTTCCGGTATCATTTTTTTTCCAATACTTGTCTCGACAAAAAAAGTTGAATTTTGTTTTTTTTTCGGGTTCGTTGTTTTCGGCCTAATATCTGCCAGTACAAGTTCCGTTTTTTTAAATTGAATATATATTATCTGATACTGTTTAAGAGTAATGAACGTAGGTGAGGACTTTTTCAAAAATTCTTAAAACGCTCTATTAACTACAGATAGGCTTTCATACATGTTAATGGTATATATATGCAATTTTTGAGTTCAATTGAAATTTATCTGCTGAAACTCACGTAAATAGCACTCTCCAGATACGAACGTGGAAATGGCGCGAAAAAAGGAACAATTTCCAGTTTCGAAAGTGGAATTAAATTTTTAGGTATCGAGTGGAACAAAAACTTTATCTATTGATCCAGTTTTCTCAAGTTGTGTGAATATTATCCAAAAAGCGCCAATCATTAATTGTTCCAGAAATTCAAAGAGCTAATAGGGCATCTATTTTTTTTTGAAATTCTACAAAGTCAGCGTTTTTGTTTCTGTTTACTTGCGTTCATTACTCTTTTCCAACAGTCAGTTGGCTAAGTTTGTTATTGGCTTATTTTGTAAAGCATGGACTTTTTAAAATTTGCTCCTTTTACTATAACTGATTGTTCTGGAATTTGTCGGTTTTCAAAGTCAGATTTTTTTATTTTAGTTTTTTTGCTTAAAATTTTTTCCATTAAATGGTTTCGGCTTATGTTTTATCGCATAATCATTTTCGTTTGCGTAGTTTCTAGTGCAAAAAGCTCATGTCTATGAAAATGAGATTTTTTTCTTGTTATTTTTGTTTTTTGAGACGCTTGGGAAATGCTTTTCGCTGAAGTTTTAATATATTTCTACAACTTATTCACTGATTTTCAAAAAGTGACACTAATGAAAAACCGGCTAATACCTAGTATGTCTGCATACTTCCATAGTCTCTTCAAACCTTTCTCCGCCTTCAAAGGTCTTCGAAATTTTATACGTGGGGACTCATTTTCTTGGATTTTGAAATCTTAGTCTCAGACGTGACACCGTGCCAAGTCTGAGACTAAGGTTTCAATAGCAAGAACAATTAGTGGGGATGTCTTTTACATCAGACGCTACGTCCTAATTTTAAAAGAAAAAAGTTGTGGCCTCAAAAAAGGCCATTTTTTGACAGTTTGGTAATTTTCTCAAAAACTACGCTCTCTTATATCTTGAATTAAGGGTTCAATCGAAAAAGGAGTGTGTAGAAATCCTCCCTAAGGACGTAATTTGTTTCCTTCCATTTTTTGTAGAAAATTAGTTCAGTTCTCGGAAAAATCAAATTACTTTGAGTTTTTGATCTTTTTTTGTAAACCTTGTTACTTTTATCGAAAATTACCCTGCCTAATCTGATATCAAAAATTTTGTCGAAATAAAGGGATTTGGCAATCCTCTCTGCATTAGCAAATTTGCCGAACTTCGACCGTTTTTTGAAAATTTTTGACTTCTCAAATAACTACCCTTCCATTTTTAATATTAATGGTTTAATTGGAATAACAGATATTTGAATTCTTTGCTGGATAAGCTGGTACGCCCTTATTTATGAAGAAAATAGCTTTAAAATTTTATAGATAACAATTTAGCTTTTTTGGAACAGTTTTTTTGGAAAAAGTTTGTTTGAGCATAGAAATGATTTGGCGACATTGTAAAATTGTTCAAAATTTTTGTAAAAGTGGACTTCTCGGGTTTCCTTGAAAGGTGCCTAGCAGGTTTCTAGGCCTGGTTTTCAAACGATTTTTTAAATCATAGTAAATCTATCCGAAGCTTAAACGTTTCGGAGGCGTTTCGGAAAGCTTTATTGCACATCTGTCTGCAATAATGAAGCTTCCACGCAATACAGCAAGCTGATTGTACCTGGTTACAATCCCAAATGTTAAGCGTCACCAAAAATATACCAGCTCATCTGTTAACTTAAAATCAATTGCGAAATTTTATAGTGTAAATGAATTCGGTAGATTTGCGGTAAAAACAAGCAATACACACCGATTTTAAGGTGATTTCGGATTCGTGAATGACAACCGGAATTCGTAATTAAACCAACATTGGCTAACATTAAATATAAATTGCAATGAAACTCATCTAAACACATTCTAAAATTTTTTAACTCTGCTGAAACGCTGTGTTAACGCTAGGCTGTAGAACTAATTGCTATCATTTTTATACACTTGCTAAAACCTATTAGACACGTATAAAAATTATTTGAAAAAAGTACCATGTCATTGCTTTGGGGCAATTAGTCTATGAAACGAGTTTGCTTTTGAGAATTAGAGAGGAATGCAATTAGAGGAATGTATGCACGTTTTGCAGCAATTTAACTGTGCAGACCGAGGTTTTCAACGATTCCGTTCAAAATGTTCAATTGACAGATATCTACCTGCTGCTATAATCCTATTTTAAAGTTTCTCAACCAGTGGCCTGGTTGTGGGCGCGCATTGGCACTGGCGCACCGATAACCGCCACACGTTTTTATCATAAACAATTCGTGTCTCGGGACTGTCAAGATTTTTGAATTGATTTTTTATCAATGAATCTTCCGAAGTATAAGACTAAAATACCCTCCTGAATTTACGAAATGGGACAAGAAATTTCGTAAATATATCAAAATAGGACTAAATCTGTCAATTTGTTTGTAGGCTTGAGACCGAATCTGTTTGCACGTGCAACACTATACACCATAAAATCGATTATTGTGGCACTAAAATCCATTTATTTTCGGTGAAAAAAAAATCAATTTTATCTATATTATCGTTCGTAAAATGTATTATTGTTCGTAAATGGTTGTAGATAAATTGATTTTATACTTACGTTAATCTGTAGATTTTTTTGTATATAATCGATTTTTATCCATTTTGTCACTGCGGGATACGGGACAGCTTATTGATCAAGGCAACCATTACTAAGTTAGGATCCAGATTGCTCTGGAACCAAAAACGTGCGAAAAATGTAAGCAATCTCTCTCTACATTGAAGATACGATTTTTTATTAACAGTTAATTAATTTTCAATTGTCATTTAATCATCACTAAGTTTTTTCTCTCGATAGAACTTTTTTTACATCTCCAGGAGAGTTTTTATTCCAGTCCTCCCATCTCGTCGACTTTCTTCTGGACATTCTCACCAAATGGTTTCTTGAACGTCTTCGGGAAGTCTTTACCGGCGCCCCACTGCTTCCGTAGCGCGTCTCTCTCCTTCAGCAAGTCCTGTGACGAAGGCATGTTAATCCACGTTTTCTTCGGCACGTAGGCGATGTTCTGGGCGTGCTCTGGAACCCCTATTTGTAGCAAAACGAGTACTATAAGAAACCAAAAGTTAAAGTCAAACAAAACTCTATATGAGCTACATGAGAGTTTTACTCAAATCTTTCTTTACTCAACTGTAATAAGGATGCAAAATTTTCTTAAAATTAGTTGGAGGAATAAGTTTTTCGACTATTCTGTTATCATCAAAAATTTTGAGCTCAGTTTGCGAACAATTTTGAAGGCAAAATGGTGCTGCAACCATTGCACGTTTTAAAACTAGATAGCAAAGGCTAAATGTTGCCGAATCTTTAGTTATATGTCAACATGCTTCTTACGGCAAGTTTTTTTCTGTGAAAATTTGCTCGAATGAAAAATTTGGGAAGCTTCAGTTGAAAGAGAAAAAAGTTAGTGATTTTGCTTAATTATTGAGGCGTGTATTTAGGGAAAGATCCAAAGTATCAAATGAATAGTTGAGTTCTTTAGGAGGAGCCATTTTCTCCTAACTACTTTTTCATCATATTTTTTGGACAGCGAAAACTGTTTACGTCACCCTCAGGAGCACGATTTGTTCTCGAACCACCGACCTTTCGACCTTGAGATGCAAATACTTGAGTGACTTCACAGCCAAATTGTTTATTTTGATAGCTACCTGATGCGATGGCGGTGGCTGTGCGGATGACACTCTCCTGTTGGTACTTGTCGAAGATGGACTCTGGCTCCTCTATCTCCTCCTCCTCCCCCTTCCCTTTCTTCCCCTGTTTGCCCTTCTTTTTACCCTTCTTCTTGCCTCCAGCCTTGCCCCCCTTCTTACCTAATCGAAAAAAAACATGATCACTAGTAAGTTGGAAAAGTGTCGATGAACTCCAGCAAACCGAGATAAAAAAAAACTTCTCCTGCATAATTTCTCAACAAATGAAAGAAAGCTGGATCAATGCGTATTTTTTCTACTTCGCTGTGAAAGCTTTGGAAACTAAAGTCATTTGTTTTGGCGTAATTGGAGTGCGTAATTGTTCCGACTTCCGAAAAAATTAACGGGATATTTGTGCTCAGGGTTTTTTTTCAGACCTATTTGAGCAGAAATTTTTATCACCTGAAAGGTATTGACATCTTGCTAACATTTTAGTGGCAATTTATTCTGGCTCAGAAATTGATCAAAATTTAACTGAATCAAGTTATTTGTTCTTTACTTTTGCGAGAGCAAATTTCTTGTTATCGTGAACTAGACTTCTTTCCGGTAGAAAATTTCTTATGTTTCATAGAAGTCACTCTACGCAACGTGCTGTTTCCAACCAGTGCCTTTGCTGATATTAAAAGGTTTGTATAACAGCATTGATACTGCAATTGAAGTTTATTATCATTTATTATTATCAAAATTAAAATGTAATTTGGAATGAAAATTGATTGAAAATAATTTTAAATTTTCGTTCTAATTTTTATCGGCTTAGTTTTCGTCGGCTACTTGATCTTTTTAAATCCTTATAGATTCCAGGCTTCTTCCAACTTGGTCTAATGGTGAATTGGTTTCTTTTGTATCCTAAAGACTGAGATTCGAGTCCCGATCGATCCTTGTTTGTTTGAACTTGAATGAACATATATGAAATTGAACTTTTTTTGCGAAGTTTTCAATTGTCAGATTTTCGTCCTGTTATTGTTTTTTGTTTATTAAATTGATTTTGCTTTATCCTTCATCAAGTTTTTTATCCTATTTTGTGTATGTTGATGATCAAAATTAAATGAAAATTATGACGGTTCTCAAAATTAAATGAAAATTCTGAAACTTATCTCTCAAAGTTGTTTTTCTGACAACAGTTTCTGATGGCATTTTTTTGTTTTCTTCCCAGTGCGCGTCTTCCCAAGTATTGTCGCTTTACGAGCTGCTAACTAATTGATACAAAAAGCATATTTAAGACTGGTGGTTGCGTTTTTCGACTGTTATTTATAAAAAAAAAATTCTTTTTGTCAAAAACTATCATTTTTTGTTTTTTCGACCTAGCGATAACTGTATTTTTTAATTCTTTAAATTGCAACGCTGTGCTTGCGTTGTAACGCATATGATGGGGAAATTTTTGAATGAAATCCCAGAAAAAAAATAAATTTTAATTTTTTTTTCGAAATTTTCATCTGTTTTGAAAAATTCAATATAATCATAATCCATAAATGCTACAGCACCGCCTGATTTGATAGGTACTTGTCCTTTTACAAGCAGTCTTGCTTGCATTTTTATAACACTTTAGTTTAAATGGAACTTAACGAGACTGCTCGTATATCAGTGCACAGCTCTTAATTTCCGACTAACATTTGAGGCAATTTAAAAGGCAGTTTGGTTGAAAACTAATGAAATAATAAAAAAACGTTTGATCTCCTCACAGGCAATGTAAAGTACAATGAACTGTATTTTACTGTATTTTGCGTCTCGCATTCTAATCATAAGACCAAATGACTTGCCTCAATTCAACTTGGAATATTTCATTCCACCGTTTACGCGTGTTATAAGAATGCATTGTATCGCGCATTAATTATCACAAGAAGGCCAAATTAGCGCTTTGCAAAACCGATATTTTCTTGAAAAAAGATCACAGGTTCGGGAAGCAAACAATATGTTTCAGTTAGTATAAAAAAATGGTATTTTGTCATAAAAGCTTAGTTAAAAAGTCGAAAATTGACTGAAGAAAATAACCACTCCGAGTACAAATATTCTTCACTTTTTTCGGGATTTGCAACCAAAAGAAATCAAAAATCAAATGCAAAAAGTTCTAGGGTGATCAAATTGAAAGATTTCCTCCTGAAAAAATACCCCGTGAATAATGTCTTCGCTTCGTTGAAAAGACGAATAAAGAGAAATCAACTCAATTTCATAAAACAATTACCACGCGTTTCAAGCTTTTTTGTAAGGTTATTTTTCACCAACTTCAAGACAATTTATGCACGAGTGAAAGGAACAATTATTTCACTTTTTTTACAGTGAAATGCTGTAGTGCCTCTGGTTAAGAATCATATTACATACTTTTTTTCTCTTGGCCGGATAATGTTGCCGCACTCACTCGAAACGAGGATAGAACTTGATGGGTCTTGAATCACCGACATTTTGATTGAGAGACGGATACTTGACCACCACGCCGCTCAAAAAAAATTGATAGAAAAACAAATAAAATTTTATCAAAAAAATGTATAATCAATTTGTAAAATGTAATTTAAATCTTTATAACGATTTGGTAGAGCTCAGAAAATAAATATAGTCGAGACCCCCCCCCCCTCGAGCAAATCCGAGATCCACCCTTGATTAAAGATCTAAAGATCTCTTTATAATCCGGACTGAGGTCAACGACCTCTGTCTAAACTATCGCGGCTAAGTTTTGACAGGTGCAGACTTTCGCGACCAAAGCTCGACATTTTCGGATTTTCACGACAGAACAGATCCGTCGCGACATTCGCGAACGAGGCGGAGACGGCGCGACTAGATTTTCATGCCCGGTATTAGCGAGCAGAATTTCGCAACCAAGCTGTGCCATTTACAGACTTGCATGCGCTGACTAGACTTCAAACGCGACATAGGCATACGCATTTTTGTGATCCATATCATGTACATAAATCAGCTCCCAATAAATGTGCCTAAAATACAATAGTTATTTTGCCGATTTTTAAGGTCGAGCAAATTGGTCTTCTTACAAATTTTGGTGCTCAGATTTCGTCAAATTTTGTCTAAGAAATGTACGGTTCTCTAGTACCCCATGATGCACCCCATAAAACCATAATTTGCAAAAAAAATATCAGCAGTAGGCAAATTTTTACAAAAAACAGGCCAAAAATTGTGTTTTTGCAGCTTTTTTTACAGAAGTAGATAGCACTGATACCTTTCTTGGCGCCTTTTTTGTCCTTTTTGCCCTTTCCCTTTTTGTCGTCCTTGTCTCCCAGGAGTCCCATCTTCTCAAACTTATCCATCAGCAGATTGGCCACCCGAGGGTCCCCCCACAACATGGCCACGTCCAGGGCAGTGTGCTCTTTCGCATTCTCCAAACTCAACTTCACTCCTATTCAATAAAGTGTAACATTTCATCTATCGAAATGACAAAATATTTAGAAAAAAAAATCCAACGTGTTTCACTATTTTTTTTTGCTGTTTTAGGAAAAATTAGCAAATTGCTGTTTTTTGGCTGGGAAATCGTTTGGAAGTATGATTCCGAATAACTCTCAATGGTATTTTTTTCTGGTTTTGGCTATAAATGGCGTGAGGAGTTTTTTGAGGCATGGGGGAAAATTTTCAAACTGTGCAACAAATTTTCTCGACTTTATTTGAGTCAACCAATTTGAGTCCACCTAAAACCCCATAAAACCATAATTTGCAAAAATGAGCGGCAGGCAAATGTTGCTATACAATTGTTTTTTTTGGCGAGTACTCCCTTTAGAAAGCTTTTGAGGAAGGTTTTTAGTACCAGGAAGGAGATTTAGTACCAAAGGTGAACCCTTGAGAAACATTTGGCAACCATAATTGAGGGGAGGGGTATAGAGTCTGCACGCTACTGGACGTAGAAAATATTATCTTTTGTCCATCAGTTGCATGATCCAAAACGAGGTGTACAAAATGAGGAGAGTTGGTGAAGTGATTACGTCTCCGCCTCTCTGTCGGAAGGTCGGGTGTTCGAGGCCCACCATAATCTGTACTCGTTGCTTAAGAATGGGGCACTATTACACAACCCAGTATCATTACTAGTATGGCAAGTACAACATTAAATCCTTAACCAGAGATGCTACAGTGGATAAATAGGTCGTAGCTTAGTCTTTTCCTTAGTGGATAAATCGTCTTGGCGTAATCTAGGTTACGTGCCCAGCTCTTTTTGCCGCAATTTGCTTTTGATTAGGTCTGGTTTGGTTAGGACTGAATTGTGAATTCATCATTTCGGCTGGGAAATCGTTTGGAAGTATGATTCCGAATAACTCTCAATGGTCCCATATAAAAGTCAGACAAAGAGGTTTCCAAGGTTATTTATCAGTTCTTTTGAATTGTATCGAACGCAGAAAATGCTTCACCTAATTGTCATTGGACTATCAGTCTTTCTTTGGCGAAGGTCATTATCGAGCTCCGAAGTTTTAGACGAAGTTATTATACCGGCGAAATGTGTTGACGAAATATATCGACGATACATAGTTGATCGACGAAGTTTTTACAGCTTCGTCGATAAATTTTTGCATTTATGGATTCCATCATAGGAAAAATGAGCAACCGACTTGTCTTTTTTCTGGTTTTGGCTATAAATGGCGTGAGGAGTTTTTTGAGGCATGCGGGAAAATTTTCAAACTGCAACAAATTTTCTCGACTTTATTTGAGTCCAATTATCATAAAAAAAGGAAAACGTAACCTGTAAGGAATCTTGAATTTAAATTGCTAAATAATCAAGCTGACCTTCTAAACCGACATCTAAAATTTGGAGTTGTTTTGATACAAAATTTAAGTTGAAATTAACAAATTTTTTGTTACATTTTCAAACAACTTCACGGTGAAAAATTTGTTTGATTTTATATTTTAAGTTTGGAAATGAGGCGTGAATTTTTTATTCTAATTGTAATTTCAACTATATTATGCGACCCTTGCGCATTTAAACGGTGATGACGGCGACTGACCTTTTTCCAGCAGATACTCGACTACCTCTGCCCTGGATGCCTCGATGGCCCTCATGATGGGCGTGGCCCCGTGCATGGTGACTGCATTCATGTCCGCCCCACTATCAATCAGCATCTGAACTATGGGCAACTGGCCTAAAAAACAGAAACAACATATCAACTGCAACTTTTGATAGTTTTTAAAGAAATATTTAATAGATAATTTTTTTCATTAATTACATTAATACAGTGCTGTTTTGAGTTATACCAACAGATTGAACAAAATTTTAAATTTCAAACGCGTTTTTTCACATTGCGCTGACTTAAGACAAAAACAATTGGAACAAAACTTCCTTAAGAATTTTAGCAAAATTTACATAGTGCAATTTATTTTGCAAAACTCTGGCCCAAAATTTCTCAAAACCTATCAATTAGTTTTTTTTTGTCAATGAAAATTTACGTCAGAATTGCTGGATCAATTGCTGACAAAATTACATCAAAATGAGTCCCTAATGTAGCCCAGCAAATTTTAACAAGAGTATACTCCTCTGAAAATTGTATAAATTGTCTTATATCTATTTAATAAAAATACAATACGTAAAAACCAAATTTTAAATAGTAAGATTTTAAAAACGTTTTGCTCAATTTGTTAAGGCTTTCACCACTCCTAAACTTTGTTGGTCTGCGTAAAGGCTCACTTTGATATAATTTTGTCAGTATCCGACGCGAAAGATCTGGCGTAATTTTTGGTTGACTAAAAAACATCGGTCCATGCAACATCTTTCAAGCAAACGTTAGAAATCGGATCTCTGCCCTGCTTTTTGAGTAAAGTCAGATGTTTACCTTTGTAAAATATTTTTTGGATACTTGCAACTTTTTTTGATTTTTCTGATGTTTGGCACATCGGATGTTTGCACGGTACCCGGCTCAATTATTCGAGCCCAATTTAGTTAACTGTCAGTTTGAGTTCGCTGATGAGCCAACTGATCGCGCCTCGCGGCAATAACCGGCTTCAATTTTCATAAAGAGTCCTTTCCTGTGTTGACAAACTCGCAACACCTTGGCGCGAATGCGGCGATCCGCCTTCTTTCGACAACACAGCATCTTGTAAGCGAACGGTAGAAATTGGATCTTTGCCCTACTTTTTAAAATTTTTTGGATGTTTGCCCTAGTGAAGCTATTTTTTGGATGTTTGGAATATTGGATTTTTACACCGTACGCGTGGAGTGACAATGAAAAAAGAGATTTAAAATTCCTCTGTGAACAATCTTCCCCCTAAAGTTAAATGGCAAACCAATCCGTAAGGCCTGCATGCCCTATGCTTAAATCTGATTGGCTGAAAAATATTACTTACCAAGTGAACAATCTCCCTGCTAAGTTGATTTAGGGGTAAGGTTGTTCAATCGGTCCCAATACAACTATAATTCAACACCTATCGTTTTTATAACGGGTTATTTTTCCGACTTTCGAAGAAAGTGACGGAATATTTGTTCTCAGGGTAGTTTTTTTCTCTCCAGACGAATTTCGACTTTTTAATTATTTTTTTTGACGGATTTTTCATTCATCCGAAAGTTTTTTTTGTCCTGAGATTAAATTTTAAAAGATATTTCACTTCTGATCATTTTTGGTAAAGTTATGGGGGTTTAAAAGTTATGGCGATTTAATCTGTCTTAAAAAGCGTTCCAAACTGGTTGAAGCAGGCTATTTGTCATAATTTTTATGTTACCAGGAGCGAAATCTATCATTTTGTATTTTATATGGCCTGTGGGGGATGATTATAAGACATCTCATTTAAAAAAATTTTTTTTTGGAAAATTCAATAATGTTTTAAGCGAACATTGCTCCATAGACCTTAAAGGCAGTCAGAACATTCAGGGCTTAGCTCTAAGACGAGCAGTCTTGTCAAAATTGGGATATTAAAAATAAATTTATTCAGTAATTCGTTTGGTACAATGGCTTGCTCTATATGTGGATACCTCAATTGACTTAGCACCACATGAGCCAAAAAATACGTGAATCCTTTTTTTTTGTTACCGGAGAAATTTCGCTTGGTTATAGAGCAGCGGGCACAGTTTTTAGACTTGAATTTATGTGTTTGTAATTAGAATTACCACTGTGGCAGGCGAAGTGTAGTGGTGTCCAGAAGAAGTTGTCTTTGGTGGTCACTTCGGCCCCCTTGTCCAGCAGGAACTGCACCATGTCTATGTGTCCCTGAGCACAGGCTGTCATCAATGGAGTCTTGTAGTACTTGTCACGCGTATCTGCGAAAACAAGAAGCAATAACAAGTGCAATACGCAAATCAGAGAACCACGAATAACGATCCACGTATAAGAAGAAGATGCACCGCAAAACAAGCAATATTTCGGAAAAATGCAGCGTCATGTCTACCTCCCCTCCCACTAGACATAGGCAAACTTTGAAAAAATTTGTTGTACAAGGTCATTTCAGGAGCCGACCAAAGTAATGTACCAAGTCCTACGCACAGAGTTTCTCCTTTGGTAGTCTTTTGGTAATTTTTTGTCCTAGCAATAAAGGTTTTTTAGTTGGGCAGCTCCAGAATTTGTCAAAACTGTGGAGTTGTTATTCACGTTATTTGTTTTCAGAGAGTCTGGTAAGATTCGTACATTTTTTTGTCTTTGCCGTTCAAAGCCGAACTCGGGCTATAATTGGCCTCAAATTATTACTAAGAGGCATTATCTTTCGTGTTAAGCGTCTGGCTCCAGAAGCGACAATGATTTCAGTTTTCTTTTACCTGGTGGTATGTTGAGAATGTCTATTGCATATTTGAGGGATTCGAAGTCACTAGTTCGGGTGGCGTCGTTGATTCCCTGGAAAGTCTTACCAGGATCAGTCATATACCTGCAAAAAAAAACATTTTTCAAAGACGATTTATCCTATTCACAGGGGAAAGGACCAACATACCAGCTGTTCAGCTGTTCGCGGAGAACCGCTGTTGTGCTCCTGCTTAAGAACTGCATGCAATTTTGTTTTGGCTAAATATCTGGGCTGCGTAATGTTGTCTAACCCTCTATCAACTAGCACGGATCATGGTGGGCCTCGAACACCCGACCTTTCACTTGAGAGGCGAAGACGTAAGCACTTCACCACCGCCGCTCCCCAAAAGGTGTTGTTTAATTCATTGTAACTCCCTACCGCTCATACGAATTTTCATCCCACAACTATTTTACTCAGGTGGACTGAAAAAAGGACATAAAATCAAAATCGCTCCCCAAATCCAGTCAAGGGGGAAATCCGAAATTCACCCATATGCAAATGAGGGTTGTGTGTCGCAATTGTGGACAAAATTGCTAAGGAAAATGTCGATAGAGTTGAGAAGTTTCGGAAAAAAATCGAGCTATAGTACATCAAACATACAATTTTCATCAACCATTCACTTCACCGACAACTTCAAGCTTCCACCAGTGTGATTTCACGTTTAGCTTATCATTCAGAATACAGATAAAAGTGCGGTGAATGATGGACTCAAAATGAAAATAACTGCAAAGGTTGAAAGAGAAACAGTGCCGGAATTTGCGAAGAAACATAAAATTTTTAATCGAGATTATCATCTAGTGGTTGCCAGCAACTTTGTTTCCACTTTGTTTTCGAGTATAAGGGCTTCTCGACCATGGATTTTTGGTCTAACTCTGACATGTGCTCGGACCCGCCCTGGTCGAAACATAAATCGCGAACCTCGACCCGGGCAGTTATATTCACCATATGCAGTCGTCCATGATGGCGTTCTTGGGTGCGTTGTCGCGGGAGAACTTGCTCCAGTCGGTCAGTGGCAGCATCTTGGGGATGAAGTTGACGGGGGGAGCCCCGTGGGGCATGCGGGGACCCTCCGGGGCTGTGCAAATGGGGAAAGCCAGCTTAAATTTGCCCTTCTTCTTCCCTTTGCCCCCCTTTCCTTTCTTGCCTAAAAATAACAAAACTGCTTGTATCAGGTCGAAGTCCTGAATGTTCCGACTACCTTTTGGGATTTTTGGAGTAGTTTAAGTGTGTCGCGTAAAAAACTGACTGAAATTTTCAAAGAAAACAAGAAAAATTTTGAACATTTTTTTAAAAGATATATATTTTTGAAAATCACCCCCCTCTCCCCCTCACATGCTATGTCAAGTTGAAACTGATAAATTTTGCATACATCAAAGAATTAAATAGACCAAATATCATGCCTCAATTCAATTTGGAACAATTTCTAAGGCATTTTGAATCTTTGCTTAAGCGTTATTATAGCACGAAAAATATCGCGCGTTAACTGTTCCAAATTGGCTAAATTGGCCATCTTTAAACCCCATAACTTTACAAAAAATGATCACAGTTAAAACATCGTTTTGAATTTGAGCGCAGGACATCAATGCCTTTCAATTGATGCTGAAACTCCGTCAAAAATGGCTAGTTAAAAAGTCGAGAAAAAACCATCCCCGAGCACAAATATTCCGTCACTTTCTTCAAAAGTCGGAACAACAAGATCAGAATCATCGCAAAATGTTGAATTTCAACAGAAACACAAACGGATATTATAAAACGAACTTAAAAATTAATAAATTGACCGTGTTTAAATTTCAGACAGTAATTTCAGACAAATAATCATAAAAGTTAATCAAATTTACTGGAGCCTTAATTCAATTTTGCATGCGCTATTATTGTTCACGCAAGGACTGGCTTAGTTCTGTATAACTAACAAAAGTATGATTCACTTATGGGAACTTTTTTGATTTTTTAACCAGTCAAAAGTTACGCCAAAATTATTGATTTTCAATTGCTGACAGAACAATATCAAAATGAGCATTTTATGTAGGCCAACAACGTGCATGAAGAGTATTCTTTTTTCAATTTTGCACAAGGATGTTTATTATTGTTTGATGGCCAGATAGCCTTAATTGTTTGTTTTTGTTTATTTTTTTTGTAGTTTGTTTATAAAAAATACCATATTTCGTTTGAAAGCTTTTTTTTTGCGTTTAGCAGATGTGATTGGATTGTACATGCTTCTTTAATTTTGTTGGGTTACATACGGGGCTGATTTTGATATAATTTTGTCGAAAAATTAACCAGTAGTTTTAGCGTTACTTTCAATTGCCAAAACTTATTCGTTACCCGTTTTTGTGGGCCCGATTTTTGCATAAAAATGAACTGTTCTGTTAAAACTTCAAACAACTTTTTTGTCAGCATTTTTTGTCTAAAGTCAACCCCATTTAAGAAAAACGCGTTTCAAATTTCAATTTTTATCTGTGTTGTCGGGATATTTTAAATCAGCAATGTATGTTTGAAAAAAATTAAGAAAATCAAAAACGTATAGCATGCCAATCAAAAAAACTTAAAACCAGCAAAATGAAAAACAAGCAAAATGAAGACTACTCATGACGTGAACTTTGAAGAAAAAAAAACGTTTTCATTACTGAAAACAAAGGATCTTTGATATCCTTTTTCATTACTTAGGCATGTTTTTTGACGGTTAAAAAAATACGCTAAATTATGTAAATGGTGGTCAAATAAAACTCTTTTCTATACGGTGATAAAAATATTTCTAATTCCGAAGTAATTATTTTGATGCTAACTTTTGTAGCTTACTTTTTGTGACTTTTTCGTTGCTTGAGTTTTTAGCTTGCTCTCATCAAAGACTTTATGTTAGTAGCCGTGACACACCTTTCTTTTTCTTGTCTTTCTTCTCGAAGGCGGATGCGACATATGTTTTGTGGATGTACTTCTTCCCACTGAGGAACTCCTCATACTTGATCACGCCCTTGTTGTCCTTGTCGTGCATTTTGTAGATGTTGCTAACACACAAAAACAACACAACTATCTCAATGTCCAGCCTCAATTCAACAGAGTCGCCATCAATGATTCAACTTTGGTCACGTTGCCAGGCTGCAAACTACGTTTAATAAATTGATTGTCCAATATTTCACTTTCCTAATTTCCAATTTTAAAGCAAAAATAATACTGGCTGCAAAAAAACTATTAAATGAGAATTTTTAAGACCAAGATGAAACAACGGAGTTTCTGGCTTACATGTAGTCGTCTCTGCTTCCGAACTTGGGTCCGTGCTGTTCTAGAATGTCGACGAACTGGTCCTGGTTCAGGGTTCCCTTTTCCTCCTCGTCTGCATCTTGGAAGTACCCCAGGAGCTCCTGCTCAAACTCACACACCCAGTCGTAAATGTTCAGCGCCCACTCCTCCACCTGTGAAACATGAAGAGAAAACATCATTTAATGCTGCTTAAACAATAGTACATCAGTTATATACACGCCGATAGCACCCAATTCAGGGAATTTGCCTGTCCAATGATGTCTTAAATAGGCGAACACACTAACTGATATGCAATTTACAGTGCAGGAGCTTTTTAACGGGAAGAGCCGGGAGTTTATGAAATTTTTGTCAATTTTCGTAGTTCAGCCATTTCGAATTTTTTGAGTTCTGCCGAAACTCCAGAATGTTTGCCGTTTTTCAGCCTTTTCGAAAAATTTTCACCAAAAAAATGCGTTGTTTCGACGCGTATTCCCGACTCAAATATATTCACATTTGCGAGAGCAAGTGTCTTGTTATGGGAACTAGACTTTTTTGCCTGTAGGGAACTTTTCATTCATATCTTTCTTGCTTTTAAAACTAATTGAATTTATTTTGAGAATTTTTTGTGAGAAAATTTCCTATCTTACAACTTTTTTTTATAAGAAAAATTGTAAAAATTGCGTTTTTTTGAAGTTTTGTGTTCTCAAAACCTTTATTTATTTTGAAAAATCACCTTAAAAAATTTTTTTAAGAAAGTTGTAAGATAGGGGAGTTTTCCTACAAATCTTATAAGAAGTTCTGAGATAGGGATATTGTTTGTAGGATGGTCAAATCTGGCTACTTGCTTCATTATAAATGAGTTTTTTACCTTCTGTTTTCCTTCTATCCTCTCAGCCTTCCGACAATCCTTCATCGCCGCTTTGTGTCCTTCGTCTTTTGCCACCTGGCGGGGAATCGAACCCTCCGAGTTCTTACTCTTAGCTGGACAGCCACGAGTGCCCAGGAACCGAACACATAGTTCATGTCCATTCATGGCCGCGTAGTGCATCGCCGTGTTGCCTGTGTGAAAAAAATGAATAAAGATCAAAAGAAAATCCGAAGTTTAATTTTCCGCCGACCGATGAGATTTCGAAGATGCGGAGATTTTTGAATTCGAGCAGCCTTTCCAAGATAAACTAGGCGCCACATTTAAACGTCCGAGGATGTCAACTATTCGAGCTTCAGTGAAAAAATACATAAAAGTTTTCTGATGAAAAGCAAAACATTGAAAACTTTAACCGCGACGATTTTGTTGAAGAACTAAGCTTTATTTTGTACAATAATTTAGCTGTTCCTAAAAAGACCATTTTTCAGATCAAAACATTTCACCAGGACCGAAAAAAAAGTGATTTCTGGTCAAATCCAACAAAACATCCGGTAGCTTTCTTTCGAAAATCTTACTCCTAATCTCCGTTATCGCCGTGGATTGAAATACTTTTTTCGTGAAATTTTATTTAAAAAGGACAACTCACTTAGGACATCTGCGACATCTATCTTGGCCCTGTGTGCAGCTAGCACCCTCAGAACAGCCACGTGACCATTCTTAGCCGCCCTGTGGTACGCATGAATTCTTTTCTTGTCCAGGGCATTGATGTTAGCACCCGCCTCAATCAGAGCACGACATACCTATACCAGAACAGAACAATTTATCACTCAGCAAACTGCTATTTAAAAAATATCGTCGGTGAATACTGACTCTTCGAGTAATAACGTGCACATCTAAGATGCCATTGCTCTGTACCCGAGTTGTGGTGAGCGACTTATGTCAGCCATCGTCAACCAAATCGAGACCTATTTCAAGCATGTCACAACGCGGCAAAAAAGCGACCTGAACATTGCTACTTTGGTAACCATTAATTTTATGCCGCTTGCGAATGAAATAAAATTGTTCAATCTCAATTTGCTCAATCGAAATTATGCGTCGCGAATCAGCGCATTTTTGCGAGACCTATAGGTCGTTAAAATTATACTAGCCATTCAAAAAGTCCTAATTTGTCTTCTATGAATCTAGTTACTTAATTTCAGAATTGTTGCTTTTCGGTTGGGTACAAAAATAAGTCACTGCTAAAAAAAATTAGGTAGTTTTTTTTCTTACAAAAGAGGCGGCGATTTCTTTTAAAATTAGCATTAAGTTATAAATAGTTTTTCTGGTACCCAAAAAATTGTGGTTAACGCTTTTCAATGTATTTCGAACTCTTCTCAGTGAAGTTTAAAATGTCCATAATCTCTTTACATGTCTCATCCCATTGCAAACCTGTGCGGATCCGGATGCAGCGGCGGCGTGCAGTGCCGTCTCCAGTTTGGCCTCGAAGGTGGAGTCCGGATTCGCTCCCCCGTGGATGAGTTTGAGACAGGTGGCCTCATTATCAGCTGCGGTGTAGCAGGCCTGCACCAACACCTGTATTACGTAACAGAAGATACATTATGTATAATAAATACTGGCAACAAAATGGAACATAGACAAAACCAGTCGAAAAGAACAATTCGCCAAGTTTGACTACTTTTTGCATGTAATTTTCAATTTTCATGGAACCTTAAGCTATGCAGCAGTTCAAAAAAACTTTGTTCTTTTTAATTGATTTTGTCTGTTCCAATTTTTTTTGTCAAATTTTCTTTTAAGTCGAATTTTCGATGTATTTGAGTTTTTAGAATGAACTCCAGGATGCAAAAGTGTTCAAATCTTTCTTCACTCAGAGTGTGATAAAGAAGATCGAAAAGAAGGAGAACCCATGGTTCATTAGAAATATGAAAGTTCAGTCAATTCTACTTCAATTCTCAAATTTAAGACTAAAACAGGAAAAACTCGACAGTCAACTCTGCTGCCTACTTGGAGTACAGGTAAAAGTCTGATTAATGGAGTTTTTCTTATGACACTTGAAATTAAAAAAAAATAGACTAGAAGAAGATTAAATTGAAGAAACCCCCCCCCCCCCCCCCCCACACACACACACACACACGCACATGCACACACACACACACACACATACACACTTACCACCAAAACTCAATGAAAGGTCAAGTATAAAGAGTATTAAGGAATCAATCAACAAAGATAAAGCACTTATGGTTGTGAAAGCAGATTCTTCCGCCTAAAGTGCAACAGGCTTTGATGAAAACTTCAAAAATTGCTCGAATAGAAATATAAAAAAAACTGTCAGATTAGGTTAAAATACGTTTAAAAGTTACACTGAAACTCAAACGCACACTCCGAGAACGGTCTGCCGGAATACCGACGGTGGTAACCGCAAATAGTCAGAAGTCTCAATAGTATAATACTTTTGAGCTAATCGTTCACAAAGTTACCCCAACAATAAACTTAAGTGCAAAGTAATGTGGAATTAAAAAAATAATGATAAAATGAATATTACTAGCCCCTTTTTTCTTGGATCCAAGGGTTGAAAGTTTTGAGTTGTGGTTTATGCCTTTAGTCATTGGTCAAATCTAAGTTGTCGAGTCTGATCAAATCTCGAAAGACGGAAATTTTCAGTTTAAAAATGATCGTTAAGTTTTTCAGTGAACTTCCATTGACCTTCTTTATCCAAGTTTAATGGTGAAGACCTTTTTCAAATTCTACCTTTTTCTGCCTGCTCGTTTGTCGATAGAGGCAGAGTCAAGATCTTCTTTGACGTTTTGCGGATGACTTTTTTCTCTATCCTCTTCTTCTGGATTGAAGTGACTGCGTGTGACTCACTAGTTAGGACCGACATTTCTTATTTTGAAATATCCATAGTCTATATAGAACAATATTGAGGGAGGCACTTAGCATAAGGTAAAGCTCATTTAACCGATCCCCTACCATGGCAATGATAGTGTGTGAGGACGAGCTCTCACTTGATATCCAGCTTCAGGTCTAGCTTGGACTGACCAATTTCGGCTGCAAAAGTATTACCACGTGAAAGTTCTAGACGCAAAAAAACGGCCTTGAGTCGCAAAAAAAAGAGCTGCGCTCGACAAAAGAACTCAGTCTGGAATGTGGGGAAAATAAGAGAAACGGACTATGCTTAGACAGGCTGAATAGCCTTCCAAAAATCCTCTGCGAATCGCAGAAACGACATTTTTTTTGAACACTCTGAGCGGGCGAGTAAAATGAAAAACCCATGGAATTGCTGTGCACGTCACTCTGACAGAACGCGGAATCTGCCAAATCGGAGATATTTCTGCGTAAGATGTAGTCTTTTGAGCATTTGGAGGGCCTGCTGCGCTTTGAGGTGGAGCTACGTGTTCACCTTTCGTCTTCCTCGATTTTTCTAAGTTTTCAGGAGAGCAGTCTGCCCCCCTGTCTTTTCATGGTTTCAGGGGTTTGTCTTAATTGCGACGTCTTGCTCGGAGTAGTCTCCAAATCATTTTCCCTGCTCTTAAGTCTCTTGGACTCCAAAAAAAAGAACTGTCCGGGAAAATCTTCTACGCTACTTCTATCGGTGCTAAGCCGGACCGGACCTATCCTTCGCAGTTGAATACAATACCTGACTCGATTAGTCGGGGTATCAGTCGGAACTCCTGAAGTTTCTCCCTACTTGACTGGTTTCGACAGGCTTACGGGTTCAGCCCTGACTGGGCTGTCTACCCTTATCTGCCGTTCTTGCAACCTTTCAGTGAGCAAATGTTGGTACTGCCGTTTGAGAACTTCACTATGCCGCGTTCTGTCCATCTGATTGACGTTTGACTAGCATTCTGCTCGCTCGACCATTACATGGCCGCCCTTTTCCTGGACCTCTGAGTTTTCTTTTTTTTTGTGAGCTCTATTCACTTGACGGGTCTGAGTATTTCTTGCTATTCCTAAACGTATAGCGTTGCCAGATTTTCTAGTGCCTTGTCATGATCTGTTGTGATGTTTCTATCCGATTTACCAAAGATACTTCCTCTCAGCTCGCAGAAGAAAAGTTCCGATTTTAATGTTTCTATCGTAATTCCGTAACCGACTTTGCTGAAACAATGAGAAGGAACCCACCCACCATGCTCTCCCGACAGGCTGAGGCTCTTTTTTTTCAGGCCCTTTTTGTCAGGTCAACTTTGTCGTGCCATTCTTCAAAAGGAATCGCTTTCTCCTGTATCCTCAAGGTAGTAAGAAGTGCTGAATTTTGTCCAGAATTTTTATCGTGTATTCGATGTCAGGAAAATTTTATGTTTTGCCTATCTCGAGAGTCTTATGCTTTTCCATTTGTCATAACTTAACAAATTCCCCTTCACAAACTATATCTTTAACTTCTTGCCGCGCTTAACGCAGTTGTTGCAGGACGCAGCATGAATTTGTATCGGGTGGCTACTAAAAATATCTCTTGATGACATTGTGCTTTTTAAACATACTGGCTTGTCCTTTCATGAAGGCGCATTAATACAGCCGATAATAATACGCGAAACAGGAGTAATTTGTGTAATTAAGGTCTAAATTTTAAAATCCTCGATATATTCTGGCTCTTGTTCTCTGGAAACTACTCGTCGGAATTCAAAAGGGGATCAGTCATTTTATTTTGAGCTCTACACGAATCAAAAAGTTTATATGTTTTCATCGCAAACAGTTTTTGTTATGGTTTTTTAATTTTCAACAAAACTCGACAAAAACGCTAGCAAAATTTGATCAATGAACATTATATGGACTACGTTGCACTTAATGGCTCGGGTTATTTTACTAAAATCTTCAATCTTCCTTGCCCAGAACATAATCTTTGATTCTATCAACCACCCATACTACTGCGAGTAACTCCAGTTCATTGCTAGATATTTTTTTCAATGTTTAAAAATCTTGAGGCAAATGGTTTTGGTACTAAATCACCATCTTTTGATATTTGCTCGAGGGTTGCCCCTAGACAACTATGACGAGTGTCACATTTGACCTGGGTGTCTTCCAGTGGATCATAGTAAACTGTAATTGATAGTACCGCCAGCGCTGATTTGGTTTTTTCAACGACTTTTGTTGTTTTTTACAATTGAACTTTTTCACGGACACTTATTTAATTTTTAATTTTCTTTTTGGTTTTCCTTTCATACCAAGAGTCGAAGTCTATCTGTGAGGCGTGATGCACTAGGTATTGCTTTCGATAAATCCTTTATGGTAACCAGAAAGATCTAACATGATATATTGTCTCAGGTGAGCTAAGTTTTAAAATGGCTTCTGTTTTAATTATTTTTGAAACAGCACAGCTTTCAGACATTTTAGAATTTTTTAAAATTCTTTATTTGAGTTTTCAATATTAGGCCAATTTGATAGAAATATTCTTCTTCACTGTGATTACAATCGTTGCAATGAAAAATCACCTTTGTATTTATCTAGTTTTTTAATTTCTCTTCCTGATAACAATATTTTGTCTATTTCTGGTTGCAACTGGTAAGGGAATAGGTATTCCTCTACTTTTTCCCCAGATTGTACATAACGGGTAATTAGGTTTTTGTTTGCCATGTTCTTTTTCGATTTTCCTTGTCTATCAATTTACTCACTCAGCTCATTGTTGATATTAACTATTTCCAACCTCTGACTGCTTGCACAGTAGCACGTCAAACTTCGGTCTTTTTGGTGCCTATTTTAAGTGATGATAATTCCCACCTTGTTTTGAAATTTTTTGTCTCAAAAAACATTGTATGCGTCGCTCTGCGGTTCAAATTTTTCGCAACTATTTTTTTCCCAGCCTGCTGAACGAATATCCGTTTTGAGTGCTCCAAAATTCAAAATCGAGTGTTTGTACACAAACTTCACTGGCAAAAGTTTCTTTTCTGTGGGTATAATATTTGTCCGTTCAAGTGGTTTTTTTTATCTGCTTCGCTTTTGCCCAATTCAGAAACATGATCGGACTTCCGGCAACTACCGATAAATTTGTTAATTTGATTGTCTTCTCGATTTTTTTTTCTAAAAAGTTTTCTTATCCTATGATTTTGGGTTTCGTTGTATGTCTAGTTTCTTGACTGATAGAATTCTTTTTGTTTTTTTTTTGTTGTTAAATCTGTTGTGGATGTACTCTTCAGTTTTTTATCGATGTATTATCTTCCACTAATGATTTGATCTCGAAACTGTCTTGAGAGTCGAAATTTTATCCCAAGTTACATACATCTTCAGAGTTTTTTGATTCTTCAGTTACCTTGTTCACTTGTTGTGATCGACAAGTCTTCGCAAAATGGTTAAAATTATTGAAATTCTTACACAATTTTTTCATGGCAGGACAATTTTTAAATGTCGCGCTAAAATAAAAATGATCGGCCATATCTTTGACAGGGTTTTTTACTGATGGTTTTGTGCTACTGTTTCTAGAATATTTTTTGCTTCTCTCTATAATGGTCTCTAACTGTTTCTCCGAAGTTCAGAATTTCTCTGATTGCCTTGATCATCTCGCTTTATTTATGTAGACGTAACCATTGATTGATTTTTGCCTACAGTAAATGCATTCGTTTTCAAAAAACGAAAGTAGTTTGTTTGCTCTGTTCAAAGTTCATTGCCCTATTTAGGAATTGTTCTGGGGCAGTTTCTCAAATGTGAAGGTTTCCGATAACATGGCTTTCCGCATTTGTGAGATAAATTATTTCTTGGCCAGTTTTTTTTGCAAACCCTAAGTTCTGATCTAGCTGCTTGTGCAGTCAGGCTTCAAGGATTTTATTTGGTTTTGGCGCCCTTCTGATAATTTTGTATCTTTCATATTTAACGCTCTTCTTTTTCTCGAATGCATATTTCTTTGCAATTTCTTTGCTGCTATTTCTTTGAATTCCAGTTACGATACTTATACACATAGAATTTTTTTGCTTACAGTTTTTTTCCTTCGTTCCAAAGGCTAGAAACAACCTTGAGACCAATCGGTTTTGAGTTTTATTGTAATAGATATTGTGTCCGAATTTTGGTCCTCGTTCTTTTTGTTCCTCATTTTTCGGCGTGATTTTGTCGATTGCCAAAATAATAGAAACCCAGGAACCAGATTTTAAAATTTAAAGGCAGATCCGAGTTCGTTGTCCTTCATAATACTGGAATCCCCATGTCGGTCAGATTATCTTGTGAAAAAAAAACCTGTTGGCGGCGCCATGTGATTGCTCAAGAAGCTGTTCTTAGTTCATTGGTGTAAATAGCTCAGATTTACTGGCTCGATACCATAGCTTTGTAACGCTGACAGAGCGCAAAACCTTTTTAGAAATTTTTTGGTTTGCACTAAATGTCTTCGACAATTTATAATAACATTAATATATGAATATGGATAGCAACACAAAGGTTACTGCAACCAAACCAAAGTACCACAACTTAAACATAATTTTAATGATTTTAAATTTACATGATGATTTACCACTTACATCTTGTTGTATAGTTTAACCCACGGCTTATTCTGAAAAAAATATATGTTTGTCCAATCAAAATTTAAAAGGTTATTGGAAAAAATTCATTTACTCTTGACAAAAGATTCATTTACTTAAGTATTCAATGTTTTGTCGAAACAATCTGAGAATGGAAATTTCAGACCAGTTTTATTAACATCATGGCATTTTTTCAAAATTTCTTTTTCAAAGATGAATCATTATTCGAAAGCCGTTGATTTCAGTCTAGATTATCTGGCAGATTTTAAGTTTTCCTAATGGTTTGTTTTTGATTCTTCGTCATTTCTAGACTATCTTATCTGTAAAAATGAATACGGCGCTGAACCAAATTATACAGAAACAAACTTTATCGAAATTTCATTGATATAACAGAAACGTTAGAACAAAAAACAACCTGATGAAAAATTTTGAAAACAAGCACACTAAGCTTGAGTTGGGAATAATAGTAAATTGGTGTTGATTTAGCATGGATCTTACAGGAACTCCGTTGTTGTCGGCATTGTTGCAGTCGGCCCCCTTCTCAATGCACAATTCAGCACACTGTGTGTGTCTCTGCGTGTTGTTCAGACAGTAGAACAGAATGCCCCTCCCCTTTGTGTCCTGAAATTCACACTCAGTCTCAGTCAGAGGGGGTCTAAAACATGTCTGAAGAGCAGAAGATTTTGCTTTTGAATTGGTTTTTGGTGGTATGGAAATAAGCCGATTTATAAACCAGCCGAAAATACGTAAGTGTCAGTTTTGTAACAATCATGTAACAGTTACGAAAGTTATGAAAAATCGTATTATGGTGTAATTTTTTGGCTAGCTTGTATACTCCGCGCATTTTCGGTTGGCTTATACTTCGGCTGGTTTATTTAATCTCAGTTTTTAGTTTATAGCGTTTCAGGAAGGCACAGAAATTGTAATTGGCGGACAGAAAAGAAACAAACTTGAATCCTTCTTCACGTGAACATCGCACCCCCACATCCCGCTAAAGAAAATTTTTTTTATTGATTTTTCAAGTTAAACAGAACAGATAGTTTTGCGCACTTTCTGTCTCAGAAGACATCAAAAAATTTTAACCAGATAATTTGATTAAAGTCTCAAAATATAGAAGGTATAAGCATGGTAAATAATAACTTTGTTGACGAGGTGCAAATGTATAAGTATTTGAGTTTTCTAACCTTTTTGTTCCTACTTTCGAAGAAAGCGCGGAATACTTATGCTTGGGGTCAGTTTTCGACTTAGTTGTTCTTCTTGTTGTTTTTCTTTTTGTTGCAATAGCGTGAAACCTTAACTCATATCTGTAAAATTGCTTAGCAAACGTCTCTTTGTTGCGACTTTCGAAAAAAAAAATGATGTAATATTTGTGCTCGGGTGGTTTTTTCAGACAAATTTTGACTTTTTAACTAGCAATACGGAATTTTTTAAATCAATCAAAAGGTATTATTGTCCTAAGCTCAAAAGTAAAATTATGGGTGTGCAAATATTGCCAGTTTGGCCAATCTGTGACAACTAACAAGCGATACATCTCTATTTGCAAAACATATGATGGTTTTCAAAAAAAAAATCTCGAAAAAAATTTCATGAACATTTTTCTAAGCGAACACTTTTTCATAGAGCTTAAGAGGCAGTAGGAACATTCAGGGCTTCGCCATTTCTAGACTATCTTATCTGTAAAAATGAATACGGCGCTGAATCAAATTATACAGAAACAAACTTCATGGAAATTTCATTGATATAACTGATACTATCAGTCTTGTTACGTCTAACGAAAAAAAACACGGTTTTATTCCCCTCACTTTGAGTTTCAAGTTTCTGGAAGTTTCTAGAAGTATATCGAGTGTGTTCACGTGTCCATACTGTGCGGCGATCATGGCCGGAGTGCGTCCCTGTCCGTCCTGCACTTCGGGCGATGCACCCAACTTGATCAGGTAGGTGATGATTGCGTCGTTGTTGTTGGCAGCTGCTGTGTGTAGTACACCTGCGAAGAAAAAGGCAGTTTTTTTTCACACTTCTGAAGATAAAACAGCCGCCTCATATAAAGCAATTGGAGGCTCTCCTAGTGGTAACATTTAATGAGGGTTAGAAAATTTTTCTTTTACGGTAAAAAAGGTTCGTTTCTGAATGCCTGAAATGTTCGACTTTGAAGACCTCATCTCCCCGACTTGGCGCCTCAACCAGGCGCAGATCTAGGATCTTCTCGATTGCGAATTTTAAAGAATTTAAAATTTTGGCAATTTTTTTCTAGACAGATCAATTTGATGGTCCAAGCTATTACGAAACTCTATGAAGGCCCCAAGCAAGGATTCAGGAGTTAACCGAGGGAGGGGTATTTTCAAAAACTTGGAATACTTTTTTTAACTTCTTTTTAAGTTGGCTAATTGATTTTCCGAGATTTCCCAAAACATTGCAGAGAAGAGCTTATTTCATCATTGCTTAAAATTCCTGCGCTGCATTAATTTTAGAAAAAGGTCTTAAATGGTTTTTATGGGTATTGTTTAGAAGTTTTGATCAAAAATTTTTTAGACGCGCTCCGCCTTCAAAATAAGTTGATATTGGTGTTCAATGCGCCTTCAGAAAATTTTTAGGGTTGGAATCACGGCGCATTCGGAAAAATTTAAGATTTTGTTTCAAACCCACTTCAGAAAAAAATTCGGTGGGAACCAATACGCCTTCAGAAAAATTTAAGGTTTCGTATCAAGAGGCCTTCAGAAATATTTTAGGGTTGGAATCAAGATGCTTCAAAAAGTTTAGGGTTTCGTATCAAGCGACCACCTTCAGAAAATTTTCAGTGGGCCGAGTTCAAGAGGGAGAAACATTGTCCTTGTTGACTCCTCGTGAAATCGGTCTACCTTTTTAACTGACAAATTGTTTACTTTATTCGCTTAGCTTAAGTGTGCACATTTTAACTACTGTGCTGCAAATATAAGGACTTCTAGAAAATTAACCTAATCTGGTTTTCCATATCTCGAATGCAGCAGTAAAGTCGAAATTCAATTTCCTAGCAGTGATTCTCCAAATCCTGTTTTAATTATTTTTCGACCTTATTAGTCTGCAGCAGACGCAGAATCAGTAATTTAATGAAAATTGCACAAGCGATTTAATACAAATATTGCGAGAAAATCCCTATTGATAACCTTGAAAACCTGGGAACATATTTAGAGATCAATCTTTTTGACCTTATCAGTCAGTTAAGATCCCTATGAATTAGTTTCGCAAATCTTGTCACTTACATCAATTTCACACTTTTTGATCTAATACGACTGCTCAGGAGGTCAAACAGGTCAAGGTCAAGATATCAGCGTAATGGTTTTTTAGTACACTTGCGAGAGCATAAGTATCTTGTAATCGGGACTTTTTCCCGTAAGCAGTTTTCTTACAAATCTTCAACTTGCTCAATTATTAAACCTCAACAATATGCAGGTTCTTTCCTACTTGGCTTAGAGGTAACTTCGTCGTCTTTGCACTCTAAAGTCTGGAATTCGAGTATCGGAGCACCTTGCTTTTTTCCGTATGCATGCAATTTTAAAAATTCATCCGGTAAAAATTGAAATGTCGGACTTTCTTTTTTGTCTGCTCAAGTTTTGTCGGCTTAGTTGCCACATCAAAGATTTTGTTTTAGCTGTAAACTTTCAATTAAGTAGCAAATGCAGGTGTTGTGCATTGTAGTTTCAGGTCAGGGGATTTGAAACTTTTTAAATTTTATTTTATATAAACAATTTTTTTTCAGCTTAACTGTTGTCTGTTCAAAAATTGTTGGCTCAGTTGTCACATCATGATTTTTTCTTCTGCAATAAACAATTTTCATTGTAGTTGTAAGTGCAAGTGTTGTGCATTGTAATTTCAGAAGGAATCTAAATTTTAAAAAATGTTTTTAAAAACATTTATTTTGGCTCAAACTGGGTCAATTATTTTACCATTTAAAATTTACCATACTGTCAGTAAAATTATTGACGAGAAAAAAGTTTAGTACCCGACTGCAATACCCTTGCTTCTCGCAAGGGTAAATAGCAACGGATCAAAAATTACAAAGAGAAAACAAAGCGGACGATCTTAGGGGCAATGGAAAATTTCATGACAACCTTAGTTTCTCGAAAATTCAAATACAGCTACCTCATCCAGGACTTAATAAGGGGAGTACGTTTCGGGCAGTAATTTTTTCTCAAACTTAATTTTTAGAGCAATGTTGCATTTTTTTGTTTTGTTGTTTTCGACCTAGTTTCCTTGGGTCAATTTCCGTTGTTTTTTAAATATCGTTTATGTTGTCTGGTATTAATTTTTATTGGCCTTATTTGTGTGTAAAGCATGGAATTTTTTATTGTAATCTTTTGTACTATATATGAAAGTTTTCTAAATTGTCATTTTATAAAGTCTATTTTTGAATAATTTTTATATTAATTTTTGTTTACTACCTGATTTGGGCTGATGTTGTAGCGATTATTTTGCGTAATTTTGACAGCCAAAAAACTCCTGTTTGAAAACATCAAGTAGTATGTAGATGTATGGGATTGAATTTTTATTTTTATTTTTATGAGACGCTTTCAAAACATTCTCACAATTTCAAAAAAAAAACGTATCAATGGAAAGATCTCCTACCCTGTGTGCCTGCAAAGTCCCCTACTTTTTTTTTACCGCTTTACATCACTGTTTACAGCATTCAAAAAAATCTATATGGCAAACTTTAGAACTAATTTTTTAATTTCTTATTCGGTTTCTCAGAAACTACTCACTCAAATCTGATATTTTGGGTTCAATGGATAGAACGGGAAGCTCCTCTGTCTAAGAGGCTATACAAAAATTTATGGCTCTCGGAATATTCAACTATTTCTTTTTTAACCCTTCTTATATAACTTTGACTATTTTGAAAAACTACCGGCACAAAAAAAGTCTGAGATTTTAGGTTCAAACCAAAAAATGGTTTGTGATAGGTTCTCTACGGCCAATTTTCTCATACAAAAAGTTGTGGCCCTCGGAAAAATCAAATTTTGGATTCTTTTTTGGAAACTTATCGGAAACTACACTCCGAAATCTGAGATTTTGGGTGCGACCAGAACAACAAATCGAGGGAACTCCCCTGCATAATTGACTACGCCCATTTTTTACGCAAAAAAATTGGCCCTCGGAAAAGTCAAAAGTTAAATTGCGTACAGTTTGTTGAAGCTACCAGACTTTTCTCGAAAATTACCATCTCAAATCTAAAGTTGTGCGTTCAATCGAAATAATAGGTTGTGTAAGTCTCTAATGTGTAAGAGGCTAGCTAGGCCCAAATGTTGGTACACAATAAGATATGATTCACAAAAAAGTCAATTTTTTGATTTATTGTCCGCTTTTTGCCAACTTTTTGACTTTTATCAAAAACTGCCGTTCCAATTCTTACGCTACGGGTTCGGGTTCAATCGAGAAAAAAAATTGGTAATTTTCTCTGCTTAAGCGGCGACGACCTTTTATTGAAGAAAAATGTGATGAGTTTCGGAAAGTCATTTATTTGATTTTTTGACCGTTTTAGAATTTTTTTGACTTTCTTGGAAACTACCGCATTAAATCTGAGATGAAGGGTTCAATCACAACAACTGGTTGCAAGAATTTTTCATACAGAAGTGGCGACTCTTTATTCGTTATCAATTTTTTTTAAATGTATTTGGGAAGATTGCAATTTCTCAAAAATTTCACTCTTCTCACTAATTTTAGTAGAAAATAAGCAAAGGTTTTCAGCAAAGTCCAAGCTTATTTGATCCCTCATCAGTACAACAAATTCAAAAAAAAATTGGCTCCAGCTTTATCTGAGTCTTTCGTTATCTTTACGCGAGACATACAAACATTTTTTCAAGATAATTCATTTTTTTCGACTTCTTATTCGACTTGTTTTTTTTTATTTTTGTGTTGTATCGTTTCTTCGCCTCTGAGTTTAATATTCAAATACCTGGCATGTTTGCCTAGAATGAAATTCCATCCGGACATACGAAAATTTGAGGGTCGACAGACTTAGTTTTTTTATAATATATATATTTTTTCGACTTCTTATGTTTTTTTACGTTGGTTTTATCTTAAGTATTCATTTATTAGAAAAAAAGTTCTGGAACATCTATTATAGATTGCAATTAAATTTAGATATCACGAGTTCCTAGTAGCCAGGTCAAACCGCTTCTAATAAAATAATAGTTTTGAGGAAGTAAATCAATTTGTCTATAATTTTGAACGCATTTTTTGTACATGAAAATTTTCAGAAAATGCGACCTTAAGAAAAATAGGTTTCAAACAACATCCAATACCTATGTCTTGGAATTGTAATCTCCGCAGAAAAAATTCCTTTATTTTTTCTGAGTTTGAGGTGACTGTAAAAAGTTTTGAGTGAAAAAATCGATTATTTAAAGCCAGAAAATGTGAGCGGAGAAATTTTTTGAGTTACCATCCCGCGTTGATGCATAATATCAACAGTTTCATGGTAAGTAGGGAGAACGAAATTGTTTCATAGTCAGTGTTTTTTTTTAAAAAACGTTTACTAGCGTTCATTACTGTTTTCCAATCTTCAATTGGCTATGTTTAGTTTATTTCTGAACGCGTAGAAAAGGGACGAATTAATCCATGCCCGGAACTACTCTCAATTGAAATGAGGCAGGGTAACTGATCCAAAAGTTGGTTAAAAAGACTTCATTATTTAAATGGCAGTTGCTAAAGGTATAGTTTTAGAGAAAAATTTTTTCAATTTGCATAAAAGCACGTAGCATTTTCAAACCTTTGTTCAAGGGCACGCCCAAAATATTGAATTTATTTGCAATTTTAAAAAATTTGCAGTTTAACCAAAAAAAAACAAGTGGGAACCGAAGGCACTTTTAGAGGGTTTAAAAGTGTGTCGGTTTTAAAAAGGCGTCGGAGTTGTTAATTAGTCCCAGTAGAATAACCCTTGCGATTATAAAAATGATCTACATTTAAGATCAGTCTGCCGCTAAGGATGATAATTTTCTACCGAAACGTTCTGAGCTACAAGCAAAAGTAATCGACTACTTGAACAGTTTTCAAAATGATCAGATCGAAAAACTCCTCTTTTCTTTTCTACAGAAATGGATAATTTAATTTAGCTAATTAGCCGCTCCAATTTAAGTAAAGTTTAGACCAAAGTTGACGTTTTTTGAGTTTTTGTCTTGAGTTGAAACAACTTGGGGAAATAAAAAGTCGATAAAAAGCTTTCAGTTACGAGAAAAAGCGTATAACAATCCTGCTTTTGTTTGATTTGATCTCTTTCTGCTTTTGTTACCCCTTTTTGTACTAGTTTAAGACGCTCATTTCTTTTGACCAATTTTGAAACTGTTCTCAAGGCGCCAGAAAATGCCCTTTGATCTGTTTTTTTCCCCAAAAATTCTAAACATCATTGAAAATTTTTGCAAAAAAAAGGGGTCCTTAATGTGTGTTAAGAAAGCTCGGATTATCAATTTGCGTATGACAAGAAAAATTATACAAAAATTTTTTGATTCGTTTTCCTAGCAGATCTGGCTGTTTGTTAGCACTTGCCTTGCCCATCTTCTGACTCCTCGATGTAGTTTAGTAGATTGGGGATTCCAAACTCGATCAGCTTTTCAATCTGTTTCTTGTCCTCTTTGAACACACAGCTGAGCAGTTTGCGCACCTGCAGCTGTTCCAATCTGGTCCGTGCCTGGGGCATCGTGATGCACGCGCAACTTCAAATAGTTACGTAATTTCCTCTTAACTGTTCTCGTAATTTCCAACAAGAATAGTTGACCCTATACGTACCTACATAATTTTTTTGACGTTTTACCAGAACTACCCGCACAAATCTGAGGTTTCAGGCTTAATTCGAAGAATGGTGAATGGTTTGTGGAATCTATGTGAGTTTGAAACTTGTCCCAATTTTAAATGCGAATTTAACTCGACTGAGTTTCAAAAAAATCTTCGAGAGGATTATACATTTTCTAAAATTTGTATTGAAAATTTTGTTCTGTCGAAAATTGATTGGTTTGTTGGCTGAGTCTAAAGTCATTTATGGGTCAACTATACCTTCTTGATATCTATTATAGTTAGATATCTATTTTATATGGAGTAAGAGATATTAAATATTAAAATTAAGCCGCGCCAAAATTATTTGAAATAAAAACCAAACCACTGTCAACAGAATAATAAACAAAGCTCTTGATACTGTTGAAAACAATTTTCTGTTTGATAACAAGTTGGTATATTCTGAAGTAAACGTTTTATACAAAATGCGTTCACGTTAGATTATGGAGCTGTATGTTTCAGACAGAAAGTTTACCAAGCGTTATATGTTTGTTTCTAAGCGTAATTGGCGATGCATTTTTAACTAATTTTTTTGATGTAATCTGAATCTAAAAAGACTATTTGGTTAAAAAAATATTGTTTAATTAAAAATATTGATCACCCCTCAAATTATATCTTTTTATTTGTGCTATTATTCGAAAACAATTTAAAGATTTCATAAAAATTATTAAAACAGTATAAAAGACAATATAAGTATACATTGTTAGTTTTTTTAATGAAATCAAAAACTTAGTCAACAGACAATTGCAAACGAGTAAATAAAGAAAAAAAACAATTTTACGCAATTTTCAAAGAAAAACATAAGGTCCTCATATTTTCGAAGTTTAAAATTATTTTAAAATTAACGTTCATTTGATATTCTGCAGGAAAAATCTGTAAAATAAATACACTTCAAAACTAAACTTTCATCCAGGTTTTTTTTCGTGCCCTCTGCATGTTTATTATTGGTGAGCGTTGGTAGGTAACTTTTCAGTAAAAGTGTTGCATAAAATGTTCCGGCTGCCTTTGAATGTCTACGGAGTATTGTTCGTTTTAAAAAACTGATATAACTTTCAAAACAAATTTTTTTTTTAAAGTAACTTTTTTTTGAAAATTAACCTCTCGCACACAAGAAGTGCACATTGGTAAATTTCAAATTAGGAAAACTAATGAATAGACTAAAAAGCATGCCTCAATAAAACTTGGAACAGTTTCTAACAGGGATTAATTCTCGGCTCACGGGTCAATAGCAAGAAATATACCGAGCGTAATTGTCCCAAATTGGCAATCCGTCAACCCCCAAAGCTTTACAAAAAATGATCACAGTAAAATATCTTTTCCATTGTGAGCAAAAAAACAATTGAAATTTTTAAACAGTGTATGAAAAACTTAACAAAAATGCTCAAAAAAAAGCCAACAGACAGTTGGAAAAGAGTCAATGAAAACTTTTCGCTAATATTGAAAGAAAGCTAGATAAAATCATGCATTGGGATTTCAAAATGATAACTTGAAAAACTAAGACAATAAAAGACTCAACTATGTTATTGTGATGCTTCTGCATATTCAGTGACAAGGCTTGAAAAAGTTGTCTTGAAACCAGCAACAAGGCTGTTTTTCTTTGATGAATGAAATGAATGAAAGAGAATGAAATTTTCAAGAAAGATGAAAAACTTTAAACTTTTTTGACCCGCTATGTTAAGTTCAAACTGATACATAAAGTGCTAGTAGCAAAATAATAGTTTTGGAACGATTCTATCACAGATTCAATCTCCGCTTATGCGTTATTATTTAGAAATCTATCGAGCGTTAATTGTTCCAAATTGGCCAAATTAGCAATCTGTGAAGCCCCATATTTTTACAAAAATTGATCACAAATGAAATGTCTTGCTAAATTTGAGCTCAGGACAACAAATCTTTTCAACTAATGTAAAAACAAATTTGTCAAAAAACAAATTTGTCAAAAACAAATTTGTTAAAAGTTTGAAATTTGTCTAGAGGAAAAAAACAGCAGAGCACAAATATTCCGTCACTTCCTTCGAAGTCATATTAGCAAGCAAAACATCAAAATGGTAAATATCTAAATTTATGAGTTTGAAAAAAAATGAATTTGGAAAATCTCTGACTAAATCAAAACCACAGAAACCCAACTTTTTACTGGAAACAACAAAAAATTCAACCGATAAAAACATTTTCAAAACTTCAACTGTAAAAAAATTGTCAGATTTAATTTCATAGGATCTCCGAACAGCAGCAAATAAAAAATTTTATCAAAAAAAGAATACTACCTGGTATCATGGCGAAATCTTAAATGTTCTGAATTTTTTAAAATTTCATGAAGCAGTTTTTAGTTTCATAAAATGATGAATTTTTTTTTAAATTAAAGTTTTGTTAAAGTTTTGTTTTTCATTTTCTGAAAATCATCCCCCACACGCCATATGTAATACGAAGTAAGACTTTCTGCAAATAGCAAAATTTTCACTAGTGGAAAAAACATGCTTCAATTTTTTTGACCTATTCTAACGCAGATTAAATTTCCGCTCATGCTTGATTGTCCCAAATTGGCCAAATTGACAATCTTTTACACTGCCATAAGTTTTATAAAATTAATTACAGGTGAATTTTGTTAATATTTGAGCTCAACGCACGAGTTTATTTCGGATGAAACAAAAAAATCGGCCGAAAATGGCTAGTTAAAAAATTGAAATTTGTTTAGAAAAAAACCAGCCTGAGCACAATTTTTGCGTCACTTTCTTAAAAAGTGGAACAAAAATTGGTGAATTTTTTTGAAAATGTTCGGATTGCTTAACCAGATGAAATTTTTTTCAGTTTTTCAATTGAATCGCGCATTTGAGTCGAGTGTAAGCAGTTCATTTTGATATAAAAATCGTAAGCGTTTCGTCAAGATTCTCCGGCAAAAACCATTAACAGCACAAAAACTTAATAGTAAAAAAATCACTGAAGTGTTAATTCAAATGCACGCACATTCTTGTATATAACCGTGTTTATCTATCAAGAGAAATCGAAGCTTTTATTTGACGCCATTTTTTAAAGAAAACAGCTGACGTTTGCAGCAGGTAAACTAACCTGCATTTTTGATACTTTGTCACAATTTTTGTTAATTTGATGTTTCTGGTAACTTACTTAAAAAATTAATCGAAATTATAGATAGGCTTTTTATTACAAAAAAGTATGATTGCTCGACCCACCTGAGTAAAAACTATAAATCAAAACTGTGAGAAAATACGAACACTTGATGACCTAAAAAAAACGTTTCAAACGCCAAAAATTTTCAAATTTTACATTCAAGGTATGATAATTTTGCAACTTCATTTCATTTGCAGCAATAGTTTGAACTGAGACTTTGAAAATAGTCCATGAGTTCAAGGAAACAAATTTTTGTTTTAAAATGAATTTTTTCAGTTTTGGTTGTTAAATGAAAACTTTTTGTCATGTTCAAGTTGCTAAAATTTTAAGAAATAGTTATGATTGAAAATTTTAAAATAAAATTACCCCAATTTGTGAATTCTGGTTATAAATCAGGTTAAAATTGCGACACAACAAACTCGAGCGTGAACAGTTTCTAGATTTTTTTTGGAGAAACGGACGCCAAACCAGGAGTTCTATTTCAATGTTTTAACTTTGTCGTTCCTTGATAACTAAAAACTTACACCTATACACGAGGTGGAAACAAAAAAAGGTTATGATCTCCATTACTTTGTAAAAAATTTAATGTTGACAATTTTTTATATTTCCAAAATTTAGAACATATTCGTTCGTTTCAATAATACCCAACTGAAGTAATTCAGCCTGCCAAAACATTGATAAAGCAGCGACGTGGAAATTCATAGGCTAAAATTATGAAATAAACAAAACGGCAATGGAGCGGAAGATATCTCACCAAAATGCAATGAACAAACTTGGAGAATTTTTTTTCACAAAACAAGACTGCTCATATGTCAGGGCAAAGCCCTGAGGGTTCAGATTGCCCATACTCTTTATCAAATAGATTTTTGAGAATTTTTTTTAAACTATAAAACTTGGACAATATCAAAAATTTGAGCCGTAGGAAATTAAAACGACCAAATAGCTAGCCTCAATGCATTTTGGCTCGATAATTAATTCGCGTTACGCTTTCAGCATTATGGATAAAATCTTCAAAACGCGCATAAATTAGTCTAAGCTTGGTCAAGTTGGCAATTTTTAAACTCTCAAACTCTGCAAAAAAATGAGGTAAAAAATTTTAATTTGATTTCAAAAAAATATCTTCAATGGGGCATAAAATTTTTGGTAGAAAATTAACGTCACTCGTCGAAAAATGACTGAGTAAAAAAAACAACAAGCATATTTATTCCGTTTTTTACGAAAGTCGGAACAACAAGACTTCTCGTATCTCAGGACTAAACCCTGAATAAACTGATTGCCTTTAAAAGCCAATTGATAGGTTTTTTGATTGAAAAACAGACAAAATGATCGAAAAAACTCATCATTTTTTTCTTCTAATTATTTTCTCACACGCTATTGTAAACTACAAAGGGATGATTGTAGCGTCCGTGTTCAGACAAACATTCCGGACAATTTTATGCTCAGGATTTTCAGCCAAAATACACCAGACATTTCAGCCAGTTTAAAATTAATTTATTTCAACCAATTACAATTTGAAACATAGATTAGTGACAAACACTAATTTTCCTGCACTATTTTTCTCGTGCCAATTATATGCGCAGCCAAGTAGGTCGATACCTGGTAATAAAGTCGATACGTGACTGAAAAAAAATCCACCCAAATATAATTATACTGCTAATTATTCAAAAGTCAGAACAAAAACTAAATTCTGAATAGGTTTTTTAAAATCTCGTGCCAACTGTACAATTTCCTTTTGAAAAATTTCAATCAAAATTGACCAGAAGCTGTGGGTCTTCAACTAATTCTGAACTCCCACCTACATTTTTTTGTTTGAAAAAAACTCTAATTGCACTCTTAAACTACTTTTAGAGGTGCAAATCTACAATTATCGAACCAATTCAGCTGGATTTGGACGCGTGTTATGGTCTGAATCTAAATGGTTTCTATGTTTCAGATGATTGTAATTGGGTACTTCACTTTACAACAAGTCCGCTGATGATTCTTCCAATCCCATAAAAACTTGATTGCCGTCACCGTGGTCTATTGTTCAGCGGGGGCCAAGAATATTAGACAAGCAAATTAGACGACAGCTAACGGAATTGAGACAATGAATCTTTTTGAATTTAGACGATAAAAACTGGGTCAACAAAACTTTTTCTTTAGAATGATGTTTTATGATCACAGAAAAAATAGAGTATGACCGCAGAACTGATTCAAACGATTATTGAAAGTTAATTTTAAAACATTAAATTAAAAAAAAAACTAAATTGAAATGCATAAGTTATACAACTGATATTAATAATCTGACTTGTGGTTGGACAACCAGTAATCTCAACCAAAAGTTAATTTAAGTCTGTAAACAAATTTCACGCATTTTGCAGGCAAGCTATCGTCTCAATTTTGTTATTTTCTGGTCGTCTAAAATTATTTTCGTCTAATTTCCTAAACTCCGTTCAGCGAATAAACAAATTGGTTCTCCGGTCAAGTTTGTTTTCATTCTATGATTTCTGAGTTTTAGTCTTTTCTATATAGTTTTTTGTTCCATTGCACTTGTTATTTAAAATGCCCACTGGTCTAGTAATTTTCCATTGTTTTAGTTACCATTATTCAAAAGCTGAAAGGAATGACGTAAATGAATGGCTTTCAGAGTTACTCCGCTAATCAAAATTTAAGCTTTTTTAAAATAAAACTTGAAATGCCTTCCTGGTTTCTTAAACGAAATCTAAATTGAACTGTTCCTTTTAAAGGAGCGATTGTTGAATCAGATAGCGAAAAATAGTCTACATTGAGGTCGATTTAGACTTTCCAATTTTGGACAACCGCTTCTAAAACTTGTCTAAAAGGGTCTTCAGCGCCACTATATAATAGTTTTGAGGGGGACTGCGCGCTGAACAAACGCAATTTCTTCAAGTTAAACCCTTCCAAAAGTGACGAAAAACGGTTTGGCATATGTTTTCCCAGCAGTTTGCCTGCGGCTCTAGACAGTGGTCTATAAAATGTTATTGGAGAGCTCAGAAAATCAATTTGGTCAACCTGAAAAAAGTCGATTAAATTTCGATTTTTCTTCCTGGAAAAGATTCTAGATCCGCCCATTCTCTACAGAACAACAACGTTAAATGTTTTCCAAATTGTATTTGTATACTTGGTAACGCACCAATATAACATCCTAATTTGAACTAGCAAAACCCTATATAACTTCTCAACTGCATGTTTGCGTATTGAAAAACACGAATCTAAACTCTATTTATTACTTAAGCCTATCTAAATAACAATCAAAACAATCTTTATAACTTGAACCTATCTAAATAACAATCAAAACAGGAAGCTTTTAACAAAGTGCAGTTCGCCGGGTCCATCTAGTAGTAAATTTTGCCAATAAATCTAAATCTGAGCGCAGAAATTTACCATGATCTACTTAACAATCTCCCTCCCTATTCAGAAAGGGGAGAGATTGTTAAGTAGATTAAATAATCGAATTTTCGACCAAACAGAATGCAGCAAAATGTGTTTATTCATAGGGGTGGAGATTCTTAAGTAGATATCATAGGGGGGGGGGATTGTTAAATAGATTCATTTACCACTTATTTTGCTTCTTGAATTTTTTACCCCAGTTTCGCACATGAATTTCGAGTTCAAAATATTGGCAAACACGACAAATCTTATTATGTTAGAACCCATGGATCTCTTTAACTATATACCTAGTAACGAATATCCCCCATAAAGAAAAATATCAATGGTTAAGCACATGAGAGTTTTATACCTCGAAACGAATCTCTCCTTATGCAAAATGGGGGATATAGTTACAGAGATCCAAACCCATATAAGTACAAATCTACCATTTTTAATTCTCTAAACGCACAAAAAAGGGTAAAAATATAAATTCAGTTTTTACTTAATTCGCATTGATGCAATAGTTTTTCCTTTCGTGCGACAATTTTTATCGGAGTAAAACACACAATTGTGACCGACTACAATGGTTTGTTCAGTTGTACTTCTGGGTTGGCTTCTTAGTCATGATCCTGTGCTCCAGGTCCTCGAAGGCCTTCTGACTCGCCAGATCCACTTCATCCAGCACCTCCTCAACTCCAGTCACTTCTGGAATGTAGAACTGCAGCATGTTCTGCACCCCAGACTGAAACAAACACAAAACAACATAACACAACCAGTTATTGGCCCACAACCCAATTAGTTCCAAGATCAATTAATTCACTCAACCAAAGCGACTTTTAGACACACTTTTGAACATATTTTTGCCTGCAAGGGATTGCATTCTTTTGCTCTAGTTGCAGGGGCGTGTCTAGGATTTTCTCGAGGGGGTGGGGGCATTTTCAAAAAATTTTGTGAACCTTTTTTTTAGGTCGACCAAATTGATTTTCTGAGCTCTCCTAAATCAAAATAAAGACCCCATTTTGCCCAAATTTTCTGCGCCGCAAGCAAAATTTTGAAAACAGGCCAAAAAAGGCGTTTTTAGGCAATTTTTGGAAAATTTTGATTTAAAAAAAAACGTTTATTCGGCGCGCGCCTTCAAAAACTTTAGGGTCCGTCATCAAAAATGGATATCTCAAAATAGCACAAAGGAGACCCCCCTAAATCCGCTGGTGTTCTAGTTGCATCCTTCTCGCTGAAAATTCAGCGCTAAAAACATGTCCGTTGCCGTCAGAAAACAAAGTTCACAGTCCAAAAGTTCACAGAAATTTGGAGAAACTAGGACACTGTTGCAAATGGTGGGTCGTATCAATATCTAAGAAAGACAATAATACCCTTACGGTGAAAATGACATAATAATACTAAAAGAACTAGTCGAGAAAAAGGATGCTAAAAACCAAGCGTTTTTCTTCAAAATTATATTTTTGAATTTTCTCGGTTATGGTTTACTCAAAACTTTGTGAGACTGCTTCGATTATTTTCAATAAAGAAAAATCATTGTTTTGTCCTTATGATGCCACCTTGATCTTAAAATGTGAATTAGAGCATTTAGATTTGTAAACCTGAATAGTACGTCTTTGTCTGACGTGGTTTGATGATGCTGACCATTTTGACACTTATTACCTATATCGTTACCAATTGTTTTAATACAAAAAAGGAATTACTGCTTAATTTGTGAAAAAGGGTCTACAGGCAGAGTTGCACTCCATGAAAAAGATAGAAAAATTAGCAAAAAATCATGATATTCACAGAAGCAATAATTGTGGAAATCACTGAAAAATTCATCCATTTTTCTCGACTCTGCAATTTAGATGAAAAGCTAAAAACTTTTAAATCTTAAAAACACAAATCATTCATCGTTAAGGATGGTATAAGAAATAACAAGACTGCTCGTATATCAGGGCAAAGCCGTGAATGTTTCGACTGCCCATTAATTGGTCTCTATTAGTTTTTGGGAATATTGACAAACTACGAATTTTAGACTGAAAATATCAAATTAAAAGTGTTAAATAATCTTGCCTCAACTCAACTTGGAACGATTATGAAATAGGATAATTTGCCACGCATAAATATTTCGCATAGTGAAATAATCAGTTCGAGTAGCAACGCAATTGGTATTTTAGTTTAGTGCAAGCATACTCGCTTAGCAATCCGAAGGTTTTCGGAGCGACACCCATACGCTGTCAATTTTTCTAAAATCGGTCACAATAAAAAACCAACCCAATAAAAACCAACAATAAAAACCAACATTATAGGCTTAGAGAATCAGTTTATTCAAAAAAGTGATAGTCTACAAAAATTTTCCAGGTATTTGCAATATAGCCCAAAACACTCCATTCGATAAAAACGATTTTCGCTTAAATCCCACCAATTTGGGATCTATTAGCTTAATTTTCAGATAATTTTTCTCAATTTTAAAGCAAGCTTCATTTCAAACTAAATATTGGTACATTTCATGTAGATTTGACTGTTAGAACTGGCAGAGTATTACATGGAACCTCATCCTTTTAAGCTTTCCAGTAGAATAAAATGATCTATCGTATCAAGCGGTTTTTTTTTTAGAAATATTTAAAACAAGCGACTCCTTAAATTTTGGAAATTTTCAAGATTTTTCATCTTCTGTTGCTGTAAGGATAGCATTAATAGATCAACATTTGTTAAAATCAGACTTGTTCAGTTGCAGGAATTTTAAATTTAGCTACAAATTTTGAATGTCGGAAAAAAAATAATTTTCAGATAATTTTTCTCAATTTTAAAGCATTTTTTTTCCGACATTCAAAATTTGTAGCTAAATTTAAAATTCCTGCAACTGAACAAGTCTGATTTTAACAAATGTTGATCTATTAATGCTATCCTTACAGCAACAGAAGATGAAAAATCTTGAAAATTTCCAAAATTTAAGGAGTCGCTTGTTTTAAATATTTCTAAAAAAAAAACCGCTTGATACGATAGATCATTTTATTCTACTGGAAAGCTTAAAAGGATGAGGTTCCATGTAATACTCTGCCAGTTCTAACAGTCAAATCTACATGAAATGTACCAATATTTAGTTTGAAATGAAAAACATAGCCAACAGACAGTTGAAAAAATCTTCAAGAAACTCAAGAAAACAATAGTAAACAATTGACTGATTTTTGAACAATTCCCAATTTTCAAGTTTCGAGTAGAAAAACACATCACTAATGTTTTTCGAATTTTCAAAATCTTTTATCATTTACATTTTGCAAAACAGTCTTACTAAATGCAAAAATTGAACTCGAAAAAATCAAAAGTCAAACCGTTCAAAAATATCAACGAGACCTATATAAGTGTCTTCAAATTATACCAAATTTGTCGAACTTACTAGAACTAGTTATACCAAATTTGTCGAACATGCTAGAACTAGTTATACCAAATTTGTCGAACTTGCTAGAACTTAGTTATACCAAATTTGTCGAACTCACTAGAACTTAGTTACACCAAACTTGTCGCCCAGATCGTTCAGTCAGAGGATTAAAACATTTCACAATTTTTATCCTCAAGGAAACGGCAACCTGACAATTCCAGACAGTTCGCATAAAAGATATTACTTAAAAACGATATCACATTAAATACTGCTTCCTGTTGGATAATTCCAATTTAGGCAAACTACTTTTTTTCCGATTTAAAAAAAATTAATCCTCATTGTTGTTGGTTTTCCAAAAATCTCGCATCGATGATCTTCTGGGTTAATGCGTAATATTCATGAGCAAAGCAAAACTGTTTATGTATCTCTTTCTCGCTAAACATTTCACTAGAAGAATTAAATGTAAAATAAGCTCCAAAGGAGCCCATATAATCAATTTGGTCGAAAAAGCGACTCGAATCAAACACAATGAAAATCTCCCCACTTACACAAATTTCCGCCGTAATAACCAAGTAGATAGTACCACAGCGCAGCGGAAGAATTAAAGTTCGAAACGCGATCGATATTCTAATTTTTTTGTTTTGCTTTTGCGGAACTTTTTTTGCTTTGTCACAACTACGCGATTTTTTTTTAAAGTGGGTATTTGGAAAAAAATAAATTTCTTTTCGCATTCTTTCCTTTTTTTTGCAAATTGCAGGAAACAGCTCCGGAAATTATTGGAAACAATTCATTTTTCAAACTATGCAGCCATCATTATGAGTCAAAAGAATGCTTTAAGCATGAAAATTAAGTTTATGACGGATCACTAAATGATGGACCAATGACTATACTCATTTTGTGATGGATCGATGAACGATGACAAAGTCACTTTGGGCGCAAAAAAACTTCAAAACCAATACAAATATGGGTTCAAAATTTTACAAAAGGCTTCTTCAGCAAATGTACATCTGAGTAACAAGCATACTCTAGTCAACTGCAGACCGACCTTTACATGGTCGTCTCAAAATAAATGAAGTAGAATTGATAAAAGCTTTTAACTGAAACGGACTTCCCCTGATTACTACCTAAAGTATGCTAGTTTTATTCAAAACTGACCATTCTGTGAGTTACTTATGGAAAAAGGTATAGAAGCCGATTGCAATACCGTTGCTTGTCGCAAGGGTAATAATTTACTTTCAAAGTGACAGTTGAAGACGGACAGGAAGAACAGGCGCCCTGCATCCTCAACTTCACGATTCCGTCTCGGAAGCCCCTCAGTTGCAAATCTCCGCCGTCTTCCTGCACTGTCGGTCTGATTCTACTGTCCATCAACTCAATGATCTGCTCAACAATTGCAGCATCCGCTGGACTAAAACTCAAACTTTTCAACACTGAAGTCAAACGATTTTGGCTCCCCCCCCCTTCACCTCACATAAGCATCAAATTTATGGTGTAACAATTTTTGTAACGATCAGACATTGTGTACAGAATATTTATAAGAAAAAACTCGCAGGAGGGAGGGAAAAAGAAAAAGAGCCACGATTACATGACAAAACACCCCTCAGCTTAAGAGCCCTTAGCTCTTTTGTCCTGGCACCGTATTCCAATCTTTATGGGAAACGGCAGACAAATTAAACAATGTAATACGCATGAATCTTAGGACGACGTCAAAGCTGATTTTAGTCAGATTTATCACAAAGCTCACGGCAAAGCGAAAGCACGTTAAACAAAAAATTTTAATGATAATTTGGCAAAGATTGATTACAAAACTTCGAAAAGCAGCGAGAAAGCTTGTTCTACAAAACTAGTAGCTGAAAAAAGGGTTCCCCTTTTGATACTTTATAAGAAATCCATTCATGGTCGACCGACCAAAAAGTTTTTCTAAAGGCGTCATCGGCGCCAATATTACTAATTTTGAGGGGCAGCGCGCGCCAAAAAAACGCTATTTTTTTGTTAAATATTTCCAAAAATGCCCAAAAAATTTCCAATTATTGACTAGTAAAGGATTGCCTATAATGAAATAATTCAACAGCTAAGCATATGCAAACTTTGAACATGGTAACGAATACCCCCATTTTTTTTGCAAAAAGGGGAATAATTAAAAACAGGGTCGGATTTAGGGAGCGGGGGAGGAGGGTTTGACGCCTTTATTTTTGGTCCATGGACTCTAAAAATTTTCTAAAGGCATCTTCGGCGCCAATATTTTGAGGGAGGGGCAGCGCTGGAAAAACGCAATTTTTTGACCAAAATTATCTAAATAGTGCCTAAAAACGCCTTTTCTGGCCTGTTGTTTTCAAAATTTTGCCTGCGGCGCAAAAAATTAGACAAAAAAGGGTCTTTTTAGTGTTTGGGGAGAGCTCAGAAAATCAATTTAGTCGACGTAAAAAAGAGTCTTTGTTGCGAGTCTCCTTCATTACCTCTACGCTACAGATCCATGATACCTTGAAGCTAAAGTGCTATTTGTAATATAATAGTCTGGGTTAATATCCATAGCATTGGCTGTACTTTCGTTTTTTATATTATACTTTTTTTCTTGTGTTATAAATTTACAAATTTTAGCGAGTTGTATTTAATTATCTGCGCTTCTCATGTCTATTTGAGTGCCGATATCTGAATTTTATTGACTAATCGATATACAGATAATTGAATATCAACTTCATTAGTTATCCTTTTAAAAGGGAAATTAATTTTTCACTTAAGACGCTTTCGCTTTCAGATGAGTTTTTTTACAGAAAAAAAGTACTGCACGATGATGGCGAAGCCCTGAAGGTTTCGACTGCCCTTTGAAGTTTACGGATTTAGGTTCGTTTTAAAAAAAATTGATGCAATTTTCAAAAATAAATGAAAAAAAAATCAAACATTTTTAAGAGTTTTTATAATCATCACCCCACGTGCATATAGCAAATTGTTAAACAGGCCCAATAGCCTGCCTCAGTGCAAATTGTGACAGTTTCCAAAACGGATTAAAACTTTGCTTACGCGTTAATACCACGAAAAAAATCTTGCGTTTATTATCCCAAATTGGTGAAATCGTCTATCTTTATAACCCCATAACTTAAAAAAATCTTTTTACACATCTTTTTATATTTGAGCTCAGGGCAACAATAGTTTTCAAATGATATTTAAAAATCCCGTCAATATTGTTAGTTAAAAGTCGAATTTAGTCTGGAGAAAAAAAACTACCCCGAGCACAAATATTCTATCACTTTCTTCGAAAATCGGAACAAAAAAGCCGGATGTTACTTTCATCACTTTTTTCAAATCTAGTTGAATGAATGAAAACGTTAGCGCAGATTAACATGAGATGCTCGCTGAATGTAGCATTGCTGTTACTCTAAAAATTGACATCAAAATCTGCCGCATTTAAAACTCAAATGAGATGCAAATGAACAGAGTCATGTAATTTAGATGACTGCCAGTGTAATTTGAGAGTCATAAATTTGGGATTTATAAGGGAGTTGGAAAACTTGAGCAGCTGTCAGTCAGCATTTGAATAAATTTCAACATCGTCATCCTTATTAACTAGGCGACCTTAAGAATAGTAACTCATTTTAAGCAACATCTGATAATGATGAAATGATTGTCTATTTTGTTACACCGATATACTTTCTCTTAATCATTATCCACTCAAGGGAAGGAAAAAAAAATACTCACTCAAAGTCAATTTCTTCTGAATTTGCAGTCGTCGACGATTCATCGACTTCTGTGTCATCTTTCACGACCGGCAAATTACTTGCAAAGAAATCCTGGATCACGGCAAATAAGTCTGGTTTGATGAGAGCCCAATCGGTGTCTGTTATTTTGGTGATAGTTATGAAATCCGAGCCCAAGAGAACCCCTTTAACTCCCTCCACTCGGAACAAATGTCTGGCCAGAGGTGACCTTGCAGCCTCGTTTATAGAAGGAATGTTTAAAGTGGGTTGCGTGAAACTTGTTCCTTCTAGAACATTCGTGCCGGGTGTAAATTTGAGACTGTTCGGGTTGGGAGTTTGGTGAACTTGTATGAACATGTTTCTCAGATGAGCCAAACTCAGTGCCGGAAGTCTCGTATGTCGTGATAATGATGCGGTGCATCGCAAAAACGACGATACTGCTGTCATTTTTCTGAAAGAATTTGACGATTAAGCCAAGAGCAAAGACTAAAACAGCGCTCTATAGCTTTTTAGATAGGGGCAGATCTAAGATTTCTTGAGGGCAGGGGAGAGGGGGTTTTTTTTTTAAAAAAAAGAAAAAATGCCTTGAATTTATAAGAAGGACCAAATTGATTTTCCGAGCGCTCCCAAAACACTCTAAAGACCATATTTGATAAAACTTTCTGTGCAGGCAAACTTCTTACGAAGGCAAAAAATACCGTTTCTGGACAATTTTGACCAAAAAATTGCCTTTTTCCGAGTGACAGTGCTTGCTTGAATAAGAAAGCGTATGAACAAAAGAAAAAAGGAAAACTGTTTTGTTTGACCGCGTCGCTAATGAAAATTAAGTTTTTTTAGCCTTTGGAAAAAATCCAACTGTTAGATCGTACGTTTTAATTTCGCACGCTCCCACTCAAAAAAAATATATAGTGCTTCTTAAGAAAGCTATTAGGTCTGGTCGGCCAAAAATGGAACCCCACCCCCTTCGATCCACCCCTGATATTGAGACTATATTACTGCCGAATTTTAGGATCAAGATATTTTATTTTATTTTGATTCAATTTAATAAGAGTTTAATTCAAGATAAAGAGAAAAAACTAAAGTGCGAACAAGGATTGCCCATAGCACAGAATCTTCCGACCACAAAGATTGAAGAAAGAAATCCTAAAATTGGGGAAAGTTCAAAATCTTTTTAAAAAAATCATTTTTATTCTTGTTTAAAAATTCTTGGTTAAATTTTTTTTAAAGCATGGGTCAATTGAACTAGGTCAAAAGCTGCCACATTTTTGCTGAAAATTATTACGCCATTATAAAAACCGCATGAAAATATAATTGAGAGTTTAGTGTCCTTATTATATTTTGTGATTTGATCTGAAAAAAAAAACGGAAAATCAGACCAGCTTATCTCGAAATTGTGAGATATTTTTCGAATTCCAAAAACGGCTGGAAAGTCTTTAGTATGACACCAAACGTGACTACTCACAAGCTTTCTTTTAAATAGCCGAACTAGGGCGGAAAAAACAGTAGACCCCCTGCCGACCCAAAGGGTCCCCCCTTTGTACTATCTTGAGATATCCATTTTTTGTGACGGACCCTAAAATATTCTTAAGGCGCCTTTGGGGCCAATATTTACTAATTTTGAGGGGGGAGCGCGCGCCAAAAATACGCGTTTTTTTGGTCGACACTTTCCAAAAAGTGCTTGAAAACGCCTTTTTGGCCTGTTTTTTGAAAAAGTTGCCAGCGGCACAGAAATTTTGGCCAAAACAAAGCCTTTGTAGTGCTTTGGGAGAGCTCGGAAAATCAATTTGGTCGAACTAAAAAAAGATCGACAAAATTTTCGAAATTTTTTGAAAAAAAGCCCCCCCCCCCTCGAGAAAATCCTAGATCCGCCCCTGATATCGAATTCAGTTTTTTAGGTGGCTGATCCAAATGAATTTAGTAGCCTTTGAATCTTCTAGACTAGATCTACTGAAAAAATGCAACCTTAAGCAAGAATAGCCGGTTACTGTGCAAATAGCATAGAATGTTCCGATCAGTCTTTAAAAAAAAAAATTTTCAAATTAAAGTCGTTTTTTTTTCTGTGTGCTAAGATAAAAAGATTTGAACAAAAAAATAGAAATTAGGCAAATTCAACAGTCATGGTCAAATTGGCCAATTGAAAAAAAAAGGTTTTTTTTTGGAAAACGCTAAATAAATCGTAAAATTTTTTTGAAAAACACTCACATTTTTTTCTAAATTTTTTGCGGAATTTTTTGAAACTTAGATTCCCAAAATGGCACTTAAAAACTCCAAAAACGAACTTTGCTTGTGTAAAACTAAGTCTTAACAGCTTAAATAAGCTTTTTAGATCAAAATTAAATCAAAAATTTGAAACCGGTTTTTCTCGACAGACAAAATTTTCAAAATTGTTTTGTCGTTCGAATCACGACTAAGATGGTTTTGATATGTTATACACAGAGGCGAAGTTGCATTTTGCATACACAAGTAAAAATATTACCGATAAACGCTAGTGGGAAAAACTGAATGAGAAAAATTTTGAGTCTACAAAATTTCTCAAGTGACGCACGCCAATTATTCGTCAATATATACATAATTGCTCGAGAAAGCAAGCCCATTATGACGCATTAGCAGTACCAAACAAAATGAGAAAAAAATACCAACTAACAAGCCTCAATTTATAGAGCGGACACATTTTAACTAGTATAGGAAAAAGTTCAGTGAAAACATCCGACCCTGCCCAGGTTCGAACCCTCTTATGTTGTTAAGTGTACAAAATTTCTTAAGTGACGCAAGCCAAATATGAGTCTACACAATTGCTAAAGAAAGCAAGCCAATGACGCATTAGCAGTACCAGTCAATTTGAAAAAAAAAAGAAATTCGCCAACTAACATGCCTCAATGTATAGAGCGGACGCATTTTTAACTAGTATAAGAAAACTTCATTAAAAACATCCGACCCTGCCCAGGTTCGAACCCTCTTATTTTGCTGCGAGTCTCCTTCAATACCTCTACGCTACAGATCCATGATACCTTGAAGCTATAGTGCTTTTTATAACATAATAGTCTCCGTTAATAATCTTAGCATTGGCTGTACTTAATAGCTGGTTTTGATCAAAATGAACACAGTTTGTCGCAACAATATTTGCGTCGCAATAATATTTGCGAATTAGGTTGGAAAAAAGTTCATACTATCACAAAAGCTTCGCTTGTGTAATAACTCGACCGATTCCGATGATTATTTAGGGTACCTGACTTTGCGTGGAAAAAAAAGAAAAAAAAACTAAAACTTACCCGAATACAAAGTTCCTTCGCATTTTTCAAATAGCCGGAACAATAAAATTATGGAAAGACTTTGACAATATTCAGGCCTCTGATGACATTTTAACTGAACGAACTTAATTTTAACTGAACGAATCTATTACTTTTAATAGATTACACGATCATTATGGGCTTGGAATTTTTTCATTATCAATTCAATAACAAAAGGAAACAAAGATGCGTCCAGATTGCTCTATGATTGTACATTTTTGATGATCGCACCAATTGCCCAGAGATTTATGCAAAAGAAAAAGCCCACTTCTAATTCAAACTGACAAGAAGGTTAAACAACAACGAAATTAGAGAAATTAAAACGTGCGATTAAACAGTTGGTGCAATTTTTCAATAGGCTACAAAAAACTTTTTTTTCATTAGCGACGCGGTCAAACAAAACAGACTTTCTTCTTTGCTTGTGTTCAAACGCTCTCCTATTCAAACGAATATCGTCTTCAAAAGCCCAAAATTGCCCATTGGTTTTTCAATTTGTAGCAAAAGTTGAGCAAAAAAGTGAAGTGAAAGGACTATGCGTTCATCTTACAACTTGATTGGCTCTCTTCTCCCAATTTATTCATTCCTCCTTTTTTACTTTTCAGCCAATCTTCACTTCCATTCAGCGAACAATGGGAACTTCGTTTGAAGCCACTTTTTCTACAAAACTCACTGCGACTATCGCTTAACCACATGGTAGCATATAGGAAATCGCTGACACAGTCAGTCGTATATTTGCTGAAAACATTTTTTTAGAACTATTCATAAAGTGCCCTTCTTTGAATAGTTTCTTAATTACTTTTCAAGTTTTCAATCAAATAACCTTTTTTTTAGCTCAACGCATCCTTTTATTTTTGTTGTCCAAAAAGGAAGTAATTAACTGGCCCTAAATGAAGAAATTTACAAGTCCCTAAATGACGCCAATACATTACGCAACAATGACAGCTTACACGAAGCTCGCTTAATTGAATCAAATTGCGCCAAAGTACAATTGGGAATTGATCAACAATCTGCCACTTTTTTCGCCCAACTAACTCCTTTTCTTTCAGTATCATCGATGTCTTGATTTTCTGTTGAGTAAACTCGGCATTCAAGAGCCAAATTGAGCTGACAACTTTCAATACAGCATTAGTTTTTTCAATGAAAATCATAGATAATATCAAACCAGAAAATTTATTTAAGTAGCGCACTCTTTTGCCCCTTAGTTTTGTTTTGACAAAAGTCAGTAAATCTACAGGAAAATAATGCACCGCTTTACAATACGCTTTAGTCACCGTCATATTACGATGGGTGGCATAATCAAAAAGGGCAAGTCCCTTATCTCTTTGCTAAACCTCCTCCAATCAGTCTAAATCTTATCTCTCTCCTTCAAAAGATCCCTTTAACTTGCCATTTACATTTACATAAAGTGTCATCTGACGCGACTGAGGTCATGGAGGTTTTAAAAACCTTAATTTGTACACTTGTTAACTTGAAACCTTCAATAATTTGTCCTAAATAATAACATATTGACTTAGCAAAAATTTTCAATCAATGCGCTTCCTTAATGACTTACATCTTTCATATTGAACTTTAATAGATTGTCACGGTAAAGTTTTCTTTAACCTTATCCAAACATCTCTCAATATCTCTGCCCATTACTTTGAGCCATGAGCTTTGACCTCGGCAACACCCTTCGCTCAGTGGTGCTAGTGGTGGTATGTGTGGCCATAGTGGCCTGCATAGCCTTTCTCATCCGAAGCAGACGACTGGAGAAGACGAACTTCGTGCGCTACTGTATGGTCCTCGCAGCCTCAGACTTGTCAATTTCCATCTGTTTCATCAGCAACTTCTCCGGACTCGGTGCTGCGTTTAAAAGTGACATCTACCAGCAGATGTAAGTTAACTCATTCGAACTGCCTCATATATGGATAGGTATGTATTGTAGTTTGTGACTATTGTGTTGCATTGGGCGTCTAGTACCATGAAAAAAAATAGTACAAAAGGAAAAAAAACTAAAATTATTCAAGAGAAAAAAAAGAAAGAAAAATTTCTTTTTTGGAAATAAATTAAATTTAAGGGTTGCTCTCTTTTTATTCTCACCGTGCGTGTTGCTCTGTTGATTATAATTGAAGATAATGAAAAAAATATATGTCGAATTAATTTTGTGTAATTTATTTTGATGTATCACATCATTTATACTGGAGAAATAAATTATTATTATTCTTCTTCTTCTTATGAGTTTTATGCTAACATTCTCTTTTTAAAGGTTGATTTTCTGAGATAAAAATACGAAGAACCGTGAAACCCAGATACTTTGCTGTTTTTGATGAAAATACGTGAAACACAGTTCTTTGCTGTTTTTGCCATTTTTTTGTTGCCTGTGTTTGCGAAGAGTTCTTTTGCCTCTGTACCATTATATTGAATTTCGGGTAAGTTATTAAAAGGCGAAATCTTATTAAAATCCAGCTGAATGCACGTATTTTTGAACAACGGGAAAACTGTAGGGTTAAAGCATTTGATATTCAACAGATGCATCGTGAAAACTGTAGATGAGCCGGGAAAATTGTATTCGATCTTTTGTATTATGAAAAAAGATTGAATACTTTATCTAAAACGTTGACTTCAATTAAATTGTGGCGCATTTCATTATATTTGACAATTATCATGTCAACATAGAAACTTCTTACACGTGTCTCTGGTAACTACCTATTTAAATAATTTAGAGATGAATATATAACTAGGCAAAAGAGATATTAAAGATGTTATTATCAATATTAGAGATATTGAAACTGCTTTAAAAATAAAGTGATCTATAATACAAGCTTTGTTTGTGCAAAATCTGAATTTAATCGTACGCCTTCTTATTTTGAAGAAAACTTGGCGACAATTTATAGGTATAAATAATCGGTTAAAAAATAAAATGAGAACTTAACTGTCATTCAAAAATGGGACATTTTCTAAAGAAAGTCTCCAAGAAAAGTTCATTGCTTTTGCTGCTTGCTCGTAGGTAGATAGATATATTAGATTTAAAAAACCAAATAAATCAAAGCCCAATTAAGTATTACGTTGCAAGGATGAAATAGCGAGAACACAAAAAAAACAGCTAGTTAAGGCTACAAATTACAAAAATCGCCAACAGACAGTTGTAAAAATGACAATGATCGCAACAAAACAAGAAATTTTTTTTTGAATTTTAAGATAAACAAGCCCTAAAAACTCTTCGAATTTCAAGAAAAATTGATGGTAAAAAAATTTTGGTAAAAACTAACACAATTCGAGACAACTGGATCAATAACTAATTTTTCATTCTGATGGAAAATCTTAAAACTAAAATCCACTTTCGGAACGAGAAATAACTTGCGTTTTTTTCTGACGACCTATACAAAAAGTCTTCACTAGATTCATTTACGCTTCAAAACATTGATGCATTTCGTCAATTTATTTAAATTGAAATTCTTCGTGGCTTTTTTGGGGATTAAGATTTGAAGAAATTTAAAAAGAAACATTATAATGTTTTCTTAATCAAATATTCTAATTGCTTTTCACGATCATGGGAATCTTTCTCATGCAGCCTATCAAAAAAACGAGAGCTTCGATTTGATACATTATCCGTAAGCTTCACTATGGTAGCAAACATTATCCCTAAACTTCACTATGGTAGCAAATTTAAAAAGAAACATTATAATGTTTTCTTAACCAAATATTCTAATTGCTTTTCACGATCATGGGAATCTTTCTCATACAGCCTATCAAAAAAAACGAGAGCTTCAATTTGATACATTATCCGTAAACTTCACTATGGTAGCAAACATTATCCCTAAACTTTACTATGGTAGCAAATTTAAAAAGAAACATTATAATGTTTTCTTAACCAAATATTCTAATTGCTTTTCGCGATCATGGGAATCTTTCTCATGCAGCCTATCAAAAAAAACGAGAGCTTCAATTTGATACATTATCCGTAAACTTCACTATGGTAGCAAACATTATCCCTAAACTTCACTATGGTAGCAAATTTAAAAAGAAACATTATAATGTTTTCTTAACCAAATATTCTAAGTGCTTTTCACGATCATGGGAATCTTTCTCATACAGCCTATCAAAAAAACGAGAGCTTCAATTTGATACATTATCCGTAAACTTCACTATGGTAGCAAAAATTACGCAGGCTAACAAGTACACCTGGTGGCCGTGCTTGAAGCACAGAATGTTCCTTCCACAATCATGTTTTAAAATTTTGTTTACAGAATTTATGTTCTTTTTAACGAAGAGAAAGGATGCACTTTCAAAACTTTTAGAAACTAAGAAAACTAATTAATCATCGCTCAACACAAAAGTTATGTAGATTTAACCGAGTTGTTGACAAAAAGTGACATTTCATTACAAAAACTATTAGTTCAAGTAAAAAAGATCAAAACCACGAAAATTCAACGTTTTGACTGGTGTTTTGTGAAAAAAATTAGAAATTTATTTAGATGATCACGAAAACTACTCAAAGGCGACGTTCGACTTCGCAACGCAAAACTGGCAAAAAGGAGATTTAAAATCGCAAAAAAGCCTGAGACAAAAATAAGCTTTGAAAAACTTTTCATGACAAATGTAGAATTTCATCTAGTTTTTTTTCTTAAGAAATAAAGAAGTAGTTTGAAAAATCATGACTGTAATATTTTCATAGTCAAAAGTTTCTAGTGTTTTCTCAAAAATAGTTGACCTTGAATTACACAACACGATTACTGAATCTACACAGAGGCCAAACTGGACTTGGCATAAACAAGCAAAACCAGCAAAAAGGAAATTTAAAAGGGCAAAAAACAATTCTGGGGCGAAAGAGACCTTTGCACATAAGAAAGATTTTCCCGACTACGGGATTCGACCAGTGGACCTCCGTACTTTGAGATCCCTCTTCCTCCGCTGAGCGATATAGTCTTGCTCTCTTCTTCTTTTTTTCAGTTCTATAGTAAATAATAGGCAGCAAGAATTCGCTTTACAGCGGACAAAACATTAGTAGCGTCTGCTTCTTCAAAACCTTAATTTCAAAATTAGATCGCAATATCCAAACTGAAATCAACATTTTCTTTAAAAATTGCTCCAAAAAGTTCTTTAAAAATCGTGTTAGAAGCCTTGTCATAAAAATCCCTGCCTATAATTTTACGATATTAAAAACTGGATATTAAATAAAGCCTCGTCTTCCTATAATAGTTTTATTACAGCACTTGGTTTGCTTTTATTTCAGAGTTGCTGGCTACATAATGGTGTTTGGACTGTTCTCGCTTAATACCCAGGCGCTAATTGCCGTAGAGAGGTTCATGTCTGCCCGTATTCTAATTAGAGCAAGTAAGTTTCTACCAATCGCAAATCTTGCGGAAATGACAGATAGAATGAGTTGAAAAGGTTGAAATTAAAAATGCATTTGAGTGAAATTAGCAGTTAAACATATCAAGTTTTTAAAACGTTCGATCTTTTTTGTCCGAGTGTGATAATAGATGTAAGTATTAGTCTCAAAGACTGCCTAAAACTACTGGCTTCCTTATGATTATCATAATGGTATCTATTTATTTCTACGATGACGGCGGCGTCATTTGCGTCATACTCGAAAATTCTAAAACCCCAGTTTCAAGGATACACGGTTGCTGTGCAAGAAGCACAAAATATTGCGACCACAGTAATTTTTGCGCAAAAATTGAAAATATTTCAATTTTTATAAATTTTCCATTGTTTTTATTCTGGGATAATTGCTTGCAATGTAGTTCAGTAATTGGAAAACATTCAAAAAACAGTCAAAAATGAATGAAAAAAATGTCAAAAATGAATGAAAAAAATGTCCAAAATGATGGAAAAAAATGACATTGTTAAACTTTTTTGCACTTCCTCCTGCGTTAAATAAAAAGTTCAGTGTGAATAGCAGAAACGACCGATAAACTTCTTTGAATGTTTGTTTTTCGCAATCCGAACTACCAATGAAGGGGATTTAGTATTATACCACATTTTATTACTCACAAAGAACATGCTTTGAATTTTTAAACACCAACCATCCCCAGAGATATTTTTCACTGTACGCGTGATCAGTTATGGAGCAATCAGCCGTATCGTAATGAATTACACCGCGTCCATATGGTCTCCAAGTTTAAGCAACACCAAATGATCAAAACTTCGACTCAAACAAAGCAAGGCACTTAGAACAAAAACTGGCTGTGTTAAATGACGAACATAGATCATTTACGCAATGAAACGAAGTTATTCCTGTCTTCGAGTATAAAGACACGCTTGTGACACAGTTCTACCTCGTAAACAAGCAGACCATATCGGAGCGTGCAGCCCATACAATTTGTCAACAAATACTGAATGGGTCTCTAAATGCATTTTTGAGACCAAATTTCTTCTCTCAATTGAATTTGGGAGGATTGCTGAGCCTGATTCATGGGTCGCTTGCTCGAAATATAGCTCGCTTTAATTATCGCAAATGCAACTAAAAAACTTTAAATATCAGCTAAGAGCAATTTTTAGATGGAAATCCGCTAAAATGCGTACTGAGAAAAAATTGTCTGAAGTAGAAAAAAAGATGAAAATAGTAACTTAGCGCTGGTTTATATGCATGTGAAGTTGAATACAAGTTGAACGCAAAATTGTGCGAGTTAGTGTGGAAAAAAAGTGAACTCGTAGTATAACTCGTAGCTCAAAATTTTTCCTAAACACCTACAAAACAATAAAGTTTGTTTTTCACAGCGTGATCGGTATTAAATAGTACTGAGGATGCTTAGAGGGAGAAGACGTGTATTGTGAGTTTGGAAAGTAACTTAGGCTTCAATTGCATTTAGGACGACCTTACACGACCTCCAAGTTCATGGCCATCACCCTGTTCGGAGGATTTCTTCCCGCTCTCCTCACTACAGCGCTCATGGTCTCCATCATGTATCCGGAGAACACATTTGAGATAGATGCCCAGACCATGCACTTCGGCGTCAACTGGAACCCCAAGTCCATACAGGTCAGTGCTGCTGTCATTATGGTCATCAAACACACGCACATGAATATATATATATACGAACGCACGACGCACGCACACACACATATGGACATCTTAATTAATCTATATGCAATTCGTGCTCAGATTTTCAATTTACTGCACGAATTTTACATGTTATACAAAAGCTTCGAAATACATTACAAAATAGACACGACACACTTACGTGATTATATACATTTCAAAATGAATAAAATACACATTATGGATCAACCGTACGAATCTAGGCTAAACTCAAAGTTAGCTTATGAAAAATCCATATCCCACCCCCCTAAATCGATTGGGTATGTGAGTGTGTGTGTGTGTGTGTGTGTGTGTGGGGGGGGGGGGGGGTTGTACGGTTGATATCACATTATTTCTAACTTTCTCAATACGTGATGTTTTGATATGGATTCCAATTTTAGACTGAATAATAGTAAGCTTACTTATCATAAGACCGAGCTTTATTTGTACCAGGGAATATCGATGATCGTGATGCTGCTGCTGCTCGAGTACCTGACCCCTTTGATAGTGATCGGCGGCTGCTACGCAAGTATTTTGACACTTCACAACAAGCGAGCCGTTTTCTACACTTCTCCACGTATTTCACGCAGGTAATCGTTTTTGCAATACGAATCACGAAGAACCAAACTGGTTAGCTCTTCTTATATTGCCTTTGATAAAAAAAAAAGTTAAAAAAATTTTTGGTTATTTTTCCCGCTGTGAATAGCTGTGCCACAATCCAACATGCTCCAGAAAGAGGTCAAATGAATTTCCGTTATACTTACAATAATAAAGCACTACTAGTAAATACGAAATCTGCACTCCACAATTAAGGATGGCCATAGTGAATATTGCGAAAAAATGTTAAATTAGTAAAAAACAGGGGGTCTAGAATCAGTGAACTTAAAAGATCCACTTGAAAAAAATCTAACCAAGACTACCCATGTCAGGGTGAAGCGAAAACTAGAACGTTGATTTTCAAAGGTAGCTCTAAATAGGTAAAACATCAGAAAAGGAAAAAAATGTTGAAATCAGCCTTAGGAATAAAACTTATCGACTTACCAGTATCGAACCGGCAACCAGGAGATTCTGAGACTCATGTCCTCGAATAAGTGTCAGGTTCCCTTCACAATGGGCAAACACAAACCACAAAAGAGGCAGACAGAACAGATGCTATTAAATTGCCAATTATGCAGCAAAATGCACCAAATGATAATTTTTATGTGCTAGTTGGGTTCGCAAAAAAAACAATACACTTGCTAGCTCAATCGTGTAAAAAAAAGATACTTAAGCAATCATAAAAATACAATTTTTTGACAGTTTCATCGGTGCATACATAGTTTGTTTTTTTCCTTTATTTCAGTTCTCAGTCTAATTTCAAAAACTATGTGATTGTTTTTTTTCTGACACTGATGTGATCGGATTGGCGGTTTTCGTCTTACTGTCATGTCAATTCACAGATTTGCGGCTAAGACGGGTTCATGAGGAACAAGCGGTCACTACTTGCCAATTCGATCTTTTTCTAGATTCGATAAATTCGAGCTTTAATTTATTAGGTTGAGATTTTAACAGAAAACCAAACAAAAAAAATGATAAAAACATTTGAAAGCAAAAAATTTTGAGGTAAACCGTATTCCTCAATAGTCAAAACAAAAAACACAGTATATGCTTCAGTATAAATAAAAAATACTAAATGAATAATTCTTTTTAAAATGTTGAAAAATTAAAATATTGAATGTATTGAAAACTTGGAGCGGACACAACCGAGGAGCATCTAAAAATCGTCTGCCTTTGAAAAAGTTTAATACTCTTAATACTAGCGCGGTGCTTCTACCTTTTGACAACTCATAAAAAAGCGTATTTGAGTGTATTCTGACAGCACCCAATTACAGGGCTGGTAATTTCAAATTTTGTAAAGTTTTTTAGACTCAACTTTTTCTTTGCTCAAATTTTGAAAAACCATAAAACTTAGGTTTTTTTAAGTTCTTTAGAAAATTTCAAAATTACAAAAAAGCCACGGAAACTAAAAGCTATTGAGCAGTCGCATTTGGGCTGCAGCTCTTGAGAGTAATCTCGCAATACCTAACTACAGCATTGGAAATTTCAAATTTTGAGGAACTTCATTTGAGTTTTCTAACATTTCTTTGAAAAAACAAAAAAAAACGTCAAATCTAGAAATCTACAACGATTTGACCATTAATATTTGACATAAGATTCGCAACGCCGAAGATTACTATTACAGACCTCAACTACAGGGTTAGAAATTTCAAAACTGGAAACCTACTTTCAAATGAAAGTTTTCTGAAAATTTTTTTGAAAAAATCACAAAAAAGTTATATCTCGAAAACTACAAGGATTTGAGCAATCAAATTTGTAGGCCAAATTCGCATTGCTATTGCAATATGCGATATAGCTTAAACGTGCAAAAATTCTTTCGTTAAACATGCAAAAAATTACGTTGAAAAAGCTTAATTATGGCAAAATAGTGAAGCCCGCATTTAAATATATAATAGATATATTTCGAATTAATTTCACTAATATTAAATAAAATGATAGAAAAACAAAACATTCAAATTAATTTTTAAATGTCGAAACAAGGAAAGCTGCATACAAATGAACTTGTATGATAGCCAGGATGAAATAATTTTAAAAAAAGAATTTTCAAAATTTTGCAATTTTAAACTTTTGTTTAAAAAGTTCTCTACAACTACAAGGTTTCAAAGCATCGTATTTTTACTGTGTATTCAGAACAAATTTTCGAATCCTGTACGATGCAGTTGCTGTTCAGACAAAAAAAATTAAAAAAATAAAACTATTTCCTTTTTAAGGATACCATATCTCTGAACTTTTGGTGCTTTTTTCGAAGCGTTTTTTTTCTAACCAAGAAATTCGCATTAATTTTTAGTAGCGTGATTTCAATGATTTACATCAATAATCAAACCGTTTTTCTCATTTTTCTCTTCCGTTAAACAGATTTACACAGCAATTAAACTTAGGAATTAAGGGAATAAGTTGAACAGAGAAAGAGAAAAAGTTTATATTTTTAAGTACTTTTAAGAGCTTTAATTAAAACCTATGGCATAAAACATTTAGACTTGAACACATTTATGAATGGTACTTATAAACTCACTAAGCGTCAGATTCTTTTCATAAGACTAGCTTAAGAAAAATGAAAATCAAACATTTTTGTTACTGAAAATCAAAAATTACATGTCGACATCAAAAATAATGTCAAAATCGCAATCTCTCAAAACTAAAATTCATTTTTATTAAAGATTTCTTCTCAAAGTGAGGGCTTCCACCTTAGTTAAATTTGTTGCTGAATACCCCAATTCAAACCAAGTGTCTCGAAACTGAGACTACTTTTTCTATTTTTGTATACGAATCACGACCAATAAGGGCATTAATATTACACCAGAATCGACCCCAATTTTTATTGATTCACCTGCAACATGGGGCGGAAAAAAACCGGCATATGCCGTAATTCTTCATCACATCGTGAAGCGGCAGGAAAAACACGAAGACCTCGCTAATGGATTCGACTAAATTGATTTTTTTTCAGCGTAGAAAGAGATACTTTTACCCACATTTCTAACAAATAGCTAACGTCATTATTATAAATTATAAATAACATTTAAGTTAAATTGAATGTTAAATAACTATGTTAAAAACTTCTTCCCAACCCTGCTTTTCCAGGGTGCGCAATATAAACATCATGTGTATGGTTTCCTCCATGGGCTTCCTGGTGGCATGGACCCCTTATGCCACACTTGGCTTCCTCTCACTGACACGAATCACAGAAATAGGTATGCTCACTTAACTCTCAACAATTACTCACGAGTCTGATATAACATAACATTGCACATTGTAACTGCTGACAAAATTATCACATCATAAAAAAATCTCGATATTCAAACTCATTTTTTGCGCTATTTTTAAAATCTGCATACAATTCGAGCAACAAAATTATCCAAAAATAGAAATAGAAAATGCGTCTGCGATTCTATTTATGATTTTTTTTCAATGCTTATCATTTCGGATAATATCAAAACAAAACGTGTGGAACTGGACCAGCTGTGGAATGCATGGTTTTTCTGCTTCATTTCTACGCCATGACAACTTTAGGAGGACTTTTGTGGCTGTTGGCCAATGTGTGTGGCAAGACATGTACCATCTACAACTCAGCCCTCTTCTATGCATCCACTAGACAGCTCGAAATTCCCCCCAGTGTCATCCCTTCTGGCCCCCCTGATATCCCCACAGTCACTGGAAACCAACTCAACAAACAGGTAGATTTGCTATCTTACCACCATTGTCTATACTTGTATCTATCCGACACCTCCCCCAACCCCCCCCCCCCCCAGCTACCCTTGGGCTGCAAACGGGGGAGGGAGACTCTTTACCTCATGTCATTAAAGCCACATTGTAAGCACTTCAAGCTTGCTACATCTTTCATCATGATTCAGTCAAAGTATTTTTCAAATCAGTATTCTACAGATTACAATAATCAAAATGTACAATGAAAAAATTCATCGATCAATTCGTGTAGCAATTCGTTCATTCATCAACCGCCAATGCACCGGAAAACTGATCCTTATCAATGAACCACCACGCTTTGCTTCATTGATAATCTCAAGGCTATTTTGGTGTCAGCCGAGTACCGCATCGAGTTGTTATGCTAACGACAAAATCTCTTGTAGATTACTTCTATGTCTTTAGACCTGATCACGAAATAGGAACTAAATTACCATTCCGCTGTTTTTTGCTTCTTTCCACTTTAAAATAGGTACCTCAAATAAATGTCAGATGGGCTTGAAATATGTCTATCATTAAAGACCCTTTCAGTCGGGATTCGATCGACACTACTGTGATCAAAACCTTCAGTGGTACCTGCATATCATCCGGCAATGTTGTTTGGTCTTGTTGTAATTAAAAGTTAATTAGTTCAGATTATATGACCAGACAAAGAACTATTGTTGAGTGCTATCGACAACATCGTTTCAATTGGCGGCTGGTTCTGTTGATTTTGTCCACTGCTCAGGTTCAAGGTCAAAGAAATAATTCAAAGCACTACCACCCACTTTTTTTCTCTCGATAACCACCAATTGTTTCCTTTTCTTCATCAATATCTTCCTTGAAGGGGTTTACATGTAGCTTTATCTTCGTCTCCAGTTTGACTGCAAGAGAAACATCAACTTCCGCGAAATTTATCAGAGTGTCAATATTTGGCCCTAAACTATCACCATTTTGTTGATTCAAGGCAATTCTACTCTTGAATTTTCTATTGATTTCAGGTAATAATCAAAGCTTACTCATCCATTATTGCGAACCATAGGTTGCTATGAGTTCTAGTAATTTGACCACGATTACGATTTGATTACTTTCATGTTTTCTGAAGCATAAATCATTGTTTTCCTGTAATATAAGTACGACTAGTACGAGGATGTATAGGTGCTTTCTAAGTACAAGTGGGGTGCTTAAATCAGATAGTTGAACCTCGGAAATTGATTGTTTCTTGAAGACTACAAAAAAACTATGTCAGGCATGCTAACAGAAATAAGAAAAAACCCTGAAAAGAGTTTCAGACGTTCATATTTTATCACAGAAAATATTTCTAGTTTAAATGAAATTTTTAGAACGAATAGTTGCTTCCTAGAAATAATTTTGAAGTAATCATATCATCAATTTTGAAAAATCGCCGACAAAAAATAATGGGCGCTATATTGTTCAGCCATGGTGGTGGCAATTCAGTGCACATAAATAACAGCATGAATTGTGTCGAAAAAGAACTTTAAAAGTTTGCGGTGGTTTTCAAGCATTCGCTCTGCAATAAGGTAAATGACCTCCGAAATTTTTAGTTTGTACTATGAACAAAAAGCGTACTTCAACATTCTGAATGTTACATTCGTACAGAAAATGTGAAAATGTAGACTTTAAAATATACCACTGGGGAAAAAAGCGCCATCAATGAAAAGGTTATCCTAGCTCACCATTTACTCAGGGACTAAAATGTTCTCTGGCACCAAAACTAATCATAAGTTGATTGAAGTGTTTAAGTTGATGAACTGCAGTAAATTGGATAGTGCTCCCGCCTTCCTGACCAAAGGTTAGTCAGTCAAGGACAAAATTAGCCCTGATATTGTGGTTTATGGGATAAAAGAGCTAAAATTGGTTCGCCGAGGAGAACTGAATAGCTCTTATGCTTGTCATTTATCATGTTAATGAATGAATGTTTTAAAATGAAATAAAAGCAACTTGTTTCAATAACAGAGAGCCGCAAATGGCCGAACGACAGCAGTTGGAGTGAGGAACTTGGGTATGACTGTATCGACCGGCCCTTCTCCCGACATGCCATATATCAACAGCGCAACCTCTCAAAGAACGGAGCTACAACTCAGTCCACGTCGTGAGGTCGTCGTTGGAGCGTAAGTTTTGTTCACCCAGAAAACGTCATTCCACCAATTAAACAACAAAAACAACAACTCGTTCTTAATGCACACACTCAATGTTCCTAATATATACATGTGGTTCTATATTTGCGAGTAAATTGATCTATCGTCAAAGAGTTGTTCAGATCGCCGGCACGAAGTGACAGAGGGAGCTGTTCGGACCAAGTCTACTCGGGACCTTACATGACTACAAGCGCAACAACGACACATCAACATTGAAGACGCAGAACATTGATCTATCACAGTTCTCCATTATACTTAACAACTTGCGCCCAGCTCAAACCCGGCTAAACTGACAAAATATCAATAGACTGAAAGAAAAATCACCAAACCACAAATTGTTTCTTCTATCGACCTTTTTTTTAGACCGGCAGTTCTGACTCTTTAAGCTCTTTCGCAACCTAGATTTTCACACATTTTCTAGCTCTCTCAAAATTAATGTAAATTATCGCCTTAAGAAAACTTTAAGGTTCAAGTAGTCAAAAAATGTGAAAATGCAAACAATTTTGATGTGTTGAGGCATTTTTCTGATTTACTTTAGAAATTTTTGTTTAATGTCATCTGAAACGCTTAAAAAATTACTGCTATTGATGTTTTATTTCACATCTGCATGCGTCGATATTTTAAAACAACGATTGTAAATAAATTTTGGCTCCAAATTGCTTGAATAAACTTATGTATTTTTACAAAAAGTCTTGCTTTTCATATTTCGGGAAATTATCAAGTTTACTCTTTCATTTCAAGTCTGTTTTTGTTCCGATTTTCAAAGAAAATGCAAAGGGTGGTTATTTTGTTCAGACCATTTCCTGGAAGAAAATTGTAGTGTAGATCGAATTTGGAATGAAAGTTTGGAGCTCTTTGAACAAGGCTATTCATTCAGTGAACTTAGAAATTTTTCAGCTTGTTTTGATAGCTTGAAACGCTTCGCAGGGAAAATCTTTTGTACAGCAAGCTATTCAAGTGATAAGACTACAACGCAACTTTTTGCATCTCGTTTTGATTTCTTGAAAGTGTTGGCTGAAAACTGAAAGTTTTTTTAGCTTCTCTAGTTTACAGCTAAACTATTGGATCAATCGTACAATCTCTCCCCCCCCCCTAAGTGACCAACCGTAGAATGTCCCCGTAGCCACGTATTAAATTTGAAAATAAATTCCACACAAAATTTGTTGTCACAATTTTTATGTGGGATTGCATTTGAATGCTGTTAATAACCTCAAATAACGTATTTTTAATCACTTTTCTCGAAATAAATTGTTTTTCTATACTCAAAGTTATTTCCTGAAAAATCTTCCAGTTCTGTAGATAGCTTAAACTCATTTGCTAAAATGATTTTTTAAATGATGAAACTATCAACAATTTTAAGTTGTCCTTATAGCTTGGAAGTATTTGCTGAACAATCAACTATTCAAATGAAAAAGACGCAGCGACGGCATTTATGGTCCTTTTGATATCTTCAAGTTTGAATTTTCAAGAGTTAATCAGAAAACGATGTTTTTTGCAATCTCTTTTTTATGTTTTAGATGTGAATTAGATTTCTTCTCGATTTAGATTCGATTTCTTTTCACCTTTTGATCCAGTTTCTTTTATTTCGAACATATGGCATAAAACATTTAGACTTGAACACACTTATGAATGGTACTTATAAACTCACTAACCGTCAGATTCTTTTCAGAAGACTCGCTTAAGAAAAATGAAAAAGGAAAATCAAATTTTTTTGTTACTGAATATCAAAAATTACATGTCGACATCAAAAATAATCTCAAAATCGCTATCTCTCAAAACTACGATTCAATTTTATTAAAGATTTCTTCTCAAAGTGAGGGCTTCGAATCTTAGCTTAACTTGTTACTGAACAGCCCAAACTCAAATCAGGTGGTCTCGAAATTGAGACTACTTTTTCTATTTTTGTATACGAATCACGACCAATTAAGGGCATCAATATTACACCAGAATTGACCCCATAGATTTTTTATTGAATCACCGGCAACATGGGACGGAAAAAACCGCCATATGCCGTAGTTCTTCACCACATCGTGAAGCGGCACGAAAAACACGAAGACCTCACTAATGGATTCGACTAAATTGATTTTTTTCAGCGTAGAAAAAGATACTTTTACCCACATTTCTAAAAAATAGCTAACGTCATTATTAGAAATTATAGATAACATTTAAGTTAATCTGAATGTTAAATAACTATGTTTAAAAATTTCTTCCCAACCCTGTTTTTCCAGGGTGCGCAATATAAACATCATGTGTATGGTTTCCTCCATGGGCTTCCTGGTGGCATGGACCCCTTATGCCACACTTGGCTTCCTCTCACTGACACGACTCACAGAGATAGGTATGCTCACTTAACTCTCAAAAATTACTCACGAGTCTGATAACCTGATATTACATAACATTGCAACTGCTGACAAAATTATCACATAAAAAATCTCGATTTTCAAACTCATTTTTTGCGCTATTTTTAAAATCTGCATACAGTTCGAGCAACAAAATTATCCAAAAGTAAAAATAGAAAATGCATCTGCGATTTTATTTATGATTTTTTTCAATGCCGATCATTTTGGATACTATCAAAACAAAACGTGTGGAACTGGACCAGCTGTGGAATACATGGTTTTTCTGCTTCATTTCTCCGCCATTGCAACTTTAGGAGGACTTTTGTGGCTGTTGGCCAATGTGTGTGGCAAGACATGTACCATCTACAACTCAGCCCTCTTCTATGCATCCACTAGACAGCTCGAAATTCCCCCCAGTGTCATCCCTTCTGGCCCCCCTGATATCCCCACAGTCACTGGAAACCAACTCAACAAACAGGTAGATTTGCTATCTTACCACCATTGTCTATACTTGTATCTCCTCAACCCCCCCCCACCTAACCCTACTCTTGTGCTGCAAACAGGGGGGGACTCTTTACCTCATGCCATTAAAGCCACATTCAAAACACTTCTCAAGAGTGCTACATTTTTCATCATGATTCAGTCAAAGTATTTTTTAAATCAGTATTCTACAGAGTACAACAGTGAATATGTACAATGTAAAAAAAATTAATCGATTAATTCGCGAAGAAATTCGTTCATTCATCAACCGCCAATGCATGCACTGGAAAACTGATCCTTATCAATGAACCACCACGCTTTGCTTCATTGATAATCTCAAGGCTATTTTCGTGTCAGCTGAATACCGCATCGAGTTGTTATGCTAACGACAAAATCTCTTGTAGATTACTTCTATAGCTTTAAACCTGACCACCAAGTAGGAACTAAATTACCATTCCGCTGTTTTTTCCTTTTATCCACTTTAAAATAGGTACCTCAAATAAATGTCAGATGGGCTTAAAATATGTCGATCATTGAAGACCCTTTCAGTCGGGATTCGATCGACACTACTGTGATCAAAACCTTCAGTGGTACCTGCATATCATCCCGGCAATCTTGTTTGGTCTTGTTGTAATTAAAAGTTAATTAGTTCAGGTTATATGACCAGACAAAGAACTATTGTTGAGTGCTATCGACAACATCGTTTCAATTAGCGGCTGGTTCTGTTGATTTTTAACTTCATTAATTCCATGTGTCTCTAGGTCGGTCAAGTCTCCCAACTCCACTGCTCAGGTTCAAGGTCAAAGAAATAATTCAAAGCACTACCACCCACTTTTTTTTCTCTCGATAACCACCAATTGTTTCCTTTTCTTCATCAATATCTTCCTTGAAGGGGTTTACATGTAGCTTTATCTTCTTCCTCAGTTTGACTGCAAGAGAAACATCAACTTCCGCGAAAATTATCAGAGTGTCAATATTTGGCCCTAAACTATCACCATTTTGTTGATTCAAGGCAATTCTACTCTTGAATTTTCTATTGATTTCAGGTAATAATCAAAGCTTACTCATCCATTATTGCGAACCATAGGGTGCTATGAGTTCTAGTAATTTGACCACGATTACGATTTGATTACTTTCATGTTTTCTGAAGCATAAATCATTGTTTTCCTGTAATATAAGTACGACTAGTACGAGGATGTATAGGTGCTTTATAAGTACAAGTGGGGTGCTTAAATCAGATAGTTGAACCTCGGAAATTGATTGTTTCTTGAAGACTACAAAAAAACTATGTCAGGCATGCTAACAGAAATAAGAAAAAACCCTGAAAAGAGTTTCAGACGTTCATATTTTATCACAGAAAATATTTCTAGTTTAAATGAAATTTTTAGAACGAATAGTTGCTTCCTAGAAATAATTTTGAAGTAATCATCAATTTTGAAAAATCGCCGACAAAAAATAATGGGCGCTATATTGTTCAGCCATGGTGGTGGCAATTCAGTGCACATAAATAACAGCATGAATTGTGTCGAAAAAGAACTTTAAAAGTTTGCGGTGGTTTTCAAGCATTCGCTCTGCAATAAGGTAAATGACCTCCGAAATTTTTAGTTTGTACTATGAACAAAAAGCGTACTTCAACATTCTGAATGTTACATTCGTACAGAAAATGTGAAAATGTAGACTTTAAAATATACCACTGGGGAAAAAAAGCGCCATCAATGAAAAGGTTATCCTAGCTCACCATTTACTCAGGGACTAAAATGTTCTCTGGCACCAAAACTAATCATAAGTTAATTGAAGTGTTTAAGTTGATGAACTGCAGTAAATTGGATAGTGCTCCCGCCTTCCTGACCAAAGGTTAGTCAGTCAAGGACAAAATTAGCCCTGATATTGTGGTTTATGGGATAAAAGAGCTAAAATTGGTTCGCCGAGGAGAACTGAATAGCTCTTATGCTTGTCATTTATCATGTTAATGAATGAATGTTTTAAAATGAAATAAAAGCAACTTGTTTCAATAACAGAGAGCCGCAAATGGCCGAACGACAGCAGTTGGAGTGAGGAACTTGGGTATGACTGTATCGACCGGCCCTTCTCCCGACATGCCATATATCAACAGCGCAACCTCTCAAAGAACGGAGCTACAACTCAGTCCACGTCGTGAGGTCGTCGTTGGAGCGTAAGTTTTGTTCACCCAGAAAACGTCATTCCACCAATTAAACAACAAAAACAACAACTCGTTCTTAATGCACACACTCAATGTTCCTAATATATACATGTGGTTCTATATTTGCGAGTAAATTGATCTATCGTCAAAGAGTTGTTCAGATCGCCGGCACGAAGTGACAGAGGGAGCTGTTCGGACCAAGTCTACTCGGGACCTTACATGACTACAAGCGCAACAACGACACATCAACATTGAAGACGCAGAACATTGATCTATCACAGTTCTCCATTATACTTAACAACTTGCGCCCAGCTCAAACCCGGCTAAACTGACAAAATATCAATAGACTGAAAGAAAAATCACCAAACCACAAATTGTTTCTTCTATCGACCTTTTTTTTAGACCGGCAGTTCTGACTCTTTAAGCTCTTTCGCAACCTAGATTTTCACACATTTTCTAGCTCTCTCAAAATTAATGTAAATTATCGCCTTAAGAAAACTTTAAGGTTCAAGTAGTCAAAAAATGTGAAAATGCAAACAATTTTGATGTGTTGAGGCATTTTTCTGATTTACTTTAGAAATTTTTGTTTTATGTCATCTGAAACGCTTGAAAAATTACTGCTATTGATGTTTTATTTCACATCTGCATGCGTCGATATTTTAAAACAACGATTGTAAATAAATTTTGGCTCCAAATTGCTTGAATAAACTTATGTATTTTTACAAAAAGTCTTGCTTTTCATATTTCGGGAAATTATCAAGTTTACTCTTTCATTTCAAGTCTGTTTTTGTTCCGATTTTCAAAGAAAATGCAAAGGGTGGTTATTTTGTTCAGACCATTTCCTGGAAGAAAATTGTAGTGTAGATCGAATTTGGAATGAAAGTTTGGAGCTCTTTGAACAAGGCTATTCATTCAGTGAACTTAGAAATTTTTCAGCTTGTTTTGATAGCTTGAAACGCTTCGCAGGGAAAATCTTTTGTACAGCAAGCTATTCAAGTGATAAGACTACAACGCAACTTTTTGCATCTCGTTTTGATTTCTTGAAAGTGTTGGCTGAAAACTGAAAGTTTTTTTAGCTTCTCTAGTTTACAGCTAAACTATTGGATCAATCGTACAATCTCTCCCCCCCCCTAAGTGACCAACCGTAGAATGTCCCCGTAGCCACGTATTAAATTTGAAAATAAATTCCACACAAAATTTGTTGTCACAATTTTTATGTGGGATTGCATTTGAATGCTGTTAATAACCTCAAATAACGTATTTTTAATCACTTTTCTCGAAATAAAGTGTTTTTCTATACTCAAAGTTATTTCCTGAAAAATCTTCCAGTTCTGTAGATAGCTTAAACTCATTTGCTAAAATGATTTTTTAAATGATGAAACTATCAACAATTTTAAGTTGTCCTTATAGCTTGGAAGTATTTGCTGAACAATCAACTATTCAAATGAAAAAGACGCAGCGACGGCATTTATGGTCCTTTTGATATCTTCAAGTTTGAATTTTCAAGAGTTAATCAGAAAACGATGTTTTTTGCAATCTCTTTTTTATGTTTTAGATGTGAATTAGATTTCTTCTCGATTTAGATTCAATTTCTTTTTACCTTTTGATCCAGTTTCTTTTATTTCGACCAATGAAAATGGGTAAGAACTTTGTATTCGGGTGTGTTCTAGTGTCTTTTCTTTTTGTTTTCCACGCAAAATCAGGTACCACAAATAATCATCGGACTGGGTTGAGTGATACATCTTATTAAAGCCCTCTCAGTCGTGATTCGAACCACATTACAAAAAATCCAAAAAAATTCTCAGTGTCGAGAAAAACCGATTAAATTTTTTTTTTAATTTTCGTCCTAATTCGAGCGAACACAGCAAACGGGCAGGCTTACAACAGGTGAATTATGCCTAATTTAAGACCTTCAAACTTGAACCAAAGACCTTCGGAACCAAAAACTTCAAAAGCTTCAAAATTTTCCGCAAAAAGTTTTGAAATTGTTTTTTTTAAAGTTTTTTTTAGTCTGTCCAATTTACCTATATTACTATGACTGTCAAATAGGCCTAAATTATATTTGAACGTCAGATACTTTTATCACATCAAGCAGAAAAAACTACACAACTTTCGAAAAAAAACTTTCTAAACCGTAGTTTTCAAAGACTGTGATCGGAACATTCTGTGCTACTTGCACAGTAACCGGCTATGCTTGTTTAAAATTGCGCTCATTTTAACATAAATTCCACCTATTGATCCAGCTGTGTTCTCAAATTGCGTTTGTTTAATCAAAAAGTGTCCAAACATTTTCATGAAACTCAAAGAGCTTCTTTGAAACTAAAAACTACAACCTTTTGACAAGATTAACATTCTTTTTCACGCTTTGGAAAAAATTCGAAGCAACCCACATAAGCAAGGAAACTTAAGAAATATTTCACACTATTTTATAGCTTGAATTGGCTGTCTAAACTTAGAACTTTTTCCTTCGCCAAATAAAAACAAGGCTTTTTTAAAACAAATCAGGTGCAATACAGCTTGAAAAATCAAGTTATCTTGGCGAACAAAATGATTGGCCAAAATTTAAAGTTTTTTTCAATCAAAAATTTCATGCGATGTAACTGAAAAAGCTCATTGCCTTTTTATATCTTCAGTTTGTTCATCTGAAGTATAATTCTCCAATCGATTAAATTTTAAACGTTTGATTTTTTTTCATAGCGTGTATCGCTTCATAAATAACTTGAAATCTCCAAATTATTTGAGTAACTTGAACTGGTTGTCTAAAAATTTTCATTTTTCAAATCAAACTATCAATCGATGAAACTTCGAGGTGTTTCGCAAGTTATTTTATAGCTTGAACCAGTTTGAGAAAAAAATATAGGTATTTCAGCTACACTAAAGAAACTACGAAATCTTTAAATAATTCAACTGCGATGGCCAGTTAGTTTTAAACAAGCAGTATTTTGGACCGAGCTATGAAGAAATGAAATTTTAAAAATTTCAATTTGTTTTAACGACTTGAATTGGTTCAAAAAGTTATACGCTAAAAGCCTTCGCTAAAAAGCTTTTGTGAAGGCTGGAATTGGTTCGCTAATAAATAATTTTTTGTGAAGCAAGCTATTCGAGCGATCAACCTTCTAAGCAGTTTTAATTTCCTTGGATGGCTTGAAAGGTTTGCAACAAGTTTCTCTCAACCCGAGCGACAAAATTTGAATGCATTTCAAGCTGGTTGGATGGCTTGAATTAGTTCCCTCATAAATTGTTTTGATGGCTCTATTTGAATTGCAAAAAGCTTATTTTTAGTATGCAATTTGAAACATTTTAACGACAAAACTTCAAACCATTTTCTGTTGTTTCGATGATTTCAATTGATTCGCCAAAAAAGTTTAAATTGTTTGATTATTTAAATTGGTTCGCAAACTATTTTTATTTTTTGACTCAAGCTTTTCGAGCAAAAAAATTTTAAACCTTGGTAGTTACGCTGATTTGAATAAATTCGCTACAAAATAAGTTGTTTTGATGGCTATATAAAAATCACAAAATTTTAGATGGCAAAGTTCTTATCAAACCATTCAGTGGGAAAACTTTGAAATACTTTGATTGGTTTTGCTAGCTTGAATAGTTTGCAGAACCATAATTTGCAAAAATGATCACCTTTGTTTTTTTAGCTTTTCTAGTTTTACAGCTAAATAAGTTAGTTTTTTCAAGCGAGGTTTTGAAGCGACGAACATTAGAAACTATTCAAATAAATGACTTGGTTGACTCAACGCAGTTTGAAATAATTCGACTGAATCTTTTGAAATACTTCCAGTTTTTAGATAGGATAGTCGGAATAACTTGTCATGAGGGAAGGGCTCATTCGCATTATTGTTCCGACTTTCGATATGAAAGTAACAGAATATTTGTGCTGGGGGTGGGTTTTTTTCTTCAGACAAGTTTCGACTTTTTAACTAGCAAATTTTGACGGAATTTTTAAATATCATTCAAAAGGTATTGTTGTCCTGATTTTAAAATTGAAAATATATTTCACCAGTGATCATTTTTCGTAAAGTTATGGGGGTTTAAAGATTGCCATTTTGGCCATGGGACAATTAACGCGCAATATATTTCGCGCTCTTAACGCGTAAGTGGAAATTTAATCCGTCTTAGAAATCGATCCAAATTGCTTGAAAGAAGCTTATTTGCCATAATTGATTTGTTACGAGGAGCGAGACTATCCTTTATGTACTTTATATGGCGTGTGGGGTGATAATTTTCATTTAAAAAATCCAATTTTAGAAAAAAATTTCATTTTATTTTATTTCATTTAATTTTTCTTATTGTTATTACTGCTCCGTAAACCTCAAAAGGCAGCCGGAACATTCAGGGCTTCGCCCTGATACGAACGAGCAATCTTATTGCTTTTACAGTCAAGTAACAAAAACCATAGCCAAAACCAACACTGTAAATTTTACAATGAGGGAGGTTTAGTTTGCAGGAGCATGGGATTATGATGGGAAAGAGTAGAGATTAGTTGTGAATAAAACAAGACTGCTCGTATATGAGGGCAAAGCCCTGAATGTTCCGACTGTCCCTTAATTTATATCGAATAGCTTTTGTGGAAAAAAAATATTGAAAACCTATACATTTTGGACAATATCTAAGCGTACAATCTCTGAGTCGTACGAAATTTATACGGCCAATTAGCTAGCCTCAACTCAATATGAAATGATTTTGTTGTGCGGGATAATTCGCCATGCATAAATAATTCGCGTTACGCTCTCAGCATTATGAATAAACTCTTTAAAGCGCGCATAATTTAGTCCAGAACATGAAAAATTTGGCAATTTTCAAGCCCCCAGAACATTACAAAAAATAAGTCGATATCTATAATGGGGAATAAAAATTTTTGGTTGAAAATTATTATTTCGATCGGTGAAAATTGACTGAATAAAAAACCACACCGAGCATAAATATTCCGTTTTCTTCGAAAGTCGGAACAATTAAAGAGCTATTTCAAATTCGGCAAGAGTTATTCAAACCTAGAAACTGCCTATTTTTCTCAAAATTTAAAAAGAACGCATCTGTCTATACGATTGTCTTTGACCTGACCGATGTTTTTAATTATTTTGAAATTCACTCAGAGTTTAAACAATGTCCCTTTTATCATTGTCTACCTTGAAAAAAGCTTCCATAGAGCATTTGGCGTTGCTTTTCAACAATACGTGGATAGATATTGTTTATCACGGTACAAGATACATACTTGCATAGATTAACACCTAACGATATCAAAAGGTACCCAAATTAAACTGGTATCAGAAAAGAATTTTTAATACATTCCAACTGTCAATCAAATATTTTGACAATGTCTTGAACATATAGGAGTTGTTCATGACCTTAACATTTCTTAATGTTGATTGCTCGAGCCATTCGTGAGTTTTCATTTGTAAACGTGCGCACTTTGTAACTTTTGATTGAAACATTAAAGTTGGAAACAAAACATGGCAACTAAAGTAATTGAAAACTCAATAGAAGAAGAATGATTCGACACATCATTTTCAGGAGTAATTGGGTTATGGAGTGAAACACATGTGGCTGTCAACAGGGCGAACAGATTGTTCAACATACGAAACAGCTAATGAATGACGGATGCGTTAACAGTTGAAAAATAGTTTTCAATTTCTACCTAGTGGGTTATTGGGTTAAGAATGGACAAAAAAGAAGAAAAATAATATGGTGCAATTCATTTTTCGAAACTCGCAGCCAAAATTTACCTCAAAATCAGGGTCGGTTCTAAGATTTTCTCGAGGGGGGAGCAAATTTTCTAAAAAACTTCGAAAATTTTTTCGACCGTTTTTTAGGTCAACCAAATTGATTTTCTGAGCTCTCCCAAAGCACTAAAAAGAACCTGTTTTGGTCCAAATTTCTACGCCGCAGGCATAATTTTGAAAAAAAACAGGCCAAAAAAGGCGTTTTTAGGCACTTTTTGGAAAATTTTGACCCAAAAATCGTGTTTTTTCCGCGTGTGCTTCTTATTAGTCATATTGGCGCCCTTAGAAAATTTTTAGGGTCTGTCACCATATATGGATATTTCAAAACAGTACAAAGAGGGGACCCTTTGGGTCGGCAGGGGGTTGAATCCATGAGAGGGTAATTTCCCCTTATTCCGCCCCTGCTCAAATGGTTAATTTTGGCCTTTTTAGTTAATCAAGAACTACGCTGAAAAACCGAGTTCTTTCATGAAAAAGTTATATAAAGAAAGCATCTTACCTAGCCAAACGAAATTCTACAAGGGTAAAATCTCCAAATATCTGAATAAGAGAATATACTTTTGGTTGATAGCCAAAAACAGTTTAACTGAATATAAATCAAAAAAAATTGCTTAAAAACAAATTCAAACGCTTTGCGTGAATTTTGGAAATTTAATTTTTCTAAAACTTTGCCGGGCTGTGTCAGATGCTTCTTGTCCTAATTTTTCCATCAATCAAATCGGTAATTTCACCGTAATTCTTGATTAAGTAAAAAAAAGGCGAAATGACACATTTTTGGGGGGAAAATTTGGCTGCCAATTTTAGATAAATAAATCGAACCATTTTAATTCTGATGAAAATCTGAGCAACTTTGGTTCTCTTAATTTTTTGTCTAATCTTAACCCAATTTGAGAAAAGCCTTTGAAATTTCAAACGTTCGCTTTGTCCGGATAATTGAAATCACCACTGTATAAACTGCAGAAATAAGTAGCGCCTACAAGTTTAATTGGTAGACGGCAGCATCACTATGGAAGTTTAAGAAGATAGATAAATTGCTAAGAACATCTTACAAAATCATGATGAATACCTTTGATAGTAAAAAACAGACAACAATGAACACACTCTAATAATAATAAAAGAGAGCCAACGGACAGTTCGGAAGGTGTAAAAAAACTGGAAAACACGACTGATTGTTTTTGAAACCCTTCAAAGAAAAAATTATATGGCCCTAAAGCGTTCAAGTATCTCCTATGATGGATACTTATTTAAACATAGTCAATCGAAGATTGGAAAAGAGTAATGAACGCAAGTAAACATAAAACATAGGTGCCCTTTAAACTCTTTGAACCTCTAGAACGATTTATGATTGGCGCTTTTTTGATAACATTAACCCAATTTGAGAAAACTGGATCAACAGGTAAAGTTTTTATTCCGCTGGAAATCTAAAAGTTAAATACCAAATTCGAAACTAGAAATCGTTCACGTTTTTTGCGCTATTTCCACGTTCGTATTTGGAGAAAGCTATTTACGTTATTTTCAGCAGATGAATTTCACTTGAACTCAAAAAGTGCATTCTACCTAGGTGCATCAATATTTTAAGACTTTTTCCTGTTAAAAAAAACAAACAAAATCAGCCAGACTATATAAGAGTCTTCACTACGTTAATTACTCTTCATATACCTAATCCAGTTTGACAAAAAAATATCAATAAGTATTTTTTTTATTTCGCTGGCTGAAAGTTCAGAAAAATTAAAATCCATTTTCGAAACATAAAGTCAACCACGTCTTTTGACGCCCTTTGCCGTTTTAATCGGACAGTCTAATTTGCCTTACTTTTACCAAAAAGTCTAAATTTATATTGAGCTCAAAATTCGAACAGTTATAAAATAAATTTGCGTTTGACTTTTTCCTGAAAAAAAACCTATCGACCAAAATAAATGTCTTCACTTCGTTCATGGACACTAAATAAGCCAGCCTTGTTTTTAATTATTAATCATCAATTTGATGGACTTGGAAGAAGATTCTATCCAGTTACCGTTGCCAGAAAAAAAAGAAAAACGTTTCTAGATAACGAACACTTGAGAGCGGGGTATTCTCATCATGGAGGGGCCAAATGATGGAAAACTTTTAACCAATCAGAATTGTGAGACGTTCCTATTGGCTACATGACTTCTGCACATAACCGAAGCCTTCATTTGTGCAATTCGTGCAGTTACACAAAAAAAGTTAAATTTTTAAATTGTTTTAAATCGGTTTTAGGTTTCTTCCAATACCCGACTTTGATTTCGCAAAATTTGAAAACTCATGTATCCACTTATTTCCTTGTCGGTCAATATTAATTTTTATGGCCTGTATTTAATCATTATTTTGAGATTATTGAATACTCAATTCTGATTGGCTGAAAAAGAAGTGAAAATAAGTTTCCAATATTCGGTCCCTCCATCATGAGGGACGCCACCCACAAAAACAACATTTGAAAAATTTCAAAGACTCAACGTTACATTTATATTAGGAAAACTGTTAGCATTTGGAACATCTATATTTCACTTTTTACAAGAAAAGCACTAAATTATATACACAAAATATGAATGTGGTGCAAAAAATGCTGCAAAAGAAACATATATTAACTAAAACACTGACGCAGCTTAGTTAGCCTGTTAACTTTAATCTTGGTACCTTATAAGTGTTTCTCTAATGTCCAATTTTTTAATACTTGGGCAATTTTTCCGATAAGTTCGGGACATGAATTAAACCAGGTTGAGAATCTCAAGCAGCCCGTGAACCCCGAATGGAGGAAATAATTTTCAATCTTAACACTGGGATTATAATTTTTACTAGTCAAACTTGATTCTAGAAAGTCTGTTAAAAATAGGCTGTCATCTCTCGTCGCAGAATTCATCAGACTAATTATCGTTATCTTTTCAACATCAACCAAAGCGTCCAAAAGATTCTCCGGCAACAACAAAGGATTAAGGTAAGGGTCAACTACGAAACGATTGAACGTTCTGATTGCTTTCGGATCGTAGTAGAAAGATTCTCGGAATTTCTTGTTTCTCAAAAACGTATACCTCGAAGTCCAGTACACTAAATAAGGCGGCGTGTTATTTCTCACGTCAGCAGATATATGTTGAGATTCCCTGAGCAGTTTATGCATCTGCGGCTCCGCTTCGCCTAACAAGTAGGTGAGCCAAAATTGAACATAGTCATCGTATCCGAAATATTGCACAGGTTCTACAAACTTCTGTTTGGGGGAGGAGGGAAAATCGAAATGATGGAAGTGAGATATGGGAGCTACAAATAAAATATTATCATACTGGATGTTTCTTTGCTGCGTGTTCAAATACTGCAGCATCGATATCAACAATGAGGCGCCTGTGTCGTCCGCAACTATGGTCAGAAACGACCGATCCTGACTAACCACCGAATCACTGAACTGTTCTAAGCTATCAGCACATGTTTGATGAATTCTCGGGTAAATTAAATCGGCCTCGTCGAATGAACCCGGAGGCGTGCAGCATAGAATTGAGATTGATATTGGCCCACGATGCTTTTCCAGAATCTGCTGGGATACTTGCACGTAGTCTCTCGAGTTGCAAGACGTGAATCCCCCTCCCGCTATCCACAGTACCCAATGCGTCTTCTAAATAGAAAACAAGCAAACTGACATTTTGTGTTTTGTGGTGCTTGGATTGAATTGCATGTGCTGGTTAAAACAACAAGAAAAAAAATGAGATTTTTCCAACTGTTATGATGGATTCGGAGCCTTCTCATCTATAAGATGTCAGAACGGCCGAAGTAAACAAAAGTCCAACACTTATCAAAACAAATGAGAATTGCTCATTTAAACGCAAACAAGACAGAAAAATTATCGAGCAAAGCGATTATGAATGTAAATCATAAATCAATCAACAAATTTTTTTTAAAGCACGTACCTAATGATGAAACTTTTCATTGTTTCGACCAATGAAAATGGGGAAGAACTTTGTATTCGGGTGGGTTTTTTTTTCTTTTTCCACACAAAAGCAGTTATCACTAAGAATAGTCGGAATGGTTGCACTTATATATCATATTAAAATCTTTCAGCCCTCAATCGAACGAAAATAAAAAAACCTCAAAACGTAGTCCCAGTGTCGAGACAACTGCTTCAAAATTAATTGCTTTCGTTAAAGTTTCCACATGGTTAAAAGTAAGCCGATTGAATCTGTATATATCGAAACGCATTTTTAACTATTTAACTCAAATTCTTCACAACCCGTAATTGAAAAAGACGGTTGGCAGGGTGTTGAAGCCAGTTCTGAGAAATAATTGGGGTTAAATTTTGATAACCGATTGGAACTTCAAAAGCACTTTGAAATTGTGTGCAAGGTAATTTCAAAATTAATCGAAACTTTACGCTCTTGTAGAAACTACTTAAACCAATTTCGGAGACTACCTTTATATACCTCAAACATTGAACCTGTATTAGAGTATGGTATAATTGTTTTAGGCTGTGTTTCTAAACATGTCTAAAAAAAATCCTGAAACCAATATTTCTACTGCCAAAACGAGCTCTGCATAATTTACTATAAAACCTTTCGTTTCCCTGTGGACTATTTGATTCCACAATCAAATTTTCACACCATTTTTAAGCTTCATGCAAAAAAAATGTCAGAAAATACAGCAGACTTTTGATCCCAGATCATTTATTAGAAACACTTTTGTCACTAGAAATCGAAAATCAAATATTCAACCTGCCGTATTCTGTAAAACTGAACTCGGAATGCCTGTAAAGCTCATAAAGTATTCAACAAAATTCACAGATTAGAACCTTAATAGTTAGAGAACTCCTCACCTTTTCTTGAAAACTTGAAATCAAAATTTTTTTGAACAACATACAAGGTCCGGGTATTACTTTTGTTTTCTTGTCCTCAATTAATGAGTCTCAAATCGAAGTTAAAATGTAACTGTCAAAATTTTCAAAAAACGGAACTGTAAATTTCCTAAGCATTCATTTGCTGGTCTGGTTTTTTTGAACTCTTTCAAATAACTTCTTTTTTCTTCAGCAATGTACATTTTCTTACACAGAGACGAAGCTTCGCTTCGCGAACACTTGCGAGAACACGACCAAAAAGCAGGTCTATCAAGTGAAATAAGAAAAAGTAGAATTAGGCCTCGAATTAGCACAAACTCGACTATTTGTCGCATTCGAATCTGCGACCTAGCATATGTGAGTCTCACGCACAAACCACTCATCAACGAATGCTAAAAATCCCCAAAAACTAGCCATCAATAAGGCAGCTACATATGCAAATAAATTGCCAATTCGATGCAGCAAACGTAGCATAAAATACAAAAAGACACAATTTTGCATGTAATAAAATGCGAGATACATTAAGTTGAAAAAATTTCGGAAATCGAGCTTTTTATCACTTTACTGCTGTTAGGAACTAATAACTTTTTTCGGTTCATTTAATGAATTAAAAATGCATCAACTGTGTTAACTTTTTACTAATCAAATGCCAAAACACATGACATTATCCTGCTACCGCGGCCTACCGATTCAAAAGTGCCACTAAAAGTAGCACTTTTATTTGCGACTTAGGTTGAAAAAAAAGAAGGTGCATGCTAATACACTTTGCTTCGCATGTGTAATTATTAAAATTCTATTTGACACAAAATAGAATCTAAGGATATACCTTAAAAAATAACAAGTCAAAACTAGCCTTCAATAGAAATTGAGTAGAAATCTAATTACCTTCTTAGAAAAAGATCCGTGCTCCATTGTGATTAGTTTCCCCTCATATTTTGTTCTGTACCCTACTGCCAGATTTGGAATGTAATGCAAATAACTGAAACTGGAACTCAATCCCTTTTTCAAACCATCTGGCACTAACCAATGCCACATTGGGTTTACTATGCTCATGGTGGCTGTAATGGGGTACATGATAAGAGGGAACTTCATGAGTGGAAACTTCGCATAGTAATAGTAGACTATGGACACGTTCAAGAGGAAAGTATAGAGCCATAACTTGTTGAATAAAACTCGTTTCGGTGAGATTCTCATATCACCAACTGAAACAAAAAAATTAACTATGACAATCATGATGTATGACATCACTAATTGCCATTCTGTTGAATTTATTCGAAACTGAATCATAGTAAACTTCACCACAGTATTCATTTAAACCTGAAGCAGTAGGAAAATGACCCAGGATGGTCCGACCACAGTGCCATTATAAGAAGAAAAAACAATCTCAACGCACAGAAGCGAAGCCCACTCTATCAAAACACAAGCACAACAGGCGGAAGCTTTTTAAAAAATTTTCAAACAGCCAATCGAAGATTGGAAAAGAGTAACTAACGCAAGTAAACATAAAAAAAACACTTTCTTGAAAAAATCTCAACTTTCGAATTTCAAAGGAAAAAATAGATGCCCTTTAAGCTCTTTCGAAACTAAAAATCGTTCACGTTTTTTCGCGCCATTTCCACGTTCGTATTTGGAGAGTGCTATTTACGTCACTTTCAGCAGACGAATTTCAATTGAACTCAAAAAGTGCATTTTACCTAAGTGCATCAAAATTTTAAGACTTTTTCCTGAAAAAAAAACTAACAAAAAATCAGCAATACCTATAGGAGTCTTCACTACGTTCATTACTCTTAAAAAATGGAAGGTATTCTGGGAACAAAATAAGTTTTTGAAAATTGAGAGCATTTACCGAATAGGGGATCCGCTCTACGGACCTCAACATGACGAGCCTCTCGTCTCTTTCTTTGATGACATTTGGTCTAGCTGCATAACAACCATATAGCGCAAATAAGGAGGCGATCAACCATCACGAGGGACTCATATTAAAAGGTACCTTTTTTCGGTTTTCCAAGCTTACTTTGGACCCAGACTTGTTTTTGTATTTCTTAAAGCATTTTTTTCCGTTTAGTGTTGGTGTTTTAAGAGTGAGCTTCGCCTGTTTAAAGTGTGAGCTTCGCCTCTCTCTGATACATTTATTTATTTTTCTTTAAAAAGCAGTTGTCGGACCATTCTGTACTTAATTCCTGCTACTGTTTTGAACTTCAGATTCAAAAGATTCACCCCTAATGGTCAGCCTATTTGATTTTCCGAATCGTCGAGATATTTTATTAGCGAGATTCGCGCGCGAGTAAAAATGTTGTCTCTCTGATTAGGTGACCGGACGCAAATGCCCAGAAAGGCTTTGCTTTATTGAAACTTCATTAAGTGTCAGAGCTTCACGAGTCCTATAATTAATGGCAGCGAAAATCAAGTTTTCTTAAATTAACAATTATGAACAGATAGAAAAAAAGCACGGCAAATCAAAGAATAGCTATTGGGATTTTTATGTTTCTATTTTTTCCAGAAGTTTGGATTGTGCTGAAGCTTCCTCTCGAAATTAGAGACCCAGTTAGCGAATGACGACATTGGTATAAAGGCTGCATTGTTGTCTGGTGTCATCTGCGATTGCGTCACTGCAAATGACATGACATAATTTTGAAGATTGTCCAGGGTCGCACGACAGAACTGCGAGAAAGAGTCTAGGGTGGAGATGGAGTACGTGTCAGATGCTGTCTTCTGGGAGATCTCCGACAGAGGCTCCACCGAAACACCAATCTGCACGAACAACCATCAATTCATCTATGTTATTCAATTCATCTATGTTATTCAATTCATCTATGTTATTCAATTCATCTATGTTATTCAATTCATCTATGTTAATCAATTCATCCATGTTATTCAATTCATCTATGTTATTAAATTCATCTATGTTATTTACAATACATTTAAAAAGTTTTCTTTTCTTTATTTTTAGTGAAAAAAAAAACTGAAAACAAGACTGCTCGTATGGGAACTTCCTGACCGCCTTTGAACTTCATTTGGATATTTGAAAAGGACAACTTCGAAGCAAGCAATTCGTGACAGCCACATTAAAAAATAGACAATTTGAGCGTCGTAATACAAAAAACAAAATTGATAAAAACTAAAAATTTCGAAATTTTGCTAGCTTTCCTGCCCACAGAGTCATAAATTCTTTCTTTTTATAATCAAATACTAAATGATAAAAACAGTCAAACTTAACTTTGCAAACAAAAAAAATGAATAAGATAACTTTGAAAAAACGCCGCCCTACACAGTTTGAGTTTTATGTCTTCGCAACAGTTCTATATCACCTTCTTGACATTCCAAGACCAGACACCATCACAGGTTCATTTATTTTCTACATTTCAACTCAAAGCGTGATATTTTTGTTGGGATTGCAAAAAAATTTGGTTGGAAACTCATAATTCGATCACTGAAATAGGTATGAAAAAAAACGATCACAAAAACTGCCGAGCACAAATATTCTGTTACTCTCTTCGAAAGTGGGATGAAAACTGTTCCACTTAGTTGAACAAAAACGAATTCCTATATAAACGAAACACAGAGACTAAGCGAATAGAAATTAAGACGGAAATAAGTTTGACGGTTGACTTTGACTCAGAAAAATGAGGCAGTTCTGAGAACAATTTTTTTTTGAAAATGCAAAAAATCATATTCAGAACAACAATCAAAAACCACAACTACCAGCAATAAATCAACTTTTAGTACCAGTTAACGAGCTGTTACTAATCCGATAATACTTGGGTAGACGCCATGGGGCGAAAGCAAAGAAATGCCATAAAAATTTGTTCTCAGATACATTTTGAGCACTTAAAATCTTAAACTTTTACACCACAACTGCTCTGAATTAAGAAAAAAACACTCATTTTGGCTGTTCCTATGACACAAAAATAAGTTGAATCAGCAAATAAAACATCAGCCGAAACCATTTAAATCGAAAAAAAATATCTTGATAAGAAAACTCAAAAAAGATTCTTCAAAAATCGAGTTAAAAATTGACAAAAAATAGGATTACAGTTAACTATAGTAAGAATTGATTAAACCACGTGAAAAAAGTATGGTTCCCGATTACACGGCACTTGCTCTCGCAATTCGCAAACGTAAACAGGAAAATGAAGCAATTTTAAGAACTCCATACTAGTTCTGCGTTACACCAAACAAGTTTTCCAAAATATTTGGCCGGGATCTGAATCACAACAGGCATAACTTCAATTTGTAAGCATAAACATCCAAAATCATGGTACTAAAATAACAGCATCTTTAGAAATTTTAGAAAGAGAGGTGGAGCAGGACAAACTTACCGACAGCAGGGCAAACTAAGCGACAAAAATAGCGATAAAAAGCTGTAGAAAAAATATCAAACAAATTGATCTACCAAAAATTTTCCTGAATTTGACTTGAAAAAAAATTTGTCCTAAAAATATCCCAGAGTAAAAAATTTGAATGCTGATTAAGCATCCAAACAAAACTTAAAAAGCGATAACTAAGCGGAAAAATCTTGACCAGACACGTTGCGCCGAAACAAAATATTTTTTTTTGAAAAAATTTAAAATTCAAAAAAATAGTCCCCCTGAAATCACTCAGATAAAAACTATTTGCTCCTTAAACCTCTCAAAGCGGCCTCTAAGTCGACAAAACATATGCCGAAACCGTTTAATCCAAATAAGGAGAAAAAAAAACAAAAAACGCAGTTGGTAAATACTGAAATCGCAGTTGGTAAATTTGCAGCCAATAAAAATCGAATAGAACCGGCATTTAAATATGTACGAGAAAAAAGTCTAGAACCCGATTACAAAACCCTGCCTTATCGCAAGGGTAATGACTTAAGCAATATAACATAAACCTAAGCCATTCCAGTCAAAGAAACATTTTAGAAAAAAAAAGAAAATATCAAATGGAATAGAAAAACTTTCAATTACAGTAAAAACATGGCCAAGAGACAGTCTACGTGTCAATGAACAAAAAAAACGACTAATGTTTTGTTTGAAAACCCTTCAACTTTCGAAATTAAAAAAACTATCTGTTATTAAATATCTTTGAACTGTCAAGCTCTTTGATCAGTTAACATTTGATTTTTGAATATATACACAGGCGAAGCTGAGCTTTGCACTACTAGCGATTCAAAAAGTGTTTTTGTCAAAAAACATTGCAATAAAAGCCCAAAATATCCGGAACAAAATTACCTGCACCATTCAAAACTTAACAGCGAGTTTCGGAATGCTAGTAAGAAGCTGAAATTTCCAAAAAATCTTTTCTGCAGAACTAAGCCGACAAAAAAAGCAGACAGACAATCTAAATTGGCCGAAAGTTTTTAGCTTGCAAAAATTGGGTTTCGACTTAAATCGATAGGTCATAAAACAAATTGGAAGAAAGCTGAACCTTCGAAAAATTCGGGCTAGGGAAAATAAGCCGTCAAAAACAGATGAATCCGAAAAGGCACAAAAACTCTAGTTTGCAAAAAAAAACAGAAATCTATAAATTCTGCACTTGATTGAAAATTTCCTTCTTCCCTTGTCTTATTTCCCCTCCGTACACACAGACACGCATACAACAACTTTTTTCAGTCCTCTCGGCCACGAACGCTTAACAACTGGCAAACACTAGTAACAAATAAAGCAGCTACAAATGCTAACAAATTGCCAATGCAATGCAGTAAAAGTGACACCAAATACAAAAGGAAACAATTTTGCAAGTAGTTTTTTGGAATATAACAAACTAAAGGCATCCACACTAATTTTGCAAAATAATTTGTAAAGCTAAAGCCACATTATGTAAAAATATTGCATTTTAAAAATTGCGAGATATATTGAGTGAGAAACTTTCCTGAAATCGAGTTTTTATGATTGTTATGTTGTTTGAAAAAAAGCTTTTTTCGGTTCATTTGATGAATTTAAAATGTATCAATTGTGTTAACTTTTTACTAATCAAATGCCAAAACACATGACATTATCCTGCTACCGCGGCCTACCGATTCAAAAGTGCCACTAAAAGTAGCACTTTTATTTGCGACTTAGGTTGAAAAAAAAGAAGGTGCATGCTAATACACTTTGCTTCGCATGTGTAATTATTAAAATTCTATTTGACACAAAATAGAATCTAAGGATATACCTTAAAAAATAACAAGTCAAAACTAGCCTTCAATAGAAATTGAGTAGAAATCTAATTACCTTCTTAGAAAAAGATCCGTGCTCCATTGTGATTAGTTTCCCCTCATATTTTGTTCTGTACCCTACTGCCAGATTTGGAATGTAATGCAAATAACTGAAACTGGAACTCAATCCCTTTTTCAAACCATCTGGCACTAACCAATGCCACATTGGGTTTACTATGCTCATGGTGGCTGTAATGGGGTACATGATAAGAGGGAACTTCATGAGTGGAAACTTCGCATAGTAATAGTAGACTATGGACACGTTCAAGAGGAAAGTATAGAGCCATAACTTGTTGAATAAAACTCGTTTCGGTGAGATTCTCATATCACCAACTGAAACAAAAAAATTAACTATGACAATCATGATGTATGACATCACTAATTGCCATTCTGTTGAATTTATTCGAAACTGAATCATAGTAAACTTCACCACAGTATTCATTTAAACCTGAAGCAGTAGGAAAATGACCCAGGATGGTCCGACCACAGTGCCATTATAAGAAGAAAAAACAATCTCAACGCACAGAAGCGAAGCCCACTCTATCAAAACACAAGCACAACAGGCGGAAGCTTTTTAAAAAATTTTCAAACAGCCAATCGAAGATTGGAAAAGAGTAACTAACGCAAGTAAACATAAAAAAAACACTTTCTTGAAAAAATCTCAACTTTCGAATTTCAAAGGAAAAAATAGATGCCCTTTAAGCTCTTTCGAAACTAAAAATCGTTCACGTTTTTCGCGCCATTTCCACGTTCGTATTTGGAGAGTGCTATTTACGTCACTTTCAGCAGACGAATTTCAATTGAACTCAAAAAGTGCATTTTACCTAAGTGCATCAAAATTTTAAGACTTTTTCCTGAAAAAAAAACTAACAAAAAATCAGCAATACCTATAGGAGTCTTCACTACGTTCATTACTCTTAAAAAATGGAAGGTATTCTGGGAACAAAATAAGTTTTTGAAAATTGAGAGCATTTACCGAATAGGGGATCCGCTCTACGGACCTCAACATGACGAGCCTCTCGTCTCTTTCTTTGATGAAATTTGGTCTAGCTGCATAACAACCATATAGCGCAAATAAGGAGGCGATCAACCATCACGAGGGACTCATATTAAAAGGTACCTTTTTTCGGTTTTCCAAGCTTACTTTGGACCCAGACTTGTTTTTGTATTTCTTAAAGCATTTTTTTCCGTTTAGTGTTGGTGTTTTAAGAGTGAGCTTCGCCTGTTTAAAGTGTGAGCTTCGCCTCTCTCTGATACATTTATTTATTTTTCTTTAAAAAGCAGTTGTCGGACCATTCTGTACTTAATTCCTGCTACTGTTTTGAACTTCAGATTCAAAAGATTCACCCCTAATGGTCAGCCTATTTGATTTTCCGAATCGTCGAGATATTTTATTAGCGAGATTCGCGCGCGAGTAAAAATGTTGTCTCTCTGATTAGGTGACCGGACGCAAATGCCCAGAAAGGCTTTGCTTTATTGAAACTTCATTAAGTGTCAGAGCTTCACGAGTCCTATAATTAATGGCAGCGAAAATCAAGTTTTCTTAAATTAACAATTATGAACAGATAGAAAAAAAGCACGGCAAATCAAAGAATAGCTATTGGGATTTTTATGTTTTTATTTTTTCCAGAAGTTTGGATTGTGCTGAAGCTTCCTCTCGAAATTAGAGACCCAGTTAGCGAATGACGACATTGGTATAAAGGCTGCATTGTTGTCTGGTGTCATCTGCGATTGCGTCACTGCAAATGACATGACATAATTTTGAAGATTGTCCAGGGTCGCACGACAGAACTGCGAGAAAGAGTCTAGGGTGGAGATGGAGTACGTGTCAGATGCTGTCTTCTGGGAGATCTCCGACAGAGGCTCCACCGAAACACCAATCTGCACGAACAACCATCAATTCATCTATGTTATTCAATTCATCTATGTTATTCAATTCATCTATGTTATTCAATTCATCTATGTTATTCAATTCATCTATGTTAATCAATTCATCCATGTTATTCAATTCATCTATGTTATTAAATTCATCTATGTTATTTACAATACATTTAAAAAGTTTTCTTTTCTTTATTTTTAGTGAAAAAAAAAACTGAAAACAAGACTGCTCGTATGGGAACTTCCTGACCGCCTTTGAACTTCATTTGGATATTTGAAAAGGACAACTTCGAAGCAAGCAATTCGTGACAGCCACATTAAAAAATAGACAATTTGAGCGTCGTAATACAAAAAACAAAATTGATAAAAACTAAAAATTTCGAAATTTTGCTAGCTTTCCTGCCCACAGAGTCATAAATTCTTTCTTTTTATAATCAAATACTAAATGATAAAAACAGTCAAACTTAACTTTGCAAACAAAAAAAATGAATAAGATAACTTTGAAAAAACGCCGCCCTACACAGTTTGAGTTTTATGTCTTCGCAACAGTTCTATATCACCTTCTTGACATTCCAAGACCAGACACCATCACAGGTTCATTTATTTTCTACATTTCAACTCAAAGCGTGATATTTTTGTTGGGATTGCAAAAAAATTTGGTTGGAAACTCATAATTCGATCACTGAAATAGGTATGAAAAAAAAAACGATCACAAAAACTGCCGAGCACAAATATTCTGTTACTCTCTTCGAAAGTGGGATGAAAACTGTTCCACTTAGTTGAACAAAAACGAATTCCTATATAAACGAAACACAGAGACTAAGCGAATAGAAATTAAGACGGAAATAAGTTTGACGGTTGACTTTGACTCAGAAAAATGAGGCAGTTCTGAGAACAATTTTTTTTTGAAAATGCAAAAAATCATATTCAGAACAACAATCAAAAACCACAACTACCAGCAATAAATCAACTTTTAGTACCAGTTAACGAGCTGTTACTAATCCGATAATACTTGGGTAGACGCCATGGGGCGAAAGCAAAGAAATGCCATAAAAATTTGTTCTCAGATACATTTTGAGCACTTAAAATCTTAAACTTTTACACCACAACTGCTCTGAATTAAGAAAAAAACACTCATTTTGGCTGTTCCTATGACACAAAAATAAGTTGAATCAGCAAATAAAACATCAGCCGAAACCATTTAAATCGAAAAAAAATATCTTGATAAGAAAACTCAAAAAAGATTCTTCAAAAACCGAGTTAAAAATTGACAAAAAATAGGATTACAGTTAACTATAGTAAGAATTGATTAAACCACGTGAAAAAAGTATGGTTCCCGATTACACGGCACTTGCTCTCGCAATTCGCAAACGTAAACAGGAAAATGAAGCAATTTTAAGAACTCCATACTAGTTCTGCGTTACACCAAACAAGTTTTCCAAAATATTTGGCCGGGATCTGAATCACAACAGGCATAACTTCAATTTGTAAGCATAAACATCCAAAATCATGGTACTAAAATAACAGCATCTTTAGAAATTTTAGAAAGAGAGGTGGAGCAGGACAAACTTACCGACAGCAGGGCAAACTAAGCGACAAAAATAGCGATAAAAAGCTGTAGAAAAAATATCAAACAAATTGATCTACCAAAAATTTTCCTGAATTTGACTTGAAAAAAAATTTGTCCTAAAAATATCCCAGAGTAAAAAATTTGAATGCTGATTAAGCATCCAAACAAAACTTAAAAAGCGATAACTAAGCGGAAAAATCTTGACCAGACACGTTGCGCCGAAACAAAATATTTTTTTTTTGAAAAAATTTAAAATTCAAAAAAATAGTCCCCCTGAAATCACTCAGATAAAAACTATTTGCTCCTTAAACCTCTCAAAGCGGCCTCTAAGTCGACAAAACATATGCCGAAACCGTTTAATCCAAATAAGGAGAAAAAAAAAACAAAAAACGCAGTTGGTAAATACTGAAATCGCAGTTGGTAAATTTGCAGCCAATAAAAATCGAATAGAACCGGCATTTAAATATGTACGAGAAAAAAGTCTAGAACCCGATTACAAAACCCTGCCTTATCGCAAGGGTAATGACTTAAGCAATATAACATAAACCTAAGCCATTCCAGTCAAAGAAACATTTTAGAAAAAAAAAGAAAATATCAAATGGAATAGAAAAACTTTCAATTACAGTAAAAACATGGCCAAGAGACAGTCTACGTTTCAATGAACAAAAAAAACGACTAATGTTTTGTTTGAAAACCCTTCAACTTTCGAAATTAAAAAAAACTATCTGTTATTAAATATCTTTGAACTGTCAAGCTCTTTGATCAGTTAACATTTGATTTTTGAATATATACACAGGCGAAGCTGAGCTTTGCACTACTAGCGATTCAAAAAGTGTTTTTGTCAAAAAACATTGCAATAAAAGCCCAAAATATCCGGAACAAAATTACCTGCACCATTCAAAACTTAACAGCGAGTTTCGGAATGCTAGTAAGAAGCTGAAATAAGCCGACAAAAAAAGCAGACAGACAATCTAAATTGGCCGAAAGTTTTTAGCTTGCAAAAATTAGGTTTCGACTTAAATCGATAGGTCATAAAACAAATTGGAAGAAAGCTGAACCTTCGAAAAATTCGGGCTAGGGAAAATAAGCCGTCAAAAACAGATGAATCCGAAAAGGCACAAAAACTCTAGTTTGCAAAAAAAAACAGAAATCTATAAATTCTGCACTTGATTGAAAATTTCCTTCTTCCCTTGTCTTATTTCCCCTCAGTACACACAGACACGCATACAACAACTTTTTTCAGTCCTCTCGGCCACGAACGCTTAACAACTGGCAAACACTAGTAACAAATAAAGCAGCTACAAATGCTAACAAATTGCCAATGCAATGCAGTAAAAGTGACACCAAATACAAAAGGAAACAATTTTGCAAGTAGTTTTTTGGAATATAACAAACTAAAGGCATCCACACTAATTTTGCAAAATAATTTGTAAAGCTAAAGCCACATTATGTAAAAATATTGCATTTTAAAAATTGCGAGATATATTGAGTGAGAAACTTTCCTGAAATCGAGTTTTTATGATTGTTATGTTGTTTGAAAAAAAGCTTTTTTCGGTTCATTTGATGAATTTAAAATGTATCAATTGTGATAACTTATAACTATTCGAATGTAAAAGTACATGATATCAAAAAGCCGTAAAGGTGCCCCAAAAGTGGCACAAATATTTGCGACCTACGTTAGAAAAATAATAATAGTCGTAGTATAACACTAACGCTTACTATAGTTTGCTAGTGTAAATACTTAATTTATCATATCAGAAGAAATTAACAAAGTCTGCAAAAAAACCAGCCAAATTTTTCAACAAAAATTTTTGTCTGTGGCCGCTATCGAGCCAGGACCTTTGTCTTCCGAAGTAAAGACGAAACGTGCAAACTGAGTAGCTAGATTTTTATATACTAAATAAAAAATCTGCTATATCTAACAGACCAGTCATTCAATCACATTATAAGGGACAGTAAATCTAGAACCCTTCTTGGGTTGCAACTCTAACAGACGACGCTAACTAGCCGGAAGAAACAGACGAAAGCCATTTTGGAGCCGAAAAACAAAATGTTAAGAATGCATGAAAACAGCGTCAACCGAAACTCGCATACGTTTGTCTTGAAATTCAATTTGAAAACCTAGCAAGAAACGCCAATGCCAGCTATATAAGAATAAAGAATATAAATTTATCAAAAATGTAACTAGGCAAACAGAACTTAAGTAAACGGCCGTTGAGCCGGGAAACAATTTTGAACTACTATAATTTTGAATTTTTTGCACCATTTGAAATGTTCAATATAATACTCTAACGGCGTAAGCTGAACTTTCATCAAAAGTTGAAGCTGTGGGAACAAGACGAATAAACATCTCAGAAACAAGCAAGTCCGGAAAAAACAACGGTTATTAAAGCTGAAAATTTCCAGTGCGCAAACAGTACAGGTCCAGCTCGGCCTGGACCAGGGGTATGTTTCCCAAGCGTCGGCGTCATAATGTTTTCCAGTGTCCAAACATATATTTTTCATGAATTTAAAATAAACCAAGGTTGCAAAAGATTCACTGATTCTGTTTAACAAGTTAACCAGAAAACAAGTTGGTTACGACTCGATAACACTTTCTAATCGCTAAGTTAAGGCTGGCACAAAAATTTAAAGTGAGAAAAATCACGTTCGTCAATCCCATGTATCCCCAAAAAAAACTGTCGTCAAAATTGAAAAACAAAACATTTCTCCGAGAAACTTCGATTTTTGGAAAAAGTTCAGTCAGTTGAAAAGCTTCACTGTGGCATCAACCGATAATATATGATTCAAAACTAACTTGAATCAGAACGTTAAGTTGTTGGATACTCAAAGTAAAAATGAAGAAGAAAAAATTAACCAGAATTCTTTCAGCGAGAAAAATTCGAAAGAAAACATGTATTTGAAAGAACTTTCCAGTTTTAAGATTATTTTGGTGTGTACCAAAAGCAAGAACCTACAAAATCATATTTAAGTTTCACAAACTGTTTTAGAAAAATTTCAAAGTTCGTTGAAATAAATCATGTCAAGTAAAGCTTGAATGAAATCCAAACTGCCGACAAAAAAATCAGCAATTTCAGCTCTAGATACAGTAACACTGCTTGAGAAAAATTTAGATGCCAAAAACCATGACTCCTAAGATTCAAGATGGCGTCAATTGGAGCCAGAGCTCGGAAAATGAACTGAAACGTGAGCTTAAAAGGTGGAAGGGTCAGAGCAAGAAAATGAAGGTGAACAAGTTTGACGAAAAACAAACCTATACTTGAGAAAAATAAAAAATCGAAATATTTTCCTCGTTTAACTTTCCAAATTATGTCATCCACTTATTTGAGGCGACATTCGTAGAAAATCTTTGTAAACCTGCAGGTGGGCTGTATGAGTGGGTTGTCGTTGACTGCTGAATTGCCCGAACAAGCCCACTCCATTCTGTGGTTGATGCGAGTTCTCAGCGGCAGTAGGCAACACCACTTTGAAAATGGCACTCGGCTTATTGTTGTCCACGTGGCCTACAAATGCTCTATCAGTAAACAAAGCCAACAGAAAGTTGGAACAGAGTTGACGAACGCAAGTTAACAGAAAAAAAAAGAACTGAATTGTTTTTTGAAAAATTTTCAGCTTCAAAGTGAAATGAACAAAGATAGATGTCCTTAAATCTCTAAAGCTCTTCTAGAACAATTTATGATTGACACTTTTTTGATAAAACCGACCCAATTTGAGAAAACTGGATCAATAGGTAAAATTTTAGGAAATGAACTGAATTTAAAAAGAACTGAAGTCAAAGCGCGAAAAAGTAAATTTGAGCCTGAACAAAAATAAAGATTGCCCGAACAAGCCCACTCCATTCTGTGGTTGAGGTGAGTTCAAAAATCCTCCAAAAAAACTTAAAAAAATCGCGACCTACATAAGAGTCTGAACTACGTTCGACTCTGAATATACGAACCTTTATCTCATTGTTTGCGCTATCCTACTTATTCTAGCCAATTGAAGTGAACCTTTTCGGCTGCCAAGGTACGTTTGAAGAAAATAAAATAAATTATCAAAAAAAATAAACACCTAAGTAAACCCACTGCATTTCAGTGCTTCCCTCGGCCGAGTATCCCAAATGGACAGCTGCTCCTAGCTCCACTCCTGGATTGGGCAAGGGACTCGTCAGGAACAGGACCACGTGACGCACCTCGTTGGGGGGATATGGAATGGTGATAAGACCTTGCGTCTCTGATACCGGAATAGGGTCACTCAGCACAGGTTTTCCAGCAACAATGCAGCCGAACATCTCGTTCAGATCCAAACTGATTCACACAAAGATACTGGACATTAAATCACTCTTATCATACTTGTATTAGCTGTTATTAACAATAGAACAATCAAATCTAGAAAACAACCTCAATATTGCCATTCTGCATATAGAACAAAATAACTGTCATTCTGCATATTTAAATGCGGTTGCAGCCAATGACCGAATATGCAATGAAATCTAACAAAATGTTGAGGAGAAATGCCCATGGCAACCGTACGTAGCCTCGGGTGAAAAAAAAGCGAATAGGTATCATCTAATGGTCCCTACCAAAATAACCTTTCTTTCAGAAAAACAATAGTCATTGCAGCAGGAATAAAAAAAACAGTGTATTATAGCTGTTGGGGAAAATATTTTTCTTGTATTCGATCCCCCCGACAACAAGAATTCGATCACTTCTTCGTCCCCTTTGATTCTATTTTGGACACCGATTATCGGCCAACCAACTACAAACACATATTAAAGCACCTATTTTGATTGACTTTGAAAGTCGATTGCGTGCCGAAAAAATGTACTTTTTTGATCAAAACATTCCAAAAGAGACCAAAAACGGCCTGCTTTTAAAAAAAAAATATAGCAGCGCAGAAAAATTTTGGCAAAAAATAAGGTGTTTTACAGCGTTTGGAAAATCAATTTGGCCTACTTAAAAAAGTTTATTTATTTTATTTTATTTAATTTGAGAAACTCTCAGATCCTCTGCTGGGGTGGCATATCACACCAGAGCCTGCTGTCGTGATATGGGAGCATGGTCTCATTTAACACACTGTGTCTCAATTAACAACCTCTTAATATTTATGGTTAAGCTGTAAGTTTATTGTTTACTTACCTAGGGTACGAGGGAGAAAGGCGTAAAAGTGCAAGGGTAGAACATAGACAACAGAGAATTGGAAACGATTAAGGAACGCAAGAAAACTGGAAAAAAATGTCTTAATTTTTAAAAACCTTCAACTTCTGATTTTCAAAAAAAGATGGCTTTCAGCTCTTTGAATTTGTCGAACAATGTATAATGGACACTTTTTGTAAAAATTAACCCAATTTGAGAAAACTGGATCAAAAGGTAAAATTTATATTTCCCTGGAAAATCTAATAATTAAATTCCATTTTCGAAATCAGAAGTCGATCACGTTTTTCGTGACCTTTGGACTTTTGATGTTCGATAGTGGAGTTTGCTTCCCTTTTAACAAAAGAAATGAACTGAAATTGAAGAGAAATGACGTGTGAAACTGAAAAATCACACGTCAAACCGCGAAAAATCAAAACTGAGCGTGAACAAAAAACAAACAAAACATCACAAAGACCTATATAAGAATTTGCACTACGTTCATTACCCTTAAAAACACACGCTTTATATATCAATCAAACGAAATTGGTGTTGGTAGTTCATATCTTCATGCTGATCAGTGTAAAAAATAGAATATACGCCAAAAAATATAAATTAAATTTTTGGTTGAAAAAAATCTCTTAAAATGGATACTAGCACACCAATGGACTATCGTGAAAACAGCAGCAGGGCAAAAAATAAATGCGATGAATCTATCACGGAGAAAAAATTATATTTGATTTTCAAATTGTGTTTTAAAATTGAATTTTAATAAATTGATGTAATGATCCATAAATTTCCGCCCTAGTTTGGGTATACGTTTCTTGATTGAGTTAATCTTTGATCGTCTGCAAAACTTATTAAACTTCAAACCACTTTGAGTTCAACAAGTCTTTTCTCGCACTAGCCTCTATTTTCGCTGGGTCAACCATCATACTGAGCCGCCAATCATACTGTTAACATCAAAGGACCCACCTTAGAGCATAAATTTAAACCCGACATTAAACAGCCACTTATCAAAAGCCAGGAGAGCATCTCTAAGCATGACCATGTCAGAGTAATACAACTTCACACACCAGACGAACAGAAGTTTCTTGACGAAAAATCTAGTGGGCAGAACTATTATCAGCAAACAAAATAAACTTGACTAGAAACTCAGATGTACACTCTCACAACTTTATCCGGGTACTCGACCTATTTAAATAGTTACCATCATAGACTGAACCACGATGAGCCCGACGTGTGCCTAAGTTGTTACATGAGACCATCAAACATAAAATCAATTGCAGCGAGCACGACTTCCCTTACTGTCGAGAGCTTATGTGAGAAACCGAAAGAATCTGCCAACCATCTGCAATTTAACAAATTACATAACGGACATGGAATTTCGCTCAAACCTGCGCACATCAAAAAATATTTTTTAATCGTCGCGGATTCCATCAATTAACTTTGAACCGATCGGAGCTTCCTATCAAGTGTTTCTAAATTTCTATTCCATACTAGCAATAAATAGCAAGTTTTATACTAGTTGCCGAAAAGTTGAAGCTACTAACCCAAACTTGGCTCGCGTAGTACAACTGTGAATCTCCCCGCGCGAAAGTTTCCCGGAAGAAAGAATCATAAAAAGTAGAGAACGGAGCAGATAAAAAGTAGAAAGAAAACGTTGCTCACTTATTCACTGTATACTTATTTAGTTCAGGGAAACAACGTGATGAAGAGGCGTTACAATTCAGAACAACAGAGGCAGCAGAGCAACAAATGATTGATAAGACATACAATGAAATTCAAACATTAAACGCAAAACTAAAAACCGAGAAACTGAAAACTATATAAGCTTTTGTTCTCTACAAATCACGAGGGATGAAGTAGAAAGAAAACATTGATATTTGTTTTCCTCTGTATAGTCGAAAATGCCTATTCTCAGCGGACACCTAAAAAAAAATTATGAAATATCTGGACAAAAACAATATCTTAGTCATCAAATGGTGATTAAATTGTTTCCATTGGTCAACTGATCCAAAATTAGCAGGGACTTCAATGCAACATGTGATTTAACAAGAATCAAAACTATTTTGACTCCATGTATCTTTTCCAGAAACTGTTTAAAAACGAGTTTGTTGAACTTCGTAACAAGAAATACAAAAATTACAGTCAGGCCGTTTGAATATCAGACCAAGAAGGCGATTGGTGAAGTCATTATAGAACCTTCGAGGGAACGAGTTAGACTCACAAGCGAAGCTGCGCTTCGCGTACACAAGCAGAAAATGGCAAAAATGACTAAAAAGAAAAAAAGAGAAAAAGCAACAAGAAGTCTGAAACAAAAAACCTTCTATAAGCCGGATTCAAAGCTCAGACTTAGATATTAAGGGAAATCCCAACTACCGTTCTCTACAATGAATTGTTATCTCAGATTTAGCTAAGTAATTTTCCAGAAAAAGGAAAAAGTTTCCAGAAAACGGTCAAAAATCCTAAGTTTTGACTTTTCGTAAATTCATAACGCTTTCTCAGCTAAAAATGGTGATTGTACGTTATATAGGGCAGATCCACAAAATCTGTTCTCTCGATTGAAGCATTAAGGTCCATCAAATTTAGCAAGGTTTTTTTTTCAAAATGATCAAAGGATGGACTTTTGCTTATTTTATACGGACTTCTCTTCCACTATTAAGGAGGATCTGCTTATGCAGGTAAAAACTCACAACCTGTTTAGATTTGGAAAAGTAGATCTCGAGAAAAGTGAAAAAATTCTTAAAAAACGGTAAAAAAAAAATCAAAAATTGAACTTTTTCTAAAGCCATACTGGCCTTTCTACACTGAAAAGCTTAAAACCATTTGTGCAGGAATGATCTTCACGTACAATTCTTTCAGCTGAACTCTTAATTGCAGATTTTTCGAGAAAGGAGAAAAAGTTTCGATAACTGTCAAAATTTGAAGAAATAGCTTTTTTAAAACCATTACATCTTTTTACAAAAAAGGGTAAAACCGTTTAAACAAGGAAAATTTCTAATATCTGTTCTATTGATTGAAACCTTAAGCTCAGACTTTATAGTAGTTTTTGAGAAAAAAAAATCCAAAAAATTTACACGCCATCACTTTTGTCTATCAAAAATAGGGCGACGCATTTAACGCTCGGGAGATCCCCATGAGCTGCTCTATCAATTGCACCTTAGTTTTCACATTTGACAGGGCAATTTTTCAGGAAAAAAAAAACAAAAAATCAAAAGTTCCCCAAACTGAAAGTTTCGAACACCGTAGAACGTGGAGCAAAGAAAAAAGAAACTAGCATAAGTCATATGCATACATACAGCGACCAGTGACGTAGCCGGTCCAGCCATTTCTTAAAATCGGTGAACTAATTATCGCGAAAGACTTATGTTTCTGATTTTAGAAAACCAATCCCCATACATTTTCATAAGACTCGTTATTATCATACAGATTTTTGCCACTAACTAAGCGAAAATGAAAAATGCTATCAAAACGCTATTAAAAACTAGCAAAAAGCTATACAGCAACAGCGTAAATGAAAACTTTAAATGAACAATTTCATTTCCAACTAAGGCTGGAAAAAGTGGATGTTGTAGTATGATACTACGTTCAGCTGGTGTAATGAGCGACGAGAAAAAGTCAACAAATTGAACGTTTTTGGATTTTTCATAGCCTATGACTCAGCAAATTGCTCTAATTGGCTTGCAAAATTCCTTGTATGAGATACGAGATACAGTTCACTTTGTGTAACGTCTTACATTAGGGAGAGAAAACAATTTGTCAAGTAAGAAAAAAGCTCAAGCAGGAGACCAGTCCTGTTTCTGCGTTAAATGAATGGTCTCCTCAAAGAAGTACATAACTATCAAACACGTAATAAATAACTATCACGTACTACACAACTGTAAAACTCGATGAGATTAGTATTATGAGGGCTTATTACGCTTCTTTTGAAGGTACTTGTATATGAAGTTTTAAACTACTTGATCAAACTACTAGTTAAAACCTTGTTCAACATTTTGTTAAAATTTACAGCAAAAAATCATAAAAATGGAAGAGTACTAGTTGAAACTTTGTTTAACAGTTTGTTAAAATTTACAGCAAATAATCATAAAAACGCAATATCTCGGAAACTAGAACCATTTGAACAGTTACATTTAGGAGCCAGATTTACCATTCCTGGGAGTACCCAAACAGCACCCCTCATACAGTTGATAACCTCGATTTTATTGAAAGTTATTTAATCTAAGTTTTCTTGAAGCTTCTTTCAAATCACAAAATTTCTTATACCTCAAAAACTAATCAAACACTCAAAAGCGGAGGTCAGATTTAAAACCCCTGACAGCACCCCACCAAACGTCCATTTCAAGTTTGAAATATAATTTTTTAAATAAGTTTTTTTTTCTATTTTCACTGTTTAAAGTGTTTACTACAGTTTAAAGTTTAATTAACGACATACAATTTTTCTTTGCGAATTTGAAGTACGTCTTTGCATACCTACGAGCAATTGCATACCCGTTTTCATGGTCATCTGTGTTTTTCATACGTTTATTAGATCGTAATTTTTTAACACTTTTTTCGCTACGTCAAAGAAATTACGCTCTAATAAACATATGAAAAAAAAAACACAGATGACCATGAAAACAGGTATTCAATTGCTCATAGGGATGCAAACACGTATTCAAAGTCGCATAGAAAAATTTCACGTTGTTAGTTAAACTTTAAACTGTAGTAAACACTTTAAACGTTGCAACATATTAGCATATTAATATGTCAACAAAGAGACTTCTTATATATGTGCCAAGTCAAACGCTAACTGAGCAAAGTAATTAATCGTAAAGTAAATTAAAATTTTCAGTTCTTACACAAAAAAAATTCTTTCATAAAACCTACTCGCTCGTTTGACTCACTCGAGAGTTAAACTCAAAAACTTCAAGCCAGTTTTTCTCAATCACTGCTGAAAAGTTTGGCGAATGCATCGATCAAACACTAATTGTTAAAATGCGTGTACTTGAATTAAATGATAATTTAATTGTCTATCATTCAATCTTCGAAGCATGGTAAGCAATGACGTAGTAATATCTTTGAACAATTTCTGATTCATGACAAAATTTGTGAAAAATCTGAGTTATTTAGAATGATAATTAGCTGGATAATTCTTCCTTAAAACCAAACATATGAAGCATAAACGTCCAAAAAGCTAATTGACAGAGATAAGGGAGCTTCGCACTGACTTCGATGCAAATGAATTACTATGCAGAAAAACCGCTACCAGGAAAACTTAAAAACTCAAAGGAACAAAAAAAAACTTAAAAATGTTTAAAAAAAGGATAAAATAAAACCAGTTTGAGAAAACTGGGTCAAAAAGTAAAATTTTTATTTCACTGGGAAATCTGAAACACGGATTCAAAAATCGGAACTAGAAGTCAATAACATTTTCGCGATCTTTAAACATTTGCTGTTCTACAGTGGAAAATATTTTTACAAAGAGGCGAAGTTGCACTTCGCATAAACAAGCAAAAATATGACCGATACCGCTACTGGGAAAAAACAATTCAATTGTTGGTCTAGAATATCAAATTTTGGTTTTGTTTTTGTAGATCGGTATGCCAAAACAATCCTGAATGAAAAATTGATCATAAATTATATATATTTGGGCTAGATATTCGGTTGATTCTTTCTCAGTCTAAAAAACACGCTACAAAACTTTCGGTGTTTCTTATCTGACAAATTTATATGCTCTGTAAATTCCAAAAATTCGTGCAGGATCAATCCAAATTAACAAAATTTTTTCTTGCACTCAAGTTAAAAACTGTCAGCTATCAGCCTTAGCTGTTTGTTCTAGATTTTTTTTCTGATAGAAATTTTTCAATTTAGTTTGAATCAAAATTATTACATAATTGCAACTATGTTTTGTATTTAGTTTTATCCACGGGGCTGGCAGTGAGTATAATATTTTGCTTCAACATGTTTTTCTTTGCTGCTGCTTTTTAAACTTGATTATCGACTCATAATTTTCGACCACTCGACTGATTGATTTTTTTTTCGGTACAAAATGATTTCAGTTTTGGTCAAGATCAATTTGAATCTTCAAATAATATGAATCTTCAATCTCTCATTATCAAAATTATCAAACTCGTTGGTCAATGTATTTATAAAACTTTAAATTATTTCTTTATTAGCTTGAGTTTTTTCAAGTTTCAGCCAGCTTCTCGTTAATTTCTCGTAGCTAACTCATTGCTGTTGTTATTATTAATGCTCGACATTCTCACTGCATAGTGATCAGTAATTGAACGTTTTAATTTTTTTTCAAGCACGTTTCAGTTAAACATATAGCTTAAGGTTTGTAACCAAAACTTTAAAACAGAGGGGAAGCTGCGCTTCGCAAACACTTGCGAGAACACGACCAAAAAGCAGCTTTACCAAGTGAAATGATGAAAAGTAGAAATAAGCCTCGAATCAGCACAAACTCGGCTACGTGTCGGATTCGAATCGGCAATCTAGCAAATTTGAGTCTCACGCACTAACAACTCAGCCACGGATAATTAAAATCCCTAAACACTAGCCACCAATAATGCAGCTATATATGCTAATAAACAGCCAATTCGATGCAGCAAAAGTAGCACCAAATACAAAAAGACACAATTTTGCATCTAATAAATTGGAAAGCATAACGCCAAATTATGTATAAAAACGCATTTCAAAAAATTGTGAGATACATTGAACTGGAAAACTTCTGAAATCCAGCTTTTTATCATTATACTGCTAATTTGAAATAATTGACTTTCATCGGTTCATTTGATGAATTAAAAATGCATCAGCTGTGTAAACTTTTTACTGATCAAATGTCAGAGCACATATGATATTATACTGCTACCGCAAACTACCGATTCAAAAGTGGCACCAAAACTAGTATTTTATTTACGAATTAATTTGGAAAAAAAAAGAAAATTCGTACTAATACACTTTCCCTCGCAGGTGTAATAAAGAACATTTTTTCATACATAATTTTGTATACTTCTATACGTTTTTTTAATAGCAAAACAGAACGGAATTGAAAAGAAAAGCAAAAATTAGGCAAACATTGCTAAAACTAAATTGCAAAAAAAAACTTCAAAAGGTTCAATCTTTATTCAGTTTATCATTAACTCCCCCTGCGTTAAATTAGTCTAACAGCATTCAAACCACTTTATCTTAGCACTGGCTGAATTGTTTAGAAACCATTTTTTTGAACTCAATTCACGACTGATATGGATTTTAAATACACATAACATCCCGAAAACGCTACTCAATGTAAACTTCAAAAAGTGGTTTACAATCAAGTTGCAACTAGCTGCAATAGGAGGTTTCTGTGCATAAACCACTGCGAAAATTATTAGAAATCACAAAAAAAACATCTAAGCGTGCATTCTGAAAATTTCTGTCTAATTTCTGAAGCAGTGAAAAATAATTGAATTTGAAAAATGAAAGAATTGAGTAAACATAGGCGACACTATTCTTGGTAACATACGAGCAAGCTTAGAAGTGCCTGAAATTGTGTTTATACTTGAATTGTTTAAATTAAAACTTTGTTGAAAGCGTTAAAAAAAGTCATAACGGCCTTTAGCAGTCGGAGCAATTGATACTGAATTGCACTATGACGGCATATTTACATTATAACATTGAAACTTTTTACATTCTTATATTTCGAATCATTTTCGAAGAATTGATTTTCCCAATTTTTAAAGCACAGATCCTACCAGTGTCAAGGCTGACAAAAATCACTTTTTCGGTATCAAAAATGAAGATGAGAGCTTAAATGTGCTTCTTCGGAGGTGAATTTTAAATTCAATGTAATCATTGTTGGAAAACTAACTACGGTGGCAAATACCTTAATACCTTATATAAGGTTAATATTAGATCTCCAACTCAGCTGAGTATACTTAAAAAGAAAAAACGCGAAATCATTGAATTGTTGCTATATAAAACAAGGTTCTTAAAACAAAACAATTTTAAAATTCAAGTAAACTACTGTTTAAAATGCCAAATCAAATCAAAAGACAAACGAACAGTTCAAACAAGAGACACTTTGTTGATAGAATATTCTGCTCTTCAGCTTTTGCTCTGCGACAATTTTTGTTGTTTTGCCTGGATGAACTTTTTCAGATATGCCTCAGTTACTTTCACATTCTAAAACAAAAGGGGTTTTCAGTTTATTAAGCTTTAGCTGATTTAGATAAAATTGACTTTTATCTAAAAAAAGATCCACTCTTATTTGCAATTAATTTCCATTTTTATCAGCTTGCCAAATTTGCAAAAACTATCTGATAGATATAAAAATTATTTTGATAGATATTAAAACTACCTCAATAAAAGGATGTTTCAGTGCATCCTCAGCTGTGATGCGTGTGAAGGGATTCACGTCTAACAGTTCAATAAGAAGATGGTACAACGAGTCCGGATAGCCCAGATCTGTTGGAGCCGCTTGCGATTCGCTGTCAGGGTCCAACGAGTCCTGCTCTGATCCGACACAGGGTTCCACGACAAAACAACCACTCTCTAAATCTGAAGCAGACCCACTGCTCTCTGAAATAAACGCGCTATTCGGAGGGCAATCTATACCCGAACTGGACGGCTCCGTACTGTCTCTTTTTACATCTTGGCGGTGGTTGCCCCTAACAAAAGTCTGACCTGTAAAGGTCAACAAAGGGCTTTTGTGACTCAACTCTTTGTCCGAGTGGAAACATTGTGCCGCACTGCAGAACTTCTTAACTTTACCACTACAACCCGCAACTTCTACTTCCTGCTGGTAACCGCGTAACGCATTGCAAAGCGACCGCAACTTCAAACGCACAGCTCCACAGTTGGAAATGAAATTGCGACCCATCACATTAGAGCAGTCCTGCATTAGTTTTACTCCGAAGAGAGTCGTGATTTCGGACAACGCAACATCATCGCTGACCCTTCCATGGAAGAAGGGGAATTTCCCAGTTATGATACTCAACAAGATAACTCCAACACACCAAATGTCGATTGCAGTAGTTTGAATGGGAGTTCTCATTAGCACCTCTGGAGGTCTGAACCCCGCAGTGCCCGCTCGTCTGTTTTGTTTTAAGACAGGTTTCAAGCTAAGGTTTCCGTGGCAAATATTGCATGTTTGATGCTTTCCGAGACAGTTGCATTTATCAATTGGGTTCTTCGAACTCCTACCCGCTTTAGAGACACTTTTAGGGGATCTTTTGCTGGTCGAGGGCGTGAGATCAATCTGTTTACTTGTTCTCGGATTGAGAAAAGCTCGCCTTTGAGTCATCACAGGAGTAAGAGAGTCCCTCGGCGACTTAGAATCAGAAACGTTTTCTTTGGTTAACTTTGGGAATTTTGAGGGCCTTTTGAAAGGAATTTCGTCCTCTGCCAGGCCAAAATCGATCAATAGGTACTTTCTTTTGGTCATTCCCGGTTGCAGTTTGCTGATCAAAAAGTTCGCCGGTTTCAGATCACGGTGAATTAGCTTTTGCTTGTGCATTGCGTCCAGTGCCTGCAAGAGATTCAAAAGATAGTCTCTAATTTCACTGACAGGAGGCGGTTTTTCAATAAACTTATTAAACTCAATGCAATCTATGTATGGAAGAATCATCAACAGATGCCCCTGCCATCGGCATGCACGAAATAGAGTGGCAATACTCGCTGCTTTGCCCCGCAATCGCTGCAGATTTTTCAGTTCGGTGGCCTGCCTTTGTGGAGAATTGAAATTTAGAAGGTGCTTCACGGCGACTTTAACAGTCTGCAAGCCTCGCTCTTCTATTTGCAATGTCGCTAAAAAGACGTTGCTGAATGTTCCATTCCCAATAAACTTGACAAAATTCATTTTCCTGGACAATTCGGGGTCCGCTTGATTCATAACATACTCAGCTAGCTTGAGAGCATCTTCAGGTGTCGAAGGGTTTAATTGCATAACTCTGAAAAAAACATAGATAGCTTGCCAGCAAAATATTTCCTCTTGCAATTAGGGTTTAACACTGAGGCGAAACTGCATGTTGCAAACGCAAGCGAGAAAACGGCAAAAAGTAGTCCCAAAAGGGTCAAGTGAAAAAAGACACGGTAAAAGCAATAAAATTCTGCTATTTACCGGAATCGAACCTTCGATCGCAAGATTAAGGGTTACACGTCCTAGCATCTGCGCCATAACCCAGATACAAAAACACAATGCTAATGCAGCAGAATTAAACCAGATATAATGCTGATGCAGCAATAGAAAAACAAAAAAGCTCTTGCAGCAAACGTAAACAAGATATAATGCTGATGCAGCAAAAGTAAACTATCCCCAAATATAGAAACACTCAACAATCAAATTATCGGACTCTTACCACCCTGTTCCTAATTTAAGCCCAGTAATTAAAATTTTACTCCACCCGACTCTTGCAAAGAATCTCCCTAAAACACGACCATCAGCATAGCTTTTGTCCCCTCCACTCTACAACTAATAGCGAAATTTTATTAGCAATGGTTTAAGTCAAATGCGACCACAAAGAACTGTGCTGGCCACGGTAGATTTGTCCAAAGCCTTCGACATGTTCTGCCATCGTAAATTAATACGTCTTATATTCAATTCATGGCTTTACTGTACCAGACAATTTAAGTAAATGACTTGCAAACTCTCTGAAAGGCATACCAGCCATCTAGCAAAGCCACTCACAGGAAATAGATCCTGAAGGAACTGTCTGTATTATTGTTGGAGTCAGTCTACAGAGACTTCAATTGTTATTCTAAAACATTAACAACACCAATCTTGGACTATAAAGAGACTTTAATTGTTGTTTTTAAAACATTAACAACACCATCTTGGACTACGCCTGTCCAGCTTGGTATCACGCGCCGAATGATACCTGCATTAAAGATACCTCCGAGTGTTTTAAGAAGAGTCCCATTGACCACATACATTCAGTGCAGACTCAAAAATCATCACGAACTATTTGCTTCCCGTTTCACCCTAAAGACTTGCTTAAAGAAAACCTCCTCAAATTTTACCATACATTATATCACCCGTCCAACCAGCTCCGTGTGAACATAAGAAACTCTTATAAAGAGGAACTAGGCCAAGTTTTATTAGAAGCAAGTAAGCTTGACTTAAACGATTTTAAACACCTTTCAACAATATTCACACCAACAGAGTACAGAAAGCCATGGACGAAGTTTCAAAAACAGACCAGACCCTCCCGTGCTCGAATAGGGGCCGCGCCCCCTGGCGTAAATAAGATAGGATACATCCCTATATCAAAATTTTAAATTGAATAGGATCCTTCTCTCCACACAGCACTACAGTTGATTAATTGTCCCTAAATAGGACCAACGTAATTCCAATAGACTAAGGAATGAGAATTTGACCGATGTTGGTAAGAGCCTTCCGGACGCGCCTCAAACAACAGGCTATTCTCAACTTACGAACATAAAAGAAATTGATTTACTTAAAGCTTTTTGAATTTCTAGAACAACTTTTGACGGGCACTATCTTCGCGAAAATTAGAATAATAAGATAAATACTTTTTTTGCTGCGAAATCTGAGAATTAAATTCCAATTTCGGATCTAGAAGTCGGTCACTTTTTTCGTGACTTTCACACTTTTGCTGTTCGATAGTGGAGTTTTGCCTTCGTTTTAACAAATGAAATAAAACTTAAACGCAATCAAAAGTCAAAACGCGAAAAATTAACTGAGAGAAAACACAATTTAAGACTTTTCCTGAAAAAAATCATCGCGACCTATATAAGATTCTGAACTCTGAACTACGTTCATCGCCTTTTAAACAGCAAACGCGAAATTACCAAAAGATACAAACAACTGACAATAGAATAGTACGTGTAAAATTTTCTGCAGGGCTGTTCCTATCAAGCCCCAGCGGGATACTTTTGTGCATACTCAATCATTTGAAAGATTCTTTTTTTGGTCAATGCATGGCCATTTCACAACGAGTAGATTGTATAAACACAGCTAAAGGCGTTCAAGAGAAGAGGAGAGAAAGAGTATGAAAGAAAATAAAAATGACAGAGGTGAAGCTGCGCTTTGCAAGCACTAGCGAGAACACGACTAAAAGGCAACGTTATAAAGTGAAATAGGAAAGAATACAAACAAGCCTAGAATTAGTAAAACTTTATTACAAATTGGCTTCGAAATTGCGACTTCGAGATTTGGAGTCTCACGTCTTCCCTCTCGGACACGAACGCGTAACAATCGGCAAACACTCGTCATAAATAAAGCAGCTACATACGCAAATAAATTGCCAAAGCCATGCATAAGTTGACACCAAATACAAATAGACGCAATTTTGCAAGTAACAATTTGGATTATAACAAGCTAAAGGCATCCACACTAGCTTTGCACGTAATAAATTGGAAAGAATGAAGCCACATTATATGTAAATTATACAATTCAAAAAATTGCGAGATAAATTGAGATTTTATTATTTATGTTGGTTGAAACGAAATTTATTATTGTTATGTTGGTTGAAACAAATAGCTTTTTTTTCGGTTCATTTGATGAATTAAAAATACATTAACTGTGTAAACATAATTGTATTCGAAAATCGAAGCACAAGCTAACAAAAAGCCGCAAAGCTGCCACCAAAAGTGCCAACAAGATTTACGACTAAGGTTAGACACAGAGGCGAAGCAGAGCCGATACAACAAAAACATAACAAAACCTAGAAAGTCGAACAAAAAGAAATATGTTGAAAAAAAACTAAAGCAATCGAAACATTCGTATACTCAATACAAAAAAAACTATAGGCTAAGTAAAACTTGGAGGTAGCTGTTTGATATTTTTGGAATTTGTTTTATTCATGCTGGATGAAATGGGTTACTTCAAAAATTGGACTTTGCCCGAAAACTTAGTTACTCCAATCTCCAATCCTTCATCTCAAATTTGATGGGAGTTTCTTTGAAATCAAAAAAATCAAACCAAATAACTATGTGCTTCGAAAAATTGAAACAACTCAAAATATTCATTTTCTACGATTTACTCGGACTGAGAAAAAATTAAAATACGAATAATCATTTTTCTCCGATTAGAATTTCAACCTAGTCATCTGGCGTGCGAGACGAAAACATATACGATGGGCTATGACGATACTTTAGATAAGACATCAAAAACTATTTCGTTTTCCCTTTAATCGCCGTTTTTCCCAAAAGAGCGCTTATATTTTCGACTTGGGTTAGAAAAAAATTGACTTCGTAATATGTCACAACGCTTCGCTTGTGTTAATTTGAAAATGAATTTTTGAGCATAGCTCATTCAAAAATGAAAGGCAGATGTTTCTGTGCAAATGATACACGCATAATAAAAGGTGTTTTGTGGCTACATGGCCATGGTTCCGAAGCAGACAACTTCAACGCTTGCAATGGGCATGAAAATGAATGCTTAAATAAATATTTATTGCATGCCTGAATTTGAACTGAAAGTTTAACAATCATCATTTCATGAGATCAAATAGCTACATCAGCATTGGGAAAATGTAGACGGCAGAAGCGTTTGGGTTGAATAAAGAAGAGACCATTACAAACTAGAGCAAGTGGATTAAAACTATTTATCCGCTATCACAAGGCAAGGAACTTCAACTCAGTCCGCTGATGCTGGCCAAAAAAGAGTCCATTGTCTTTTTCCATGTTCTTTGTAGAAGCTGGGCTTCGAGTCATCAGTTCTGAACAAAAAACAATCAAAATTAGCTGGAATCACAAAAAAAAACCTAATTCGAATCACAAAAAAAAAACAATCCTAGTCACGTGAAAATATTAATCACCTCCCATGCTTTGGTGCTTTGGACTTCCTCAATGACATAAAGAATTAGAATGAAACGGTCGATTGGGAGACTTGCCTTGCTACCAGCACTTGGTACGTCACTTCATTCAACATGCACTTGACGCCTTTAATGTTGGGATCGATGGAGACCTTCAACTCATGCGGCTGATTGTTTTCCTTCTCTGCCTTTCTGAATGCAGTGCACAAGTGGGCCACCAGTTCCGGGATTCTGTTCTCCAGTTTGCAGTCGTAAAGACACAACACGATGTCGCACAGGTTCTTTGTGTGTAGAGCTATGAGCTGGTCCGGCCCACGTGTGATGGAGATCCCACATACCTGTTTAAGGTCCCAGCTCTTCTTCAATCTGCACAGCACGAAAAAAAGGTACAAGTATGGACATAATGACGTAACCAACAAATGACGTTAAGCGAACCGATTGCGCGGGTAACATCACAGTTCTCGGAACTGTGATTGTTGCTGGTTTTCATCTCTGTTCAGATTAAAAAGAAACAATTTGACATCGTGGTTCAAGAATGATAGTTGGGTCCCAGGAAAAATCCAGAATGAAAGGTGAGTCCTACAATTTTTGCGAAAACTTCAACACCAAACAAATGCGAGCCATGTCGAAGATTTCAAGGTCAACAAATTTTTCTTTCAGGGAATTGACTACAAAAAGTTGACCATAACCCAATATGCTCTGAAGAAGTAGCTTCTACTCCAAATAAACTCAACACCTGAAAAGATTTCGCCGCAATTTCTGTACGTTCACTTCTTGTTATTTTTCATCTTTGTTATGTTATAAAATTAGACCCCCTATATGTTATAAACTTAGCAAAATTAGACCTCTTGCTCTGTTGTATTCTGTTCTGTTCACGTCACAGGTATACACGTGATACCAGGGTTGGTTGAAAAACGTATAAACATTTTAAAACAGTTTTACTACAGGATGGTTTTTACCCGCTGAATAATGAAACATGTTCATTTCGGACTTTGGGGTAATTTTTAAAAACCTACACCATGGTTTTCTTCATTGCGGATCGCATCAAATTTTGAACTCCAAATATCGGAAGCAAAAAAAATAGCTGCAAACCTTACACCTGCCGGTCAGAAGAAGCAGTTTTATAGCGGCTCACTTGTTTAAAATTTTACCGCCCTGATGTTTTATAAAACACAGCAAAAATGGCCTTGGTAGAAAACTGGGCTCTTTTTCCTTTTCACCCCCACCTCACTCAAACTTGAATTTTATGGTGTCACGAGTGGTTTTACAAGGTTAATTATGGAGACCAAATATGTTTGTTATGGCCTAATTTGTCTGCATGTCAATTTTCACGACAATCGGACAAAGTGAAGAGTAACTTCAAATATAAAACTTTGCAGGTGGGGGAAAAGGAAAAAGAGCCGAAAACTGCTTCAAAACAGTGTTTTAAATCAGTTTTAAAAGGTGCCAAGCGTGCGAGATACTAACTTGAAGTGGTCCTTGTGGTCGAACTTGTAGATGTAGTGGTCTGTGAAGAGGAATGCTCTGATGGGTGCTTTGCCTCTCTTGCTCACTTTCCTGGCCAGACAGGAGAACAGAATCTCAGTGGACATGTCACTTTTCAGAACCTCACTGGCTGCAGACAAGTAACGCAAAGCCTCGTCGTGTTCCGTCGGCAGACCTATCACACACACAAGTCACACTCATCCATTTTTTGCATTCTTCTAGCCAGCCAAAAACAATCAATAAGTAACCGGAATAGCCAGTCAAGCTGTCCAACTACTGTTTACGTATCAGTATTTAGACAACCGCCTATTCAGACACTGTATTAACCAATCAGAATCGAGACAAGGAAGATATGAAATTCATTTCTTCCTTGTCTCGATTCTGATTGGTTAATACAGTGTCTGAATACGCGGTTGTCCAAATACAGAACGCACTCCGCAACTACTACAGGGACAAACAATTGAAAGAAAAAAAATATTTTTTGAATTACTGCTTGAAATCCGAATTGTGACTGAAAGAGCGTTATTTGAGTTACTTGATACGCGACCAAACTATCATACTTGAACCGATGTTGCAATAAAAAACGTACACCTAGTTCCGATCCCAATGCGTAAGTCACTGGTCGGAGCATTTACGCAATTCATTTTCGGAAAAATTTACATTTCTTTTTGAAAATGTATCTGGAAGGATGCGTTATGGAGATCTTTTTATTGCTTGTTAGCTGCTGTTAAATTACAATTCCTTGGAGTATTACTGAATTCATTCCGTTTTAAACGCGCATCAATTTTTTGGCGATGCTGAGATACTGTGTAAAAATTCAGGGGACAGCCGGGAATTGAACCCGGGGCCTCTCGCACCCAAAGCGAGAATCATACCACTAGACCACTGTCCCTTACGTGCACCAATAGTGACTTTTATAAAGCCATAAAAAACCACAATAGATAGCGTCAAACGCTTCCATTTCACTTTCCTTTTAATAAATTTAACCAAACGAAAATGCAGCAACCGAAAGCTTATATGTCACAGCTCGTCATATTTAACGATACGATACTGCAAGTAATATTTGACATTTTCGATTTGTAAGGACGTAATCTGAATATCATTTAAGACATCATATAACTAACGTCTTCAACTTGCATTGGTTTAACAAGGAAACTCCTCCCATTTTGGAGTGGGTGAAGAAAAAACGTTCAATTGTATATGAATGGCTAGAGCAACACAAACGCCAAACAAATAAAAGGCCAAAATCAGCAAATAGTGGACTGTTTTTGAAGCGCTGCTTTGACCACGTAACGATGGAGAGCCTCTACGCAAATATAACCCGGCTCTTTTCCAACCCATTACTCTAATGAAGTTAAATATGCAATGAAAGAAAGAAAGTATATTACTTTCAACTTAAACTTTCAGCACATAGCCAATAGACAGTTGGAAAAGAGTCAATGGACGCAAATAAACAGAAAAAATACTGACTACAGTCTTTTTAAAAAAAAAATCGCACCTTTCGAATTTCAAAGAAAAAAAATAGATGGCCTTAAAGCTCTTCTAGAACTTAAATTTCTAGAACAATTTATGCTGACACTAATCCTATAATATAAATCTTTGAGGCGAGGACAACTTAATTGTATCTTCGACATCATCAATCGTCTGTTTTTTTACGACAGCAGAACTAGTTTGAGAAGGATTTTGTTGAGGGATTATATTGAACTGATAAGTATCTTTGGGCCCAGTAACATGGACGCAATTTTTTGGCAGTGGCTGTCGGAGGAGGGGGTTGATTCTGATTGACTGTTTTTTTATTTGATAAGAAAACTTATAAGACATCAGCTTGCTGTCTTGAATTAATTTCAAAATGCAATTATACTGATCATTTTTAATGAAATTGCATGGTGGTAGTTAGTTGTAATAATAGGGATACTTGCCGAGGTAGTTGGCCTGCCAGCGTCTGTTGAGGGCGAGGTCAATGCGGATGGGGGAGAGGACCTCCATGGCCACAATCTTCAACTTGATCTCACTCCACTCTTCCTCCGGCACAGAGTTCAGCCTCTGTCGCAGCCGCCATCGCCTGTCACCACACAACACTCGTTACATCACATTACATCACACACACACACACACGCACGCACGCACGCACGCATAACATTACATTACAGTACTCAAAGTCAAACAAATCGGAGGAATACGGAATAACTCATAGGCGAAGTACCGAATGGGCAAAAATGAATTGATTCGTTTTAATAAATGACTTTCTAAAGTTTTTGTTTTCGGTGGTTGCATTCAGTTGCACGTGATAGCTGCTTGTATTGCTTAAAACGGTTGATTATTGTTTGATTTGGTTGATAAGTTTGAGATACATAAACGTGCATGTATCTAATTTTTAGCCATATCAATTTCTCTCCTATCTCCGGTAAAAAAAAGATCGCTTCTTATCAAAAAACCAAGAAAAAACATGTTATTTTTTTTTTTAAAAGAAAGCTTCCTCTGCGAATACTTTTCGCATCAAAGAAAGAAGTGAGGCGTGACCATCCCGAATTAAATACAGGCGGCAAAATTTTACAGATTAGTTTGCCTGTTCTTACAGAAATGTGTGCTGCAACTTGGAGTGGAACTTATTCAGCGCAAAGGGAGCCACCGGCCACCTCAAAGTCTTCCCGTAGTCCCTCATGTCTCTAACAGCTCCAAAGTCCTTCACCAAACTCTGCAGATACATCTTGAACTTCCAGGCTCTAAACTTCCTCACTATTCTGAACATGGCATAGAACAGTCGGTATCTTTGGCGGGCAAGAGAGCCTCGCCACATTTTCTGGATGAGACGCACGATGGCAACTACCAGGGTCTCTCGCATCGTTTCCAGCTGAGAGTAGGCCTCCATCGTATGAATGTGGATCATCTCTTTGCCAAACTTGCAGTTCTCAACCAGGCCAAGCAGATGCAACATTACCTGAATAGGCAAAACTGTCTGGTAATGGCCAGTATACACTATCAGCCCCTTTATAAAGTTAACCTATTAACATGCTAAAAATTCAAAAAAAAAGTATTTTTGACTAATGTTTATACTCAGTTATTTCACTTAATATCTTTACGGTTCAATCAGAAGCTCCCGTGAGCAAATTGGCTCTACAGATTAAAACCATAGCCAACTTACAGTTGGAAAAGAGTAATCAACGCAAGGAAACTGAAAAAAAAACGGACTTGTTTTTTCAAGAGCCTTCAACTTTTGAATTTCGAAGAAAAAAAAATAGATGGTCTTAAAGCTCTTTGAATTTGTAGAAGAATTAATGATGGTCATTTTTTTGTTAAAAATAACCCAATTTGAGAAAACTGGATCAATACGTAAAACTTTTATTACATTTGATGATTAATTACCATTTTCGAAATCAGAAGTTAATCACTTTTTCGTAATATTTACACTTTTGCTGTTTGATAGACGAATTTGCCTTGTTTTAGCAAAGGAAATCAATTGAACTTAAGAAATCAGATGACAAACTGCAACAAGGATAGCGGGTTACTGTGCAAGTACCACTATGTTCCGACCGTAGTCTTGAAAAAAATTCAAATTAGCGTCGTTTTTTCTGCATGGTTTGATAAAAAATCTGAAGAAAAATAGAGCTGATCCATGTTCTTCATTCATAGTAAAGTAGGCCAATTAGAAAACAGTTTTTGTAGAAATTTGATTAGAAAAATGAAAAAAAAAATTCCAATTTTTTTGCAATTTTGTTTCAGTAAGTTTTTGAATTCCCAAATTGGCGCTAAAAAACTCCGAAAACTAACCCTACCTGAGAAAAAGTAAGTTTTTACGGCTTAAAATAAGCATAAATAAGCTTTTGTAAGCATGCTTTGCCTCACCGTATAGCTTGAAATTAGATCAAAATTCAAAATTTTCGAACTAGTTTTTCTCGACACTGAGAAAGTTTTTTCAATTTTTTTTAATCTCTTCGAATCACCACTGAAAGGGCTTTAATATAAAAATTCACTCAATTCATTCCGACAATTATTTGTGGTTCCTGATAAATTCTTTCTAAAAGATCGGAACAAAAACTCAAATTTGAGCGTGAACAAATTTTAGACTTTTTTGGAAAAAAAAACTCCTTCTTACCACCTAATTAAGAGTCTTCACTGCGTTCATTACTCTTAAAACCAAATGAAAGTTTTGGAGTCAACTGAAAGGCGTTCGAGCAATAAACGCCACCGAAATAGATCTTACAACTATTATTAGCGAAGATATGTGAAACATTCTACCTTGATAGCCTCTAGATTTCCTTTGCCCCTGAAGTTGGGCCAGGTGTACTGTGTGAGCATCTTGTATCTAGCGAGGAATGAGTCCAGAGGCATGCTGAGAATGAATCCCTTCTGGCACTTGAGAGTGATCTCCTCTAGACACGCTCTCGCAGCCACGTCCGCCATGCTCTCGAATTGGTCTGCAAAACACGAATATCAAGAATATCACAAAAGGCCACAGCGGTCAGTGATGTCCAAAATAACTATTGTTTAACAATTGGTTTAAAAAATTGGTTTGTTAAACTGATTTAACCAATAACCAATTTTTTATAAATTGTTTTATCACTGTTCATTTTTTATAAATTGTTTTATCACAAAGCAAAATTGGTTAAACCGATCTATTTAAAAATATTTTAATTGTTTAATGCTTCAAAAATTGGATTAAACTTTTAAACTGGATATCACTGACAGCGGTCGGATAAGAGTCAACGAAGTCAACTCATATATACAGGTCCAAAAAACCTACAGAAAGTTGTTAAAATATCAGCCTCTCAAATGAAAGGCCAATGGTTCGAGGCTCACCATGATCCTTGGTCGTTGCTTATGAAAACAAGGAATAATTTTTTATAACTCACCTTTGTATTGCAATTAATTTCAGCAAAGAAATTTTTTTCACACTTTCAATGTCGTCCTTAATGAGCTTTACTTGAGCATCAAGCTTCGCTTTCAAATTAAAGTTGAAAAGCGTGCTTCACATATCGAACGAACAAATATTATACAAATTTCAGTAGAGATCTGAAAGATAAAAATTGAAACTCGGAATTTATGACTACTGCATTTCAAAGAACCGCAAAAATGATAATTCACTTCGTCTGTCAACGCTTAAAAAATGCTTTAAGCATGGCCACATTTGCTCTCTAATCATCTCACCTGAACTGTTCGACTGGGATATCCTGGGATCAAAGCAGCATACGAAGTAGGAGTCCTTACTGTCAATCGATTTGCAGATCTGATTAGTGAACAACTTGAGCTTCGAAGCCAAAGTGTCCATCAATGCATTAGTCTTATACCTCTCCTGGCCCATGGTCGATTTGGTCATAGGGGACATGACAGATCGAAAGTAGTCCACTTTCAGCAGGTTCCCAAATGAACTCAGTTCGAAACTCTCTCTGGCAACGAAGTTCTGCGATGAATTTAACAGAATGTCTTTCAGGTCTGGTTGATGCTTAGCAGAATTATGGTGCAGAAAACCATCCACTGAAGCAATAGAAAACACATTAAAAAAATTTTTACACCTTACTTGATTTTTCTAAATTTATTCGATATTTGTGAAAAATCTTAAATTCAGCAAAAACAGATGCAAGACGTTTTCATCGGATAAAATGAAGCGACACTAACCTGTGTACAACACTTGTCCCCAGCTGTGTTTGATCTTGAAAGTGCAGTGTCGTGTGTTGTGAGGAGTGTGGTTGAGGAAAAACTTGTTGTCACTTAACTTCGCCTTCACAGACCTGTAGAAGGAGCGGTCGGTCACAAAACCAGCAGCTATGTTTCCTAAACACATCGACAAAGCACTTCAAAGAACGATAAATAGTTGCTTCTCGTACATTCGGATATCCGTACTGGTCTGATTATTGAAAGAAAGAATAATAAACTCGCGCCATTTCTAATTTTGCCACTGGGAGCATAATTTCCATTTCATTTGTTAAATGAATATGTAGCGCGCTTCAAAAAATTAAAAGTCAAAAACTAAAAACAAATTTCAAGACTTCGCCCGGAGAACAAAATCGCCACTTGAATAAGATAAAAATCAATTAATTCATCAATTTTTCCTAACAAAGATAGACTAACCGAGATTAACATTAATTCTTAAGACAGCAATTCCAAGGGCAAGCTAATCACTGCGTGAAATTATTGCAGAAGAGATATGTTTTAATACGACTCCAGGGCACCAGGGCAGAATATTTTGGGCAGAATAAGACAGATACCTTCGTCCAGTATGGAGAGCATGCCCTTGAACGGCTGTCCAATCAGATCTACCGTGGCACGGTTGCTCTCAAATCTGATTGGCTGCCACTCTAGTCCGTCCTTCTCGTAGAGGTGTTGGTTCTTGGCAACTGTGCTCTGTAGGAACTGCAAGTGCATGGCTTCATTGCAGTAGTTCGCACACAATTCCGCCAGTCCATTCACGTCTCGGTCTTTAAAGGCTTAAAACAAAACAGTCTCTATTAGGGGCTTTTCGCATCCATAAAGTTAACAATCATAACAAATAGTCATAATCCATCAAAATAATTTTTTACACAAAGGCGATATGAAGTTAAACACAAAAATTCGAAAGATAATCTGGCTCGTATGAAAAAAGATACAATTAAATGAATTATTTTGAAGAAATCGTCGGCTGGAAACTTTAACTTTTTTGAATACCATAGATTAATTTTAAACAAACAACAACCTGTTCATTCGATTAAACCTATAATATCAGATTTGGGACGGTCGTTTTCGAGAAAAGTCAAAAAATTTCAAAACAACGGTCACAAAAAAAAACATTTTTACTTCTCTGAGGGTCAGAAAAGTTGGGAGTACTCGTATAAGCAAATGAACTTCCCGAAGCCCTTTCTGAGAATTGAACCCAAAATCTCAGGTATAGCTAAAAAGTTTACGAGAATAATCAAAAAGTTCAAAAAAACGGTCAAAAATCAAAAATTTAACTTTTCAGAGAGCGATAACTTCTTGTTTAAAACTTGTTGTTAGTGTCCGCTAATACAGAGGAGCTTATCACTACATATTACCTCATTGAGCTCACAATATCAGATTTGCGAGGTTAGTTTTCGAGAAAAGTCAAAAAGATCCACAAAACGGCCAAAAAAAACTGACTATTCCACGGGCCATAACTTACGGTGCAAAAAAAATTTGGTCGTAGCCACTTCTGCAGGCAAGCTTTTGAAAACAGCCCTGTCCATTGAAAGCAAAAACTCATACTTGAGAACGGCAGTTTTCGAGAAAATGAAAAAAATCAAAAATATGGGTCAAATATTCCCCCAGAGGAACAGGCGCACAGAAGAATTAGCGGTCTTTCAATTGATACTCATTTTTTAAAAATCAGCAGAAGTTTGAAAGAAAAACTAAAATTTTTGCAAGATCTGAAAAAAATTCCCAGAACGAAAAAATTAAATTTCAACAAACAGATTGGTAAACATACAACCAACTTAAAAAGTGCAGAGGTGAGTGCTAAGTTTGTGTTGATCTTAAAACGTCCAAAAAATAGATCATTAAGCCGATGAAAAATTAAGCCGAAATAATTTTGGCCGAGAAATTTCTTTTGCGAAACAAAAAGAAGGAAATATGACAAAACGTAGGCAAAAATCAAATATTAAAAACTCAGCCGACAATAGATGTTCTGACAAAAAATTGGCCGACAATTTTTTTCTGAAATTGATTATTTCCCCTTTGAAAAAAAAGGTCTAAGTCAGACTCGAACCCAGGACCTTTGCCGTCCCAGGCATATTCGTTACCTCTAGGCTGAGTTGCCCAGTGTCGCTTAAAAAATTGTATACATTATGAAACAAGGTAGAGATGAGTCCACACGTCCAGATTAGTCCTGTGGACAAATTTGTTCACGGCAAAAAAGTCTAGTACCCGGTTGCAATACACTTGCTTATCGCAAGGGTAAAAATGAACTAATTTGAAGAAATCGCCGGCGGAAAAAATTTTACAACTCTCAAAAAATCAATCACTTGAAACATAAAACGGACTCATACTACACTAGCTCAATGCATTTCTTTCTGATAGCTATTAGATGGAAAGGATAAGAAAAAAGAGAAAATTTTGGTCCAAAGTTTACCAAGAACATTCGCTGCAAATTTAAGAACCAAATAAACGGCAAGTCCATTAAGAACACTAGGGTGTATTGAAGTGCACTTTCGAACAAACATACAAAACAGAATATGCAGAAAATCAATAAATCTACGAAAACCTATGAAAATAACCCAACTACATCAACCTTGTCATATATGGAAATGAAAGAATTTCTAAACGAACACCCGCCAAATAATTTATAGACAAACTAAGCAAGTCAAAATAGCAAAACTAAACTTATTGGAATTTTTTGAAGAACTTAAGCATTAAACAATTTGCTGCATATCACCTTGAATGCATTTAAAATGGAATTGCCCAGAAGCAATTTTGAAGCTAAGTTGCTTTAAATTTCCTGCAAACAATTTGAGAACAAAAAATCATAAAACACGCATTTAAAAAAAGCAAAAAAAATACCTTCAAAAGTTTTAGCTGGTTCAAATACAAGAAAAAATAATTGAAATACAGTTACATTCTTCGAAATTAAATTAAATGAAACAATTGAATTGAATATACAAATAAGTACCGAGGCTACGTCTCGGGTTCGACCTGCTACCTAGAGATTATGAGTCTCAAGCAATAACCACTCAGCCACGGACGCTAAATTAATCACAAACACTAGCCACAAATGAAGCAGAGAACAGATTCTACGAAATTTCCATTGCTACAGATAGTGATTATCGCAAAAGTGGACACTTTAATCAACACTTATTTGCGAGTTAGGTTAGAAGAAAAGAAGGTTCGAAGTAATACACTACGCTGCTCGCAAGTGTAAAGAAGGAAAAGGAATGATGAGAAATCGTTATACAAAAGCATTATTTTCATGTTTGAAATTTTGAATATATGCATTCATAATATAGGCGTTAAAGATAGGCATTCAAAATTTGGTACCAGAGTCTTATATATCTCAAAAGTACATTTTAGGTAAAAATTCGTAAATAAGCCGACACAATTACTAACTTGCTAAAATACAAAAATGAACGAGAGCTCTGAAAGGAAGCCTAATACAAAGGCGAGGCTGATCTTCGCACCGCTTGTGATACAGCATCTGTTGGATGAGAGCACCAAGGTAATCAGTAATTAGCAAACAGAACTAAGAACGATGTTACAATTGAAGAAGGAAGTGGAAAAATGCTTTAAATTAATTAAGAATTTTCAATGTCATATGCGGCTGATTTTGGGCATTCAAATATTGGTGCCCGAATTTTGTCGATCTCAAAAGTACTATCAGACATTTTATGGGGAAAAAATCGGTAAATAGGCCGACAGAATTAACGGCGACAGTCAATAAGCTGAAATTCTGCCAAACATTTTTGTCAAAAATCATATTGTACAAAAGTGCATGTATTAACCATACAGGATCAACGATAGCTATTTAAATAGTGTATGCAATGTGGACTACAGAACTTCGGAAAGTAAACCGAGAGCTTAACCAACAACCATGAAGCCGAAAAATCATAAGCAGAAAATTAAAATCAAAACTATATAAATATACATACAATATTTTGAGTTCTAGAAAAAGCATGCAGTAGTAACTAGTACCCTAGTATGCGGAAATCGAATTTTCATGAAATTGAGCATGTCAGCATCATAAGTGATTCAACTGATTCTGCTAAACTAGTTGTTAATCCAAAAAATAAAGTCTATATTCCGGTTTGATAACGCTTGCTCATCACAAACGTAGAAAAACACCCGACAAATAAATCGTCAAAAATTAGGACTAAATCAATTGAGCCTACACAAAAAAAATCAAATTAAATTTGAAATTTTTTTCAGCTGTAAACTCATTACTTCGTTAACTCCAGACCCACTAACACCAGACCCAGAACTGGAGTTGGTAAAAGTTCAACTAGATGATGAAGTTCATGGTTAAAAGCTAAAACTAGTTAATTGAAATGGGCTAAACTTTCCAAAACGTCTTTTGCTGACAAAAACTGACCAAACCAGAACAAGGAAACGTACTGTCCATCGAGACCAAGCTTGAACATAGACCTAGTTTTCATTCCACAAATTATTAATATTCGAAATTTTGCAACACTAACCAGGACAGTCAATAACATTGAGGGTGACAAGTGCTCCAAACTCCGCTCTGGGCATCTTCACAGACAGGCAGCTGTTGAACTTTTCCACCACCCACGTGAACGTCTTCTCATACAGACACTCGATCGTGTTTGGCAGCTCCTCACGAGCTTGCTCAACGGTCAAGTGCACTTCGTTCCTTTCTAAGCCTACACAGGAGCAATGAAAGCAATGCCATCCGCACTCATTTCAAATATTTTCAACTCAACCAGTAATTTTTGCCATGAATTTTAATATCAGAAAGCTACAAAGCATGTCAAATCAAACCGAAGATATAAAATATAAAGAATTGAAGCTAAAGATGGTTTTTGCTACGTTTGTGAAACATGATAACAAAATTCTTCGCCCACAAGTATCTGGACCAAAAATAGCACAAAAACAAGCAGTCTGGATAAAAAATATATGAATGTGTTAAATGTATAGATATGATAGTGACTAATAAACAATACTGACAACGTACCACTTTCGACCCTGTAACAGAGAAATCTGTTGACTTGTTCCGGCTTCAAACAGAGGAACTCGGCTATGGAGGCTATGATGGCAGAGTCTGTGGGTTTGGACTTCTGGAACTCATCCAGCTCAAAGTCCACCTGCCCCAACAGAATGAGAGCCGCGATCACACTCCACAATTGGTCAATTTCACGGTCACGGAGACCTTAACAAGCAACAGTCTTCTTATTAAGCAGTGACCCAATACCCAGGGACAATTCCCAAACTCATTGTGAACATGTTGAAAAACATCCTCATTTTTAAGGAAAAAAAACCTGTATGTTCAAATCATACAGAATTGAGACACTAACCAATTGTATGTAGGCAGTGAACAAGTTCAGCATGCTGACAAGTGTCAGCCAACAAGTTGATATTGGATGAGTGCTTGTTAGACAACGCCGTCAACTTGAACTTGTCAAAATCAGCTTCCAAACTCGAGTCGTCCCATCTCATCTTCTCACAATTTTCCAACACAAAATAAAACACCAGGAAGTTGGTCTCCACGTCCATTGTGGCCTCGTTCGAACTCTTCCAAGACCCGATCAACAGACTGTTGATCTTCGCTCCAATTGGACTGCAGGTAGCATCGAAAATAAGCTCCAAGTCTGTGAGCGCGTTACTTATTTCCTCGTTCCTACTATTACGGGTGTTTTTGAAAAGGTCAAGTACTTTCAGACAAGACTCTATCTTAAGCAGCATCAGCTCTGAGTCAGATCGGTTGAACTTGTTGGCATGTGTGAATAAATATTCATAGAAGTCATTTATGGCCAGTTCTCGGCCACGATGAGATGATCCATAGAAACTAACTGTAGTGTGTTTAAAATGTCGCCTCAAGTTTCCCAGAGCTTGTTCGCAAATTGCATGTGGATGTGCCGGAGACTCGAACAGGTATTTGTCTTCGAATTTAGAGAATTTGTCGTTTGATTTCTTCGTTTGTTCAGGCGATTTATTTGAAGCTGATTCTTCGATTCGTTTTTCAAGGTGTGAGCTGGACGCGGATGGCAATGTGCAAACCAGGACTTCATTTCCAACATTCGTGTAGAAAATGCCTAAGCAAATAATAGAAAATAGATAAAATATATATCTAAACATAGCCAACAGACAAAGTTGGTTATGTAAAAACTACCGACTTGTTTTTTGAAACAATACATGGCCTTAAAGCTTTTTGATTTTCTAGAACAATCTACGATAGACACTTTTTGGATAAAATCAACCCAATTTGAGAAAACTGGATCAGTAAGTAGTTTTAATTTCGATGGGAAATTCGATAACTAAGTTCCACTTTCGAAGCTTCGATCACGTTTTCCGTGACCTTTACTTTATGCTGTTCGATCGTGGAGTTTGCCTTCCTTTTAACAAAGGAAATAAATTGAATTTGAACAATATCAAACCGCAGAAAAAAAAGAAAAAAACAACAAATCATCAAGATCTACATAAGAGTCTGAACTACGTTCATCGACTCTTGAAAAGTAGGTCGAGTAAAATAAATCAAATCGAGGCAAAACCCAGGGCTTCAGAGATTGCCTACTACTTCCATATCAATAAGTTTATTCATGTGTGCTACTTGGATTCATTCTCTATGAGTAGCCAATCTCTTAGCCTTGGATTTGCTTCGATTCAATAGTTTTTATTTGACCAGCTTTTCCTCGAGAATAACAACGCACAAGGAAAATCCATGTTGTGGCAACAAAGCCAACAAAACATTAGCAATTTATTTTAAACCGAGGTATCAAATGGTTCATCAGCTCTATAAAGTGACAAAAAGCAGCTCTATAAAATGCAATAACAAAAAGTAGAAACAAGCCTCGAATTAAAAAAAAACTCGGCTACGTCTCGGATTCGATCTGCGACCTGAAGATTAAGAGTCTCACGCACTAACCACTCAGCAAAGGACGCTTAAAAAACACAAACACTACCGACAAACAAATCAGAAAACTGATGCTATGAAATTTCCAATGCTACCGATCGTGAGTATAGGCAAAAGTGCCATCAAATAACTTAACACTTTTAATGAACACTTTATTTTCGAGTAAGATTAGAAAACAGAAGAAGATTCGTACCAATACACTACGCTTTGCAAGTTGGCTAGTGTAATAACACCAATGAATATTAAAGAAAAAAAAACTTTCGAAAAATAAGCGGACAGAACTAAAAACGATCGACCTCAAGAGCCAAAAACACCGATAAATTTTATCAACAGAAAGTTACTTTGCAAGAACTCTTAGCTTGCACCCAGGACACGTATGCAACCAGTATTTCAGCCTTTTCAAAGACAGAGGCGAAGCTTCGCTTTTCAAACACTAGCGAGAACACGACAAAAAGCAGCTCTATAAAGTACAATAAGAAAAAGTAGAAATAAGCCTCAAATTAGTTAAAATTCGGCTACGTCTCATTCGATCTGCGACCTAGATATTATGAGTCTCAATAACTAACCACAGACGCTTAACAAATCACAAACACTAGCCACACAACGCAGAGAACAGATGCTATGAAATTTCAATGCTACAGATCGTGATTATATCAAAATTGCCACCAAAAAAAGTGAACACTTTGGCTTGTTTTCACCCCCCTCACATTTGATGGTGCAAAATGGTTGCATGGTGCAAAAACCCAAAAATGTGAACAGATTTTCTCTTCATGCCTAACATTGTAACATCACGCATTTAGCCGTTGTAGCATTTAAAACTATGAAAATGAAAAATTTGAAAAGTGGGAGAAAGTGGAAAAGAGCCACACTTTTAATGAACACTTTTACTTGCGAGTTAACTTAGAAAAAAGAATGTTCGCACTAACAACTACGCTTCGCAAGCCCGCAAGTGTAACCATAAATACCACCTGCACTTCACAAACACTAACGAGAACACAAAAAGCAGCTCGATAGAGTGCAATAAAAAAAGTAGAAATAAGCCTTGAATTAGTAAAAACTCGGCTACGTCTCGGATTTGATCTGCGACCTATAGCGACCTCGCGCACTAACCACTCCGCCACGGACACTTAATAAATTGCGAGCACTAGCCGCAAAAAAAGTAGAGAATAGATACTATGAAATTTCTAAAGCTACAGATCTTGATTATAGCAGAAGTGAGTACTTCTAATGAACACTTTTATTTGCGAATTAGGTTTAAAAAAAGAAGGTCCGTACTAATACACTACGCTGCTCGCAGTGTAATAAAAATTTGATAACAATAAATTTTATCGGTTTTGTGATAATATATACTATCTTTGTTTTTGTGTAATTTCATTCGAAGCGAAAAATTTTTCTCCCCCAGTTTTTGTCGTCTAGATTCAATTATTTTGCATTCTTCTAATTTGCTTGTCGCCCAATTTCCTAGGCATCAAAATATTAGCTGATTTGCTTGCTTTAAGTGCCAAAAACAGTTCATCATGATAAGCTGAACGGCTCCTATGTTGATCCTTTCCTGGTAAACAAATGACTGATCATAATAGTTCAAAAAAACTTACCTGATTCGCTCCTGGTGACGAGCAACTGTGTAATGGCTGACAAGCTGCACTCTGCCAAGAGCATCGTGTTATGACAAGTTTGCGGGCTAATTGGACCTTCCTCATGTTCGTCATCATCCGCGTCGCCATTCAAGTTTTGATAACTATCTTCTGAAATAATGCTTCTATCTTGACGAACCATTGCTACACTAACACTACCACCGTTAACAACGCTTACAGTAGTTTCACTGTTGTTAGTTGTTTCATGCGGAGTAAGATTCACTTCTGATTTCATTTTGTGGTCACTGTTTGCATGAGGCTCACAAGGAGAAGGTACCGGCCACTTAATACTTGTAGACTGTGACGAGTCAGTGTTACTTTTCGAGTTTGCAGTACTCCCTCCGTTTAAAAAAGGATTGCTAGAAGTCGCAGACTCAATTTCTTCAACCTTCATCGTTTAAAAAAACTCATCTGATTTTTTTAAATTGAACACAAGTATGGCAATAAAGCCGAAAAGCAATCTGTAATTTCCGAAACTGAAATGAACTGAAAACAATACTGTTCTTTGAGCGCTGTTCTGCAAGTAATACTCGCTTGAAATTAACAGAATTTTTTTTTCGAAATGTCAAATTTCATAAATTGAGTTCAACTAAAATTCTGGTTGCATCAAAGAAAAATCAATGTCACCTAGCTTAAACGGAATTAATCGACAGAGGGATTTACCATAATTGATTCAAGCAAACTCCCTGCAGCTGCAGCGGATAACGTTAAATCTTTTTGGTTCACTTTTTCAGTCACTAGCAGACCTAATGGAATCACTTAAAAATGTTACACATTAATGGCAGAAACCAATTTAATAATGAGAATAACTCGAATTTAAACCAAATTAACGAACAAATTAGACAACCATTTTACCCAATATGCAAGCCGTCTTCAGCACCTGCAGACTCAGCCAACGCTTTTTCTAGGAAAGAGGGAAACTGAAAAAATAATAATAAGTAGCTTCAAATGAGAATATTGAAAACGCCTGTTAAAAAGGTAGATTGAAAGAGTGCAAAAGGGAAGTCATGAAAAAAAAAACGAGAATCAAAACAACGTTGTTTTATCAGCAAAAACAATTCATAGGAAGCAGTTTTCCAAAAATAGCTGCTTTATGTCAACAAAAACGTGTGGGTAAGCGCGGGGGAATAATTGCATCCGCCCGAGGAGGCTAGAAGGTTCACTGCCTCTTGCTTCTTCCGATGTTTCCTTGCCTCCATTATCGATATTTGTCAAACGTATTTTCGATTATTTAAGGAAATTTACCAACTGCTTAGTTACCAAGGCAGCAGCAGCAATCCTTTTATGTGCTGTTTAAGGAAAGCAGCTATGTTTTTAGCTGTGCATCCAACTCTCAAAATACACTCAAACAAAACCCTTTCAAATAAACGCAATATCAGTCGAAGCTTATAGAATTTCTGGTTTCAAAAACTGAAATATAGAAAGACAGCAAAACACATGGTTTTTGCCGTCTTTGTCAGTATAATTCAACTTAGTACTGAATAGAATGTGGGCTAAGAGGCCGTAAGTTGTCCCAATCACCGTCCAAAACATTGAATCACCGTCCTTTCAACTATTGAAAATGATTCAAGACTGTTTTTCGGCAACGGGGACTAAAGAAGTCAAGCGAAAACAAAGTAAATTCAAGAAGTGCCCAGCAGCAGTTGCAGCTGCTTCAGAAGAATCTTTGAAAATTTTCATAGGTTTATCTCATTCTGCCTTACAATGAAAATATTATAACAAAAAAATTCCAGGTAAGACAATGAACACTAATAAGTCTCGGAACAAAAATTACGAGGAAGTAGCAAAGCCGACAATATTTGAGCACGCACCCGTTCACATAAAAAATTCATTCAAACTCAATAAAAAATCCAGTCTCCCACTCAAACCACACACGCTCAAACTTTTATCGTTAATCAAACGGCGCAATCTCAGGCCACTTATATACCACTTATACACTGATATAAGGTAGGCGATACCTATTGAGCCAAAAAGGAAAACGAAAAAAAATTGGAGTTGGTACATCAACAACCAACATAAATCAAATACGAATAAAATGCAGTCTCGCTAAAAAAATAAGTATTTTGGCTGACGATAACCAATATTTTAGAAAATGGTTGTGATTTATTTGAAACAAGTTGTTTAAATGTAAAAAGTCTGTTCCGATTTGATAACGCTGGCCAATCGGAAGCGTAGTATAATATGTGATAGCTCAAAACAATATTTTCAATAAGACTCACAAAAAATCATTTCACGTCAACTCCAACAGATGATAGAGCTTCTGTAACCCAAACAGGATAATCACCTTTAGGGAACTGCAGCTGAATGAAACTTTTAATAAAATTTGGAAATGTATCTGAGATAATTGCACTGCGAACATTCTCCATGAGCTGCAGCTGAAAAGCCACATTGTGAATGGAGAGCAGCGATGCAGCGCATGAGTTCGGCTGACTAATAAGTTCGTTCAGATAAGAGCGTGAGAACCTCTTACATGTACAGCAAGGGCAGTCGTCTTCGATTGGAGAAAAGTCAAACTTGAAGATTTCCTGAGTTAATTTCAGAGATCCGCCTTTTTTAACTAAAGCAGTGCCAAAACGAGCTGTCCTTGTTGGAAAAACACAATCAAACATGTCAACACCAAGTGCAACACATACCACTAGATCTACTGCGTAACCTACACCCATGCAGTACCTCGGCTTGTTTTCTGGTAACAGGTCTGTGCATAGCGACACCACGCGCCAGAAATCCTGTTTCTCCTCGCCTCCGCTAAGACCGCCAATTGCATAGCCAGGAACATTCTTATCTCGTTTCATCATCTCAGCGCAACAGATCTTTCGAAGTTCGTGTTGCAGACCACCTTGTATGATAGCGAACAAATTTTGTCGTTCAGTATTTTTATGTGCTGCAATACAACGATCAAGCCACCTGATTGATCGCCACATTGCTTCCTCTACTCTCTCGCCTTCAGTCAACACATGAACAACGTCGTCTAATTGCATAATTATATCAGCTCCAAGTTGATTCTGAATCTGAATGCTTTTTTCAGGCGTCATGAGCAGCATATCATTTTGTTCTGTTCCTCCGTCAACATATTCAGCTATAGGTTGATTGCTTTTCTTTTCGCCGCTACTGTAAGGAGATTGAAACAAAACTCCGTTTTCATCAACGCTTGAAAGCTTGCTTAGAGATACCATTTGGAAACCTCCGCTATCGGTGAGAACACTGCGTTCCCAATTCATAAGCTTATGCACACCACCAGCACGCTCAACAGTATCTGCGCCTGGCCTTATTCCTAAATGATAGGTGTTGCTTAGCATTATTTCGCATCCCAACGTCTTCAACTGTTCAGTTAGAACTCCTTTCAAAGTTGCAGCTGTTCCCACAGGCATAAATACTGGAGTGTATAACTTACCAACAGGGCAATGCGGAAGGATAAGATTTGCAACTCGCGCTTTTGTAACGGAACACTTCGCTTCAACAATGAAGCTTAAGGCTTCCCCAGAATATTTAGCACAGTTACTCATAAAACTCTTGAAAGTAATATGTGATAATGAAGTAATTGATAGTAATGAACAAGGGAAGAATTTGAGCAAACGTTAGCATTTGTTTGGGATTAGATAACAAATATCCGATTTTTTTAGTGGTTATCAGAAGGTAAAACGCAAGCAAAATTTACATCACTATTGCTTCCTCACGTCATGCAGTCAATAATCCTTCAAACTGTATAGATTGTACACCTCGAAAATGTACCCCAAAAACGAAACGAGCAGAGATGAGTTTGAGGGTGGTTTAAACTCTTAGCACCAACTTTATTTCAGCAAATTTGAAAAAAAGATGAGAGCAGATTAATCCCCTGACGCGTGTTTGCGGTGCCAGTCGACTATTTACAAAAAAAACAATAGATTGTTAACCAAACTTCGAAATGAAATTATTAGTTGCATTTGAGCGGGAACAGGGTGAGTTTGAAAATTCCGCCGTTATTACAGTTGGAATCTTTTAAAATCTCCTTGCGGTGAAACCACTTCTGGTAATTTAAACTTTTGAACTCATTGGGACGTTCTTTCGAGGCTTAGTTAGCATCCTTTGTTACTGCTGCCTTGATTTTAAATCTAATAGATCTCTCCAATGAATTCGATTCTATTGATCATTAGTTTCTGCGAAAGCTTACAATTTTTCTTTAAATGAAACTAGATGGAGAGATGACTGTATCAATGGCTGGACAAAACGATGGCTTGCTGGACGGAAAGGTGATGCATATTTGAATGAACTGCTGGTTGGATCAATGGATTGGTAGATTGATGGACTGATGGATTGCTGGAGGTACGGATGGATGGCTGGTTGGATCGATGGATAACTTGATAGATGGATGGCTGAATGGATAGATGGATGGCTGGCTGCATTGATTAAAGATGGGTGGCTAGATGGATATCGGCTGGATAGATTGCTAGTTGCATGGATAGATGATAATGTCTTGATGTAGAGATGGTTGAGTTGGACATTGGATGGAAGAATGAATGGATGGAAGAATGAATGGATGGAAGAATGAATAGATGCATGGCTGGCTGGGAAAACAGATGGCTAGGAGATCGATGGAAAGCAGGCCGATCGCATTGGTGGGCGATGTATGACTTATATTGCTGGTTAGATTGATTGACGGATGACGTATGGCTAGATAGATAGATGGCTTGATGGATGGACAGATAGCTGAACAAATGGCTGTGTGTAAGAATGGATTGCTGGAAGGTTAAATGAATGGCTTTATGGATGTATGAACGGATAGAAGGATGACTGCATAGATGCCTGGATGGATTAATGGATGGCTGGACACACGGCTGGATGGACGAATGGTTTGATGGATGGGTAGATGGCTGGATGAATGAAAGTCTGAGTGCCTCAATAGATGGATGGCTGGATAGATAATGGAGGGATAGACGATAGTGGCAAGATAGATACATGGCTGGATGGCTTGAGGATGGATGGCGTTTTGTATGGGTGGTTGGGTGAATGAATGGCTGACTAAAGGGTAGATTGCTGGAGGGACAGATACATCGCTTGATAGAAGGCTGGTTAGATTGATAGACGATGGTTGGCTTACGGATAGCTTGATGTCCGGCCTGGCTTTACCCTGCCCTTCCTTGCGCTGCCCTAGTCTACCTGACCCCTCGTCGACCTGCCCTGCCTCACACCTTTTCGTCCTGCCCGGCCTTGCACTACCCATCTTGCGCTGCCCTACCCTGCTTTGCTCCTTCTGGACGACCTGCTGTAAATTGATCTGTCTTGCCCCACTTCGGTCTACACAAGCGCTCCCCCAACCTACCTTGCTTCTCCTCGCCCTGCCTTACCTCGCGCTGCCCCATCTTGCCTTACGCTGCCCTGCCTCCAATGCCGCTGATAGAACTCCTTAAAACAAAAGCAAGATACGCGATGAGGCAACTGAGCCGACAAACTTGAGCAGACAGACGAAAGTCCAACAATTCAACTTTTACCAATTCTGAAAAAATTTCCAATGCATACATAACAAAAACCTCAGACCTCAGGGTTCACGGGCGACAGTGTTAGCTTTCGTCAAGTGCGAAGGAACATAGAATTTAAAAGGTTCAACAAAAAAGCAAGTTGAAAAACTTGAAAAAGTTGTTCACGGGGTCAAAAAGTCCAGCTCCCGATTACAAGAGACTTGCTCTCGCAAGTGCAACGACACTGAATAAAGATTGGATTTCATTACACCAAGGTGTCCTTGAGGCCACCATAGTTTGAACTCTAATATTATCTGTATATCGGCGACTTGCCAATAAAAAATTTAAAAATACTGGCGATTTGACAGCTTTGATGCAAAAACTAGAAAACTTTTGCAAAAAAGCATAAATGTGAAGCGTAGCTTCACAAACATTAAGATACAGTTAAAACAGTGCTTTACAGAAGATTGATAAGAAATTTTTTGAAAATTTAGCTAAAAAACAACTTAAAAATGGAAAAACTATATCTACCAAAATTTCATACCTTTGTCTCGAATGAGGCTCACGAACAGCCTTAGCAAGCAGTGAGAATCAATGACCGAGCGGCAAATAAGGCAAAAAAATTGAGTCGACCCTCGTTAAGCCGAAAAGAAAACGTAGTCATGAAAAAACTCAGAGCTAAAATTTTAAAACCAATATTTTAACAAGCCCTCCATACTGAAACAGGGAAGAACAATTCAAAAATTTGCATTTGATTAAGCCGATATAACATAAGCCAAACTCGTTTACCTAAAAAGAAACATAAAAAAAACAAATCAGTAAAAATATTCAAAATTAGAGTTGGTAAATTTACAAACAAGAGAATAATTTTCAATTATAGAAAAAATTGTTTGAATCAAACATAAAAAACCTAAGTTTGTAAAACAGTATCAAAACGTACCTGATAAAATATACTGTATTTGGAAAAAACGGTGCACCAGTCAGTCAAGATTATTTAGGAAAGTCCGAAAACATCAACAAGCAGTTTTTTAAGTTTTCCGTAAATTGAGCCTGCTGAGCAGCAGCAGAAATTGAACAGCAGACTTTGCAGGAAAACATCTTATCGTCTGCAAGAAGCGCTCCGTCTCTTTTTTATTAGTTGGCCAAAACATGCGCAAAATGGCTATTTCTAGGCATCGAAGACGCCAAAGGAGAAATCATGAGAACCAAAAACGGACCCATAACCCGAGCGTTGCAACAAAATTTTTACGGGAAAAAAGTCTAGTTCCCGACCACAGGTCACTTGCTCTCGCACTTGAAGTCGAATTACTTATATAGACTTTCCCGGCAATTCATAGCACTACTCGGTTTTACTAAGTCTTTAAGGGCGACTTCTTGAATAACTTTTATGTGAAATAAGATTAATCTAGTCCATGTACCTGGAACAATTTCTGCGATTGTACAAGAAAAAAAATTGCAAAACTTGACTAACAGACTCTAAACTCAAATCGAGGGGCAACCTCCTAGCATTCAGCAGCTATATTCATGATATTACAATTTTTCATAACCAGCAAAAATACTTGCAAAACCATGAAAAAATATTTCTAATTAAATTAAACCAATTATACCAAAACACCATCGCACGCAAAACCAAACTCAAACAACTGGTATTTATATAAGATCAAATTTGCCGCATCAAGAGGAATTTTAATTTGTATCAAGCAAAAATAGCATGCGGAATAAAAATCAAAACAATCAAATATGAACCCCTTTTTAATCAAAACTTGCCTAACAAAAAAGAACGCACAATTTTTTCTCATCATTTTTATCCGGTCATGGTTCTGAGCAAATTATCAGCAATTGAAGAAATATCACCTGAAAAAACAGAACTGGGCCAAAAAAATATGCTGCAACCGGGCAAACTTTGATTTATCGTCTGATTTCATGAGAATTTAAAATTGTCACTTAAACGTTTTCGCACATTTTGAGCATCGTAGGATTATAAAACAAAACTTATCGAAAAGGATCAATGATTATGAAAAAAATGTCAATCAAAACTTACATACCACGTTAATCAAATTCGACAACTGTTATTAATTAATCAATTACAACATTATTAAGCAACAGTTTTTTAAATTCTTTTTTCAATTTTTTATTTTAACTTCTCCGGAGAAAGAATACTAAAATGTAAATTCGAACGTTCATGGAACTATGTCTATTGTCAGTCAGGTCAATAGAAATATCAGATTAGGGAGAGTAATTTTAGAGAAAAGTCAAGTTTAAGTTGCAAAAAACAGTCAAAAAACCAAAAACTTGACATTTCTGAGGGCCTTGACTTTTTGGAGTAAAAAATATGGGCGTAGTCGTACATGCAGTGGGACCTCCCACAAGCCATTCTATCCTTTGATCACAAAATCTCTGATTTGCAAGGACTTTTTTAGAGAAAATGTAAATAGCTAATAAATAAAAAAAATTGGGTCGAAAATTCACCCACACACTTTTTACAAGTGTAACATTCGCCCGGTAGTACATATCGACCGAAAATAAAGCTAGGTTATAAAACGACTGGCTAGCGTCTAATTTAGATGTTAATAAATTCAATTCAGGACGTGACCAGAAGCTAAAAGTTCATAAAAACAGTGAGTTACAGTTTTCTCCCGAGACCACTCTGGATTCTGGAATCCGGGCAAATAACAGTCTTATTTCTTCCCGGAAGGCTGGACACGTCGTCCCAATACCCTTCCTGGTTCTCGGGATTCGTGTTGTAACGGTTGTAGCGGCACAATCGTTACAACTCGGAATGGTCTTCTGATAGTTGTTTTCTATTTCAATCTCAATCTGTATCGCATAATTGCGGTTCACCGTTTTTCTCAACGAATTCTGTTGTTGTGTTTTTTCGACGTTCAGTTTTCGCGAAATCTCAAATTTTTACGGGTTCATGCTCAATTCGAAATTTTTAAAACCAGCATGTCAGTCCGAATTAACCATTCCTGACTCGTTAAACTGAACAATTAACACCGTTAACTCGTAAAAACTATCAATCTTCCCAGTCAGATGCAACAATAAAAATTAGAATCCAAACTTCCATTTTGACACATTCTGGGCGAATGTCA